GCAGTATCATCATTGTTATTTGACTAAACTACAGAGTGCGGTGTGTAATGGTACAGCCGTTTTCAAATCCACTCCTGGATGACGGCTTACCAATGCCATTTGTGTGTTGGAGGTTATTCCGACCATGCTTCACCACGCTGGTCGGTGCTGGTTGGTGAAGTGGGGGCAGGGTGGGTAAGTCTCCAGAACCCCAGTGCAGATATCACTCAATAGCCAAACCATCGCAGGGAATCTAAATCAGGTCACTGTGCCCCAGTGACCTGATTAAGCTAGTGTGAGGCCTGTAGCAAATGTTATAAAGGGGCCTTAAATAAAAAAGCACAAATATTAAACACACTAATTTTTTTACTTTCATAGTAAAGTAATTGTATCTTTTCATTTGCTACACAGCCAGATAATACGACAAATCGCTAACCTTAAACACCCAGTCGCTCATAAAAGTTGAAGGCAGTATAGTACTATAGCAATAGAGCAAGTGCAGAATCACTAAACCGGAATTGATAGCTTGAAAGCATTTAGCGCGGGACCCTTTAAAGTGCGGGGCCCGTAGCTACTAAATATGTCGCTACTTTTGCTGCTCGGATAATCCGGCACTGCCGGGCTCATAGTACAATGCGTCAACGGCAGCACCATCACCCCTTCATGGTCCCGGGGTAACGCATTAGACCGTTGATTGGTCATCAGTATCTGCACAGTGCAGTGTATGTGGCGATCCATACGGTGTCCTTTATGACTGGAGTACAATGTGGTGCAACACAACTGGCTGCTGTGTGCACACGTGCCAGCAGAAATCATGCAAAGCCTCTTGGGCCTTTCCCATGGTGGCTTGCAGCTCGAGTTTATTTCATCTTGGCACGTATTGCACTGTGTTCTGCTCTACGTACATAATACGTTTGTGTGTTGAACTTCTTTCCCACCGTACGTAGCCAACCGTGATAATCGGAGGTGCGGGTGAAGGACAACAAACTAAAAAGCAAAAGCAGTTCTAAAGAAATTAGTTTTCAATTTAGGTTTAAAAGTGCATCGCTCCATTAGCTTCTTAATATCGGAAGGAAGAGCGTTCAAATTGGCCGCAGAAGTTTTTTCTGAAAGCGTGTTGTGGTGACCGTCTTTGTTCGACGGTTAGCCAAAAGCAGCTGTGAGAATAACCGGAGTTCGCGTGATGGTTCATGTTCCTTGACGAGATCTGCGAGGTATTGTGGTTCATTTGTGGCAAGCACATTGTGTGTATTAGTAATGCTGCGTAGATAAATATTATCCGTCGAATAATTCTGAGATCGTCGTAGCATGCATGAAGGGACGCACATCACAACCCCCCGATGTGTTCTCGCGCTCCTGCTGCGTGCCTTTCGGCACGACGTCCTACGTTTCGTTGCACGTGCTGGCAGCTGCTTTGGGAACCGTTCAGTTCCTAATTCGGTTCGTGAAGAAGAAGTAGCTCCCGGCACGTGGAGGACAACGCCGAGCAATTGTGCCTGAGTGACGGCCTGAACGTCTTTCCCCCCCCCCCCCCCCCGGCACGTGGAGCGAAACGTCGGACATTGTGCCCGAAGCAACGCACGGTACGTACGGCCAGTCGCTGCATGGGACTCGCTTTGACGCGATTCTGTCGGGTGCTGCGATTCGCCTTGCATATACGCCACTGCAATGGCTCCCGACCCCGACTGGCAGCCACGACCTCCCCCGTGAGAGGTCACGGCCATGATTTCCGCACCGGTTGCCACGGGTAGTGCTCACCGTGATACCCAGCAGCGCGCTTGGCCGTGCGCTGGCACGTGCTGGTGGCAGCGCCTAGCCCACAGCTCACGGACTGGCGCATCAGGACTGGCTTTCCCACGATCCTGCAAAAATATATATCTGGGTTTTTTTGTTGCGCCGTTAGAACATACAAATAGACGTGAAGGCTTGTAATTGTTTTGGCACTGCTGAATACAAGACCGTAGCGTCTTCCATAAATAATGCAGCCAAGTCGGTTGACCGTGAAATCAATTTTGTTTCGAATTAGCGATTTAGTCTTTTTTGTAGCCGCAGGCCTTGAAGCGCTGCCGTAGAGCAGTGCGTGCCTTCGTGACGCGTGAAAGCTTTGAAACGCTTTGAAAACGCGCCGTCAAATAAGCCGGCTCACACTTCCTGCTAAAAAGGCAGGCGCATCGTGTTTATCCGCGGGGCAATTTGTGACAAACAGGCCCAGGCTTTAATCTTAAGGTCGTTTACCAAGTACCCAACCTCACACGCTTCTGGGCGGAAGAGAGCGGCGCAGCACAATCGGCTGTTGCATTGCACTTCGATGCTTCCACATCTGCGCTCGCCTTTGATAACCCACACCGACCAGCGTGGCGAAGTATGGTTTAAACATCCCAAATTATTTGCACAGCGTGGAGAGGCAGTGGCATTGACAGAGGGCTGTGCGTGCATGGCAGCCCCGGGAACACCTTCAGGCGGTGGCACAAAGCATTAGGGGCTGCGAATGAATCTGGCTGTGGCGTAAACCGCAAGTGACGCAACCTCTTTACAAACGGGGCTCCTCCTCCGCCATGCATGGAGGAGCCCCGTCACCCGGTCGTTTCGCGGCGTTCCATTCGGCCTGCTTGGCCATGAAGCCGACGGCGCTTTTCACAAACGCTTTGCTGCTTGGAGCCGAGCGTCGGGGCCGCCCCTCGGTCGTTGCGGAAGCCCCCGTCGACTGGCCCGCGTGCGCGGACAACGGCAGGCGCCCTCAACGGCGCGTCCCCCCGCACGTTGAGCGCGCGACCCGGTGCCGTTTGGCGAATTGGCACGCGATCACCGCGGCGCCTTGCGCCCGTTGTGACGCGCGTCTCTTGTCTCGCACGGCCTCCGTAACGACCAGGTGGTTTCGACGGGATGTGATTATCGGAGTCGAAATATTTATCTGTGCTGGAGGAATCTGATGAGCTATCAAGCTCTTTTTTCAGAAATGCCCAGTCGGGGCGGGTCAGAGCGTTACGTAAGGGAACCGGGAAACAGCAGAAGAGGAAGACAATCGACGTTCAAACACCCATCGTCCTTCCGCGTTCCGACGCCTCCTTGCAGCTGTGCTCGTGACCAGCCACTCCAGGCCTGGGAATGGGTCATGCAGTTCCTCCCCGAACGCCAATATAGAGAAAACAAACGAAAGTTGCTGACCAGGAACCGTTGCCCGTTTGTTGTTTCTGCTGCGTGCGAAGTCTGAACGTGAGGGTTGTGTGGGTACGTATGATTGGTATGTGCTGACTGTTTGTGGGTCTGAGCCGGTTTGCTGGCTGTGTTGTGGGTCTGTTCATCAGATGGTTTGGGTCTGTATGACTGCTATTTGCTGACCGTGCGTTGAGTGTGAGCTGTATGCTGGCTGCGTGAGGGTCTGTATGCGAGCTGGGTTGCTGACTGTGTGTGTGTCTCTGCCTGTATTCGTGTCGGCTCTGCGGGTACGTATGATTGCTATGTGCTGACAGTGTGGGCCTGTACGTTAGGTATAGGCAGGCGGGGCCATGTCAGCTGCGTGCTGACCGCGGGTTTATATTCGTGCGCACTCTTTCATCAAAGCGTCGTCGGAGAGCCTTGGGCCACAGTGTTTACCTGGCCTGGCACGAGCACCTCGGGGGTTTGGCACTTGGTGGCCAGTGGCGGTTGTCGTTGTGTGCGGGTCGGCTAGCGACGGTGTGTTGGCTCTGTGTGTGTGGGTCTGTGCGACAGCTGGTTGCGGTGTTTCGGTCTGCACGAGCTGCGAACTTATGTCATGTGTCGCGCAAGTGTTGTCCGCTGGTTGTGAACACACAAAGACAAAGATTCCCTGCGTGGCCTCGAACAGACTGTTCGGGCAAGTGCCGGCCTTAACCTCTCACGGTTGGCACAGCACACGAGGGGGGGTGGGTGGCCAACATTACATCTGGCTGCCTTTTGTGTCTCTGCCTCTCTGGCTGGCTGCTTTTGTCTCTCTGCCTTTACACAACGAACCAGGTACAGGACCAGTTCACATATTTGCTACTGTTATTGATCATGAGCTGGATTCGAACTTGGGTCGCCGGTTGAGTAGCACAGTGAGCTAACCACTCCACCGCCGCTCAACAAACAGAGACACCGAGAGACACAGAGAGACAAATATTGTAGCCACGTGAGGTTGTGACAAAGACAAAGATTCCCCGTATACCCTGAACAGATTGTTGGGACAAGTGCTGTTAGCGAGCACCTACGAAGGCCGGCACGGCACAGAAGGTGGTGGGTCGCCAGCACCAATGGTGATGTTTACACACCACACGAGGTACGCATTTGAGGCTCAGTCGACCTAGGGGAGGCCATGACCGGTTCAGATAATTATCACAGGTGTTGGCCGCACGTGGGAGTAAAACTCGGGTCGCCGTATTCGCAGGGCAGCACGCTCACCGCTACACTACCGTACGGCACTTTGTATGTGTGAGTGGGGAGCGGTAGTGTAGCGGTTAGCGCGCTGCGCTATGAACCTGGCGACCCGGGTTCGGTTCCCGCTCACGGCCAACACCCAGTGACAATTATCTGAATCGGTCCTGGGCCTCCCCTAGGTCGACTCAGTCTGAAATGAGTACCTGGTGCGGTGGATAAAAACATTGCCACTGGGGAGACAAAGGCGGTCGGGCGTGGTGCTGGCCACCCACCCCCTCGTCTACCGTTCCGGCCTTCATAGGTGCTCGCTAACAGCACTTGCCCCTACAGTCTGTTAAGGCACCGGGCAGAAAATCCCCTTCCTCTGCCTCGCTTGTGTTGCGATTCGGCGGCCGATGAAAATGCACGCGGAGAGCTCGCCCCGCACGTGGCCGGGCGCCCACTTGCGCGCCTCTACCGCCGCCGCCGCGAGCGCCTCGCGTTCGAGAGGGCAGCACGCTCGGGGAGAGCGAGGGATGCGAATCGCACGCGGGGGGGGTGTTACGTACGTGTCGGGGGGGCGTTTTGTGTCGTTGCTCGCTGCGGCGTGCGCCTAATGATCGCGTTCCGCCCTGTGATCGGTTGGGATTCTGTGCGTTTCTTTGCAGAGCTGAGAAAACTGAAGTGCTCAGCGAGGATCTCTTACAGGTGACTCTCCACACTCCACAGCCAGTGCTGCTCAATCTTTTTCATCCCACGGCACTCACTTTCGAGATGGCTCCATCTTCTTGGCCACACCCAACCAGAAAGCCACTGTGGGTGGATGGGTTTGAGTGGGTGGGTGGGAATGCATTGCAGCTGACCGAAAATTCACAATCCCATGCCTAGACTTATCTTACCGAGAACAAGGACATGAAGTGGTGTCAAAATTCGTGACGATAATTTGTGTTTGTGTCTCCGGGTCCGTGCGAGTGTCTCTGTGTATCCTCTATGTGTCTGCGTGTGTCTCAATGTTTATGTCTGTGTGTGTCCACGTCTCTCTCTGTGCGAGTGTCTCCGTGTGTGTACGTGTCTGTGTATTTCTGTGCCTCTGTATTTTTGAGTGTGTGTGTCTCTGTGCATATGTCTCCGTGTCTCTGCATGTGTTTCCGTGTCTGTGTGTGTCTTTATATTTTTGTGTGTGTCTCTGCATGTGCCTCCATGTCTCTGCATGTGTTTCCGTGTATCTGCATGTGTCTTCGTGTGTGGTTGCCCAACTGTGCAAGCTTGACTAGTGAGTTGGGAGGGCCGGGGGTGGGGACTGACAGCTGCCTGCTGCCCTACTGCGCCGTGACCAACGGAGAGGGGATTGCGGGAGAAGGGGGGCGGGGGCTGAATCGTCTGTCCTAGCTTGTGAGCAGTGAGGTTCTTTCCGATGATTGGCCCAAGCAGTCGGTGGTGCAAAGCCTGGGAGGAGCCTTTTGAAGGCCCCTTTTGTGTGTCCCGGTCTCGGACCAATGCCCATCCCTCGTGGTGCACCTGAGCGAAGCACCCCGAGAAATGTAACCCCTCCCATTACTAAAGTCGGGGTTCACAGCCGATACAATTGAACAGCGCTTAGAGCCCTTTGCCGAAACACTGAACGGATGAAGGCCTCCTAACCCCTTGTCATCATGGGGGGGGGGGGGGGGGGTAACCGTACTTCACCATGCCGAGCAGTACACTTTGGTGAAGGGAGCACCGAGGAGTGCTTTAATTGTCACTTGACCCCTGATGTACGTGGCTGGCAATCGAACCCGGGTGGCTGGGTTCTTAAGGCAGTGCACGGAATGCGTTCACCGAGTGGCACCGTAGAGCGATGGAATAATCCTCGGGCGAAGTGGTGGCACGGGGCGGTGACCTCCGCCCCAACCGCTTGCACCGCTCGTGGACGCCAACGCCCTGCAGTGCGCGTCGGATGTTGATGCTTTCCCAGGTCACCCTTTGATTTCGCAGGTCAAGCTCGTGTGCGCCCGTGCTGTTGTTCTATTCGCGGGCGGCGCTGTTAGAAGTGAAAGCTCACTTTTAATTAGCAGGAAGGCGATGCGCACCCACGCGACATGTTTTGCAGTGGATAACAAGCCGGGAACGGGCCACTCGGGTTACGAATGAACGGCGCGTTAATGGCCCTCGCCGTGCCGCAAGGGGGAACACTATTAGACAGGCGCAGCACAGAGTGATGTCCAAATTGCGAGTGGCTTGTTCGCCGAATCGCTCGGCAAAACGAGAAGAGACACCGCGCTCGCATCCCGCGCAGCACGAGGCGGCGCGGGCGTGCGTCGTTGGCATGATGGAATCTCTCGTCCGGCGGAGGCGAGAGGGCGCAGAGTAAATTCGCGGGGGCGGCCGCGGCTTCTGGGTTAAGTCCGCACGGGGGGGCGGCTCAACCTGAGGAGGTGCGTGGGCTCGGGAGCGACGTACCGCGTGTGGGCTACGTGTGTGGTGCGTGCGGTGCGTGTGCAGTTCGTGCGGGCCAGGGTGGTGGCCGGCGTATAACGACGTGCGGACCGCGCGGCTCTCGCGATGCGGTGTGCCGCGGTACGGTCGGTGCGGTGGTGCGAGCGGCGTTGACCCCGTTTGCCGTTGCCGCAGGTGGAGAAGCGCCTGGACCAGGTGAAGGCCGTGTCCCACAGCACCCACAAGAAGCTGCTGGCATGCCTGCAGGGCCAGGTGCAGGGCGACTATGAGAAGCGCATTGTGAGTGCGGCCTCTCCCCTCCTCGCTCTGTCGCGCGTTCGCCGTCCGTGTGAACGCTCGCTATGATTCATCTCCCTCGGCAGCGTGCGCAGCATGCCGCCTTTGTCGCGCCCGGCAGGCCGCGGCTGCGCACTTGCAGTGAGAGTGTTTTGAGATTCTCGCCGTGGAGATTGGTCGTCGATAAACCGCACGCCGTAACGCCGACTTTCCTGCCCGGCGGCGACAGCCTCCTTCGTGAGTTGCGCGACGTCGTGCATCCGAACGGCATTGGCGGAATTTCGATCGATTCCAAACATTCGGCAACGCTCGGTCGCTTCGATGGCGCCGCGTGGAGCCGGCGACGCAGCGTGCGCGAGAGTGCGTGGTGCAGACTGAGAGGTGTTAGCACGGAGTATTACACACACACACGTGCACACACACACGCGCACGTGCGCACGTGTGTGCAATTTATATGTAAGTGTCTCCGAGGCGCACGCGTACCGCTCCGGCCGCCGTGATGGATAGTGTGGACGAATTAATGGAGAACTTCATTCTGGTAACGTTTTCACGGTTTTTAATTACACCAAGCGTAATGTCTGTGTTCTATCTGCAGTCAATGTGCGCTGCGTCGGTAATGTTTTATGGAAAGGTGGGTGTTGTCGGATGGACGAATACAATTTTCACTTGTCGTGTTGTGCGGATTTGCAGGGCTGTAGTCTCCATGCTGTGTGCATTCTATTCCGATATCCCCTCTCCTCTGTATTGGATTGTAAATGTGGTGCAGAATCGCAGATGTAATGCAATCAGATGCCATCAAGTTGTTAAATAGCATTAGTCATCATTGTATATTGGTCGTCATCATCAGTATTATCATGGTCACCATCAATAAATATACAATCACAGATTAACACAAGTTGTCCATAATGTTTAACATCGTGATCATATCATCATCATCACCATCCTTATCCATACGTGTTATAGAATTGCAGAATTAACCACGGTTATCAGCGAGTTAAAACAATTGTCATCCTCATCGTCGTCATCATCATCGTCGTCGTCATCATCATCATCACCCATGCAACCCCGTAGCCAGTCGCTCTTGGCAATATCCGGTCTGGAACCAGGCTGCCTGTGTGAGGTGAAGCGCGTCGTGCTGCGCGCCCGTCAGTGTCGCGCCGCGCTCGCCGCGAGCATTAGTATTCGCCACGTGTTGGCCGTGCCGTGCGAAGCCCACGGGCTTCGCGTCGCTCTGCTCACTCTCTCGCGCTCTCTCTCACTCGCTCGCTCGCTCTCTCTCTCTCGGCTGTGTTTCAGAGGAAGCTTCCACAGTCCGCTCTGAGTCAGTGTCTCATCGAGGGAGCCGCCACGCTTGGAGATGACTCCCTGCTCGGGTACTCCCTCCCCTCCCCTGCCCTCCCTCCCGCCCTGCTCTCCCTCCCTGCCTTCCCTCCTTCCCTCCCTCCCTCCCCTCCCTCCCTCCCTCCCTCCCCTCCCTCCCTCCCTCCCCTCCCTCCCTCCCCTCCCACCAATCTCTCTTTGTGTATCGGCTGGGCCTCCTAACGATTAACGGATCCACCCACCTCACCCTTTCGAGGTCACGCTTCAATTCAAGAATCGTTTCTTTGTTTAAAATTGTCACGAATGTCTTGACCTCTAGATGCCGGAGGGGTCACAGTTTCTCAGTGCATCCGGATGAAGCCTAACTGACTGTGGCATTTTCATCTGCATTCCCAATTTAGCCAGATCAAACTTCACTGTCGAGGGTTTCCCATTCTATCCCAATTTTCCCATCGGTGTCACATCATAAGATGAAGTGTCCATATCGACACATGCAGGGCAATGCAACCCTTCGGTTTAGAGACTGGCCCATGGAAGCGGATACCACAGAGCTACGTCTGATAACCGTTCATATGAACTCTGATCCACACACCAGGTGACAGCACCCGCTCTGCTAACAGTAAAAGTGGTGTTTTTTATTGTTGCAGTTGGGATTACATTTGATGCGATGGTTTTTTTTTAAAATGCAATTATTATTGACCGCTGGATCGAGGTCCTTTTGTGCAGTTTCATCAGATGTCGCTGCCTAGATTCAAATCTATGCTCTCAGCTCAGCACAGGGATCTCTGAGCCCCAAACCGGCCACTTGTCAACTCCCCCACACCGTGAGCTCCCGGTTCAATCACGGGTGTCCGAAATCTACATCGGAACCAGCGGTGCCCGGTTCGGTGCGTTGAGCCACCCCATCACATCACCTCACTGCGGTATTTGAACCCACGTCACTGCCAGAGTAGCCGGGTCACACCGTCGGCGACTGAGTGGGTTGAGGGAGCGATGTCGCGGATACTCGGTGGAAGGGAAAGCTCCCTGACGTCTACATCGCCCGTGCACGCGTGATGTAATCTGAAGCCCGGCTCCTCTGGGCTCATTATATTCGCGCCGTCATTCACACGGCGGTCCATCGTGATCAGTTCGGTACTATTAAGAGCGAAGTTTAAAACGGCGACGGCAAAGCGACGCTGTAATTTTACTCCTTGGTTTCTGCTGCGTTTAAACGGACGACGTTTTTTCGAAAAAGCCTTTTGCAGACGATTGTCAGTGCAGCGCCGGGCGGGGTGGCGACGGTGCCACGGCACGGGGCCGCGCCCCTGGGTCGCTGGGCCAGGGACCGTGCCTCCCCACCCCAACCGGGCATGTTCACGAGCCCCTCTAGTCTCAGCTCCTACGCAGTACGGTGAACCCTCTGTCTATTCGCGAGGGTTACGTTCTTGACAACACCTCGCGAGTGCAGAGTTCGCGAATGCAGAAACGTCCAACGGGGGGAAAAAATGGGGTCACGCTCCTAGTACGGGTTAACGATGTTTTTTTTAATTACCTTTTGAATATGATCATTTGACGATGATGGAGGATGAAATTAACATGCATTTAGTAACTCGCGCATAGCGAGAGTTTACTTACTTAAGACAATAAATTGTGGGCCGTGATCAGTCCACTGCTGGATGAAGGCCCCCCAAGCCGTCGGCATCTCCCACAGTCTTACGATGCGATAATTCGTTTGGCTCCTGCGCTTGAGCTGGTTTTACTGCCGCTGCTATGCTGATGCTGTTGCTGCCGCAGCTAATGCTGCTGCCACTGCTTCCGCTGGTTTTGTTGTTGCTGCTGATGCCACTGCCGCAGCTTTTGTTGCTGATGCCGTTGTTTTTCCTGTTGCCGCTGCAGCTGATGCCGCTGCCGCTGCTTCCGCTGCTTTTGTTGCTGATGATGCTGATGCCGCTGCTTTTGCTGTGGCTGCAGGAAGATGCTGGAGCTGTGCGGCGACGCCGAGAACCGCCTCGCCGTGGAGCTCACGGTGCACGAGATGCAGGTGGAGCGCGAGGTGCTGGAGCCGCTCTTCAACCTGGCCGAGGTGAGGGGCCTCCCCGCCGATTGATCCCGGCACTTGACGCGTCCGGCAATCGCGCCACCAACCCAGAAGGAGTACGACTCACGCAATCGGCGGAGATTTGGTCGATTTTCCTTCGTCGGTTGATGGGGCGCCACGGTGGCGAGATGTTAACTCCTTCGCCTGGTATGCAGGAGGTCGTGGGTTCGATCCTGATACTGAAGCCTGTATATTTGGAGATTGCGTCTCTCTCTCTCTCTCCCTGTGGTCGCGTGGCTTTTTCTCCGGGTTCGCCGGTTTTCCCCAACACATTTAGAATCAACGTCACGCGTTTCGAGTATTTGGCTGCGATAAATTCCCACGCGATAAGCCGCTTCGTTGAGCTGTCATTTGTGGCCGGGTCACTTATGAAAAAAAGGGCTACACGGCTCGGTGGGTTTGGTGAACCTCTCCGCGGAACGTTTGAGTGTTCTCAAACGTACGCTTGGGTTTTTGTATTCCTTCAATCCCCCACCCCCACCCCCCCCACATGTTAAATGCTCCTTGGTGCAAGTGGCCAAACATCCCAATGCAGGATCCTCCTGAAAAAAAGGGGCTTAAGACTCGGTGAGACTCTCCTGGATGAATAAACTGCATTTTTGTTGTTATTAGTATTCGAGTTGTCTTCCTGCTGAATCTCATGTTCCTGCCTGCATTCCGCTCGCGCCCTCTCTCACAACGTCACGCAGCAAGGGAGCGGGGTGGGGGGGGGCATGGAGGAGGGGGGGTCATCGCGGGGGGCATCGCTTCCACCTCACGGCTCTTGTGTCTGACGCGGCGACGTCTGCCGAGATCTGGCGAAATCTGGCCGAGTCCTGTTCGGAGGGTTTCATCAGATTGCCCTCGCACACTCGGCCTTGTGAGATGCCGATGGTTTAAAATTACAAGCGAGTTAGGACAATTGCTGCTCCGTGTGGTGGGTTTTTGTTAATTTATTATTTTTCTTTCTCCTTTATCGTAGCCATCGCAGGCCCGCTTGACGCGTCGGCGCTATTTCTGGAAAGTTTCGTCCCGTCGCGCAACAACGCGACATGAAATATGAAAACAAATGGTTTTAATTCGTTGCGTCACTCGAACCTGGCTGAGAGCCCCGAGCCAGCGCCGCTGACTATCCCGGGCTTCGAATTCCGGGCAAGTGACCTGCGATTCCAGAGCCTCAACGTAATCGTCAGTTACCTTGCCCTGTTGTTGCTGCCCCACTGCTGCTGCTGCTGCTGGGTGCCGCGGTGGTGAGATGTTCACTACCTCGCCTGGTATACAGGAGGTAATGGGCTCGATTTTAACCCTGACGCCTGCCGTATATAATGAGTTTGCGGTGTCTTTCTCCACCGTGGTTGTGTGGATTTTTCACCGGGTCCTTCAGTTTTTCCTGCCACTTTTAGCAACATGCGTTTTGGAGTATTTGGCTGCTATAAATTCCCATGTGAAAAGCCACTTCGTTGAGCTATCAGTTGGAGCTAGGTTGCTTCTGAAAAAGAGCTATATAGCTCACTTGGCCTTACCTGGTAAAATAACAAATAATCGTTTTTAGTTTATCTTCTCTGCACACATACAACGTTGGTCCGACCGTGGCCCAACAACATTCGATGCTTCCTGGATAACAGCCGATGTTTCGGGCAACGGCCCTTCATAGCAGATCGAGACTTTTTCAGATTACTTGACCGAGAAATGTTCGGTCTGCAAGGGCACACGCAGAGCTGCTGCTGATGCTGTCACACGACGGGTTTAAGGGGCACGGAGGGAGACCGTGGGCAGAGACACAGCTGGGACGTGGCTGTAAACAAGCAGGGTGGGCTGGGACGCCCTTGAAGCGGCAAACCTCAGTGCAGTCCGCGTGGCTCTAAACCGGCGGGAGGACGGCCCTGGCGAAGGTCGTACTTCGCTCTTTGTTGCGGGAATTTAGGGAGGCAGGGGTGGCGCAAATGGTTACACGTGCACACCCCTCACTGCACGAAGGGCCTGCGTTTGAATCCCTAACCCTGGTGCCTCTCTGCGTGCGGTTTGCATGCCCCTCCTCCTGTGTTCTGCACGAGTTTCCTCCAAGTTCTCTCTCTGCTTTCCTTCCATAGGCTAAATAGCTTGCGATGCAACTGGCGTCGACCAAACATCCCAATGCTGAAAATGTTCACTGTACATTACTCCTGAACGTGGTAGTCTTGAGACCGAGTGAGGCTTTTTCGTGTGTAAACAAGCGGGATCATAATAATCATTAATCATTCAGGTCTGAGTGCTTATTGAACTATCCTGGTCTCTTTGAACTCCCTCCTGGTTAAACAAAATAAACCTCACTTGCCTTAACGAGCTTTCTGACTTTCGCCACCGTGAAGTCGTTCTGCACGACGCGCGATGAGTGCCCGTACGATGCGGTCCACATACAAACTACGGTCGACATCTACACACCAATAAAACCACGGCCTTCAAAGGAAAAATATAGTATGTGCAACTTTTCAGGTGATGGCCCTTCTTTATAGCATATATCGATTTACATAATTTTTTTCTTCAAAGGCCTGCGGTGTTATTGGCGAGCGTGTTGGGGTATTTTGTTTTTTTGCGAATTTGCACCGACGCATTCTCACGGCAACTGCGTGTTTACCGCAAAATCTCAACAGTAAGCCTGTTAAATCTTTACACACTCTCCTCCTCTCTAAGATGCAGAACCATCGCTCTCACAATTAAAAGAAAAAAGTACGATTTTAAAACCAAAACAAAAATTCCCAGGTAAGTGCCCACTGAGCTGTATAGAAGCGACCTGGCCACAAATGGCAGCTTGGCGAACTGGCTTATCGCGTGCAACATTTCTAACAGCAGCCAAATACTCTTAAATATTCAATCAGCGCTCACGAAGAAGGTCCTCTAACAGGGTCATCAGAAACCAACGGATCACTCTGTTCGTATCGCCCACGACCGCATCTGACTCGTCTCCACCGTGTAAATGGGGCGTTTGCTCCGGTTGACGCGTCTTAAAAGTAACGTTGGGCACGACGAGGCGTGAAGCGTCGTCGGACAGCGTGCGGGGAAAAACACGCGGTGGGGAGCACGAGCCGGCAACGCAACGGAGAGAGCCGAGTGCAGCGCGACCGTGGAGAGCCCCCACCCCCTCCCCGCGTACCCCCCACCAAACCCCCCCACCCCCCCCCCGCAGCCCTCCACCCCCATGCGATGCGTCTTGACAATGGCCAAAGCAATCGATGCCTCCGTTAATAAGGCGGTGGATCGACGCCGCTGGCAAAGGCCGAGCGTGGCGTCATCGCCCGGTCAACTTGGCACCGAGCCGGAACGATGCCCCCCCCCCGCACCCCGAGAGGCGACATCTGTCTCTTACTCACGGCGCTCGCTGTCAGATTCACACGAGAGCGATGCACCCCCATTCCCTGCCCCCCCCTCCTCTGCCCCCCGCAAGCACGGATGCAGTTTCAGGCCCATTTAATTTGACCGTCACTGTGCAGTGGCTGTGTTTTTTTTTATCGGCACAATCCAACCTCAGCCCGGTGGTGCCTATTCCTGGACCCCTGCACTCTTATTATTGTTGTTGTTCGAGTAATAGCGATGGTGGGTATTGTGTTCGGATCCTTCAGTTTTGCTGTTGCTCGTTAAGCAGTTGGTTTTGAGAGCCGTGTTTGGTTTCGTGTTTGGATCGATCCGGTGTCCTCCCCAGTTCCCGGACTCCTCCCCCCCTACCCCCCCCCGTGAACTCTCCGGCCATCAGTGTCACTTCGGATATCCTTCGGTTTGTAACTCGCGACGTTGGCGATGTAAACTCCACACGTGTGTTGCCACAGATGATAGCTCAACGAAGTGGCTTTTCACGTGGAAATTTAGAGCAGCCAAAATTCTCTCAACGCATGTTGATTCTAAATGTGGAGAAAAATCCACGAGACCACGAGGAGACAGAGAGACATGCAAACTCCAACCATACAGGCGTCAGGGTTGGCATCGAGCCCCCTACCTCCTGCATACCGGGTGAGGTAGTTAACCTTGCGTGTCTATTGGGAGTGTCCTGCAGCTAGCTTACTTTTTTTTTAAAATAAAAAACAAGTTTAAAGTTATTTCCTGCTCCAATGAGCTTTGAGACGGCACCCATATCCTTGTTTACAGCGCTGAACCAGTGGTGGAAAATCTTCTTCCCTTTGGTGCGGGCGAATCTATTCACACAGCAACCACTGTTGACTTCCTCACAAACCAGTTCTCATGTTATCACCCCGGAGGTGTGATGGGCTGAGTCAACCCCCAAACCAGGATTTAAACTGGCAATCTTCCGACCGCGAGCCGCTCTCTTTACCGCTCGGCCAGCCGGGCGGTCACTTCTCTGAACGGTCAACGTGATGTCTCCCAACTATGGAGCCCACAATTTGTGAGAGTTGAGTGAGAGAGCGCGGACGGCAGAGGGAGGGGGGGGGGGGGGAGACGCCGAGGGACCCACCCTTAAAGAGCGCCGCAGCTACTAAACTCGGCGCACTGCGGCGGCGCGCGCTGACGGCGCCCGCTCAAACGCAGACCCCATCCACCTCTTGTTGGACTCGCGACGCCCCGAGCGCGCGGAGCCTTATAAAGCACGGCGGCGGACGCTCGCGCTCCCGACGCAGGCGCCAGCTCCACAATAATGGGGTCGATCCACGTGGGAACCGCGTGTAAGAATAGACGTGGCAGCCGCTGCTGCGAAGCGAACGAGCAGGGGTGCCCGGGCCCTGCTGCGGCTGCTGCTTTCGGAAAGGAATGGTCTCTGCTGCTGTGCTCGACGTCTGCTGGCGGGGAAAGTTGATGGGCCCCCAGGCCTTGCGGCGAGGCTCGCCCGCGAGCCAGCGCTTTGGGAGGGCGAGGAGGGTTGACGGATCTCGCGCGTCAACGTGGCCGCGCGATTGATTACGACTCGTTATCGTTGACCGCTACTGGCAGATAAAAATGCCCGCCGGCGGGGACCGGTGCTCGGTCACATTGTGCCGCACAGGGACAGCTGCCACCTGGGGGGTGGCCCTTCAAATGTTTTGAGATGCTTTTTGTTTTTGGTGCCATTTCTTCAGTAGTTTATTCGTTTTTTATTTCGCTTGGTAGTGGCTGTATATGGGCTATGGTCCTTATGTATGATTAATGCACAGCGTTGTGGGATGCACCTACGATTAGAAGTGCAAGATACATACATGCTATTAGCATGAATGATGCCATATAAAATGAAGGTATTATTTTTCGATGGGATGTGCATAGTGCTTACCCTCCCCTCCGGAAGGGCCGGTTCACATTTGAGTCACGCCATGTCCAATCCACCGCTTGACGGAAGCCTCCCCCCCGAGCCGTCGCCATTTCTCACGGTTCCCTGTGCCGTCCTTCTCGCTCCACGCCAAGTGAGCCGGTCTCATCGCTCCGTCTCCACGGTGACGCGGATCTCTGCCATTCCGTCGCGAGTCTCGTCCGTCGGGCATCGTTCCCTCCTTGGGGCAACGGGTCCTGTGGAAGCTGAAACAAACCTGTCTAAATTTTGATTTAAAGCTTTCGTGACTGCAGTAATTCATATTCTTAGTTTTTTCGGTAAAGTTATGTTGAAGAGAAAGATGACCGTTTGAGTTATGGTCGAAACGTCGTGAGAATTTTTTTATTGTTTTATATATTTTATTATTTTGTTGTTTCTCTTCAACGTGACTTTACCGAAAAAACTAAGAATATGAAACATGTGTCTGTGTGTGAGTGGGTGCACGTGTGTGTGGGGAGCGGTAGTGTAACGGTGAGCGCATTGCTCTACGAATCCGGTGACCCGAGTTCGATTCCCGCTTACGGCCAACCCCAGTGATGGTTATCTAAACCGGTTCTGGACCTCCCCTCGGTTGACTCAGCCCCAAATGAATACCTGGTGCGGTGTGTAAACATCGCCGCTGGGGAGACAAAGGTGGCCGGGCGTGGTGTTGGCTCCCCACCTCCTCGTGCGCCGTGCCGGCCTTCGTAGGTGCTCACTAACAGCACTCGCCCCGACAGTCTGTTGAGGCTGTATAGGTGGGGGGATCTTTGTCGTCGTTTTAAATTCGATTCGAAAGATCCGAGTTGACCAGCGGCAAGTAGCTGTTGGTGCAAGGCAAGACGCGACGACGCGCACCGTCGAAGACCGTGTCCGCTAACTGAGCTTTCGCGGGCACGGTCCCAGTACGGCGCCTCTGTCTGCGCACGATGAAGCCGCTGCCTGGTTCGGCGCAAACACACGCGCCAGCAGCATTGCCGACGAGAGGTCGAACAAAGTTCCAGAGGCACGGCCTCACGTGTGTGCATACGTATTTGTATTTTTATTAAAGTGCCCAAAACTTCTGTGCTGCACGGTGGCCCGGACATTGCAGGACAGCGAGTGGGTTTCGTGAACCCGCCTGTACAGACCCCCGGAGTTGATGTTCCCTCGTACGCGCCGGTGTTACCTGGGTGCTTCCGGTTTCCGCTCGCCGCACGGCGCTCCTTAAAATGGAACTGGCAAACGACCGCGGTAGAGATCCTTGCTGGACACAAAAAGAAAAGGGGACACTGAGACTCGGTGAGGTTTTTCCCTGCATAAATAATAATGTTTGGTGTTCTGTTTAGCGTCGTCATTCATGCACATTGCATCTGGCAATCCCTGGGGAACCACACACGAGCTGGATGGCGGCAGCCGAGGCGGTGAGCGAGCAATTCCCCAAGCTCTGCGGTCCTCTATATACGGAGATATTTTCAGACAATTAATTCGTGTTTTATAAATAAACGACACTGCTATTTGATGTATTATTATCCGTATGCTAGTTGTATTTGCGTATGTTGAACTTCTTTCGCACCGTACTTAGCCTACCGTGCTAATCGGAGGCGCGGGAAATCAGAGGTGTGGTGACCGGTATGACACCGGCCACCACATTTCCTTGTCGTGCAAATTGGATTATTATTACAAACACGGAGAGAACGGAGGCCGTTTGGAATCGCGGGGGAGGAAGGTGCGGCATCTGCTTCTCTCGGCTTTTATCCGCAGTTGTGTTTGTGCGAATTCACGCTCCCTAGTTTAAGCTCTCGCATTTTACAGGGAAGTCACGTGGTGCCGAGTAGATGTCCCGGCGGATAACGACGATTGATTTAGATGATGCTGCTGCTGCTGGACACGGCCGCTTCAGCCAGGTTGGAGGCTGAAGTAACGAGAGCTCGTGTTTAAATATTGGTTTGTTTTGTCAATTCATCCCCCTTTCCTCCTCGCTTGGTGCCTACTGTGCACGTGTTATACACAATTCATAAACACAGCGCACATATAAAAAAACAACAAAGACAAAGATCCCCCCGTACAGCCTCAACAGACTGTTGGGACAAGTGCTTTTTGCGAGCACCTATGAAGGCCGGCACGGCGCACGAGGGGGTGGCTGGCCAACACCACGCCCGGCCACCTTTGTCTCCCCAGTGGCGATGTTTACACACCACACCAGGTATTCATTTGGGGCTGGGTCGACCTAGGGGAGGCCCAGGAACGGTTCAGAAAATCGTCACTGGTGTTGGCCGTGAGCCGGGAATCGAACTTGGGTCACCGGTTTCGTGGGGCAATGCGCTCACCGCGACACTACCGCTCCCCATACACACACACACACACACCACTGGGGAGACAAAGGCGGCCGGGCACGGCACTTGGCCCTCTCGCGCACCACCGAGCAGTTGCCAGCCTTATAACAGAGCGCTTGCCAACAGCGCTCATCCCAAGGTTATGTTGGTTCAGTGTTAAGTATATTTAGTTGTGAGAACTCCGTAGACAATAAGACGAGGATAGATTCTCGTTTGCGAGAGTGACCTGCAGTTGCGAGCGCGATCGGAGTGATGTCAACAGCATTCCTACAATAGGCTACGTGGGGAATCGCTGTATATGCGCGTTTGCCTTTGAGCGCTGTGTAAAATTCGCCACGAGGGAGACAAAGGTGGCTGGGCGTGGTGCTGGGCCACTCACCCCCTCGTGCGGCGTGCCGGCCTTTTTTTAGGTGCTGCTCGCTAACAGCGCTTGCCCCAACCGTCTGGTAAAGGTTGGACGGGACGGGGGATCATTGTCTTTGTGTGTGTGTCTGCATCTGCGCAGGTGGAGATCCCAAACATCCAGAAGCAGAGGAAGCACCTGGCCAAGCTCGTGCTGGACATGGACTCGGCACGAGCAAGGTGATGCAGATGATGACCACAGTGGTGATGTTCACAATGATGATGGTGGTGGTGGTGGCAAGTGGTGATGTCTCCAATTATAATGTTGACAATGATGATAATGATAGTAATAACATTCACAATGATGATAATGACAGTGATGATGTTCACATTGATGATAAAGATGACAGGGGTTATGTTCACAGTGATGATAACAGTGATTATGATTACTCTCGTTTACCCAGGAAAACATCACCAAATGTCACGATTCTTTTTCAGGAGGGTCCTGCCTAGTTTCCACAGTTGGGGATAATGATTGCAGTATACACTCCAATTGCATAATTTGAGGTGTATTTTTTATTATTTAAACCATGACACTGGCACACAATGGCATGGTTTTCCAAATGACTTCACATGGTCTTTATCGTTCACTGTGAAGCGTGCAGCTCGCGTATTGTCAATAAAGTGGCAGTAATGACGAGGGTGGCCACAGGATTTGTACCGTGAACCCTTGCAACAAGCGGGCAGCGCTCTATCACCGAGCTGCATGACCCACCCTGATGATAATCATGATGATTATTTAGATTATTTGGTTGCTATAAATGTCCACGCGATAAACCATTTTGTTGAGCCTTCATTTGTGCCCCAGGTCGCTTCTGAAAAAGAAGCTAATAGCTCAGTGGGCTTTACATGGTAAAATGAAAATTGTTTAGTTTTGTGTATTTAAAAAAAAGATTTGTATTCTTTGTTGCTGTGACGTTCTGACCCCGTACCCCTACTGGACATCTGTGAAAAAGAGATTTACAGCTCATTGGATTCCTCTAGTATAACAAACTTATTATGATGGGTTTTTTTTTTATTTAAAGCTTTCATGACTGCAGGGATTCATATTCTTGGTTCTTTCGGTAAAGTCACGTAGAAGGGAAACAATAAAATAATAAAAATATAAAAAATAAAATTCTCGCGACGTTTCGACTGCAACACAAGCAATCATCATCAGGTGTGAAAATCACAGCAAGAAAATTTGAAAAAAGTGGCGGTTTTTTTAACGTAAGCAACACGGAGAGCGATTTGACAATTTGTTCAGATGGACGAGTCCATCTATGTTCGGAAAAGAGGAGGGGGGAGACGAAAATAATGGATGCGGTCTGAAAGCCACCGTAAGCGTGAACAATCAATTAAGACCCAAAATGGTTTATCAAATTCTTCCAATGATTGCTAAGCCAGAATCCATTTTCTCGGTTGAAATTGTATCTGTATTTGTATATGTGGATAGCCTCATGAATACAAAGCAGACCTAAAACACGGTAGGACCAACACCTCGGCCATCGCAGATCACTGTTATAATTCAGTAGGCTCACATGACATTGACTTATCCAAGACAGAGGTTCTTTGCAAGCCATCTGGCTACCATGAGAGATTCGTTCACGAGGCTATCCACATATACAAACACAGAGACAATTTAAACCGAGAAGATGGATTCTGGCTTAGCAATCATTGGAAGGATTTGATAAACCATTTTGGGTCTTAATTGATTACGCTTACGGTGGCTTTCAGACCGCATCCATTATTTTCGTCTCCCCCCTCCTCTTTTCCGAACATAGATGGACTCGTCCATCTGAACAAACTGTTAAATCGCTCTCCGTGTTGCTTACGTTAAAAAAACCGCCACTTCAAATTTACTTGCTGTGGTTTTCACACCTGATGATGATTGCTTGTGTTGCAGTCGAAACGTCGTGATAATTTAATTGTTTTATATTTCTATTATTTTATTGTTGCTCGTCTACGTGACTTTACCGAACCAAGAATATTATTCTGACGTTGTTGAAGGTCTCTCTGGATTTGTGCCTCCTGCAGGTGGCAGCAGGCCACAAAATCTGGAGCCCCCGGGACGAACCTCCAGACCCTCGCCGCCAAGGCCGACTCCCTGCGCGAGGAGATGGAGGAAGCCATCAACAAGGTGGAGATGTGCAAGGTGAGCCCCCCCTCCCCATCTCTCCCTGGTCACGGTGGCGAGAAGTTAACTCCCACGTCTGGTTTGCAGAAGGTCGCGGGTTCGATCCCGACCCTGATGCCTGCTGTATATTTGGAGTTTGCGTGTCTCTCTCTCTCCCTGTGGTCGCGTGGATTTTTATCCGGGTCCTCCGTTTTTTCCCTCCACATTTAGAATCAACGTCATGCATTTCGAGTATTTGGCTGCTGTACATTTCCACGTGATGAGCCCAACTTCGTTGAGCTATCATTTGTGACCAGGTCGCTTCTGAAAAAGAGCCATATAGCTCGGTGGGTCCTACCTGGTTATAATAAAAAAAAATAGTTTAGTCCTCGCGCCGAACGCGACGAAGCGTGAGGACGCCACCGAGCGGCGCTTCGTGAAGTTAAACCCGGACTGGAGGGGCCCGGCGTGACCCAGAGGTCAGAGTCAACCCTCTGTCTGTCCGCAGGGCGTTACGTTTATGAATAATAAATAAAATATAACGAACGATCTTTTTTTACATACCTTAAACGATAACCACAATAATTAAATCAATATTTTTTTTAAAGAAGGATGTTTTTTTTTTATTACCTTTTGATAATGATTTGACAACGCTGGAGGTGGTGGTGAGGAATTCAGGAGAATGACTCCCCGGGAGATGCAATTGGATGCTTGGGAGCCATGATTAAGGGCTATTAACAAGCAAGTTAGTACCAAGTAAAAATGCACAGCAGCGAGTTCAGAGGAGATGCAAGGCAGTAACTTGTTCCTGGTACCGCGGGATTACCGCGGGATTACTGCGAGATTCAGGAGGCGGCGTGCCTCATCTCCGCAGACGGTTTCAAATCTTTAATTCTGCGTGCATCTTCCCGGTGTCGGCGGTCTGTCGGCGCTACTACGTACACTCGCGAACGCCGTATTCCGGCGGGTGTCGCGGATAGGGAATTGGTACACGTCAAGTAACACGCGAGTATGCGAAACTCGCGAATCCAGAACTCGTGAATAGCGAGGATTTACCGCACTGAGGTGGCACCACTTAAGATTGTTGGTTTGAATCCAGGTATCAACCACCCGCGATTAAACCGGCTTCTCAAGTGCGGTAATTTGGCCTCAGCCCGGTAGCAATAATGACCCCATCACATTAATTTGGTTTCTCTCTTTGGCTATTCACGGCTGTACTTCTTCTACTTCTTCTTTCGTAGGGCCGATGTAGATGCAGAGCAACGGCTACAATTTCACATTCAGTTGTTCAAGCCAGATAACCGCGTCAGTAGCAGTGGAGTAGTGTATCATGACCGTGATGTCTCCTTCGTATTTGTGGATTGGGTGTTGCATCGTTATGCGTTGTACGGTCTGTTCTGGATGGCCACAGTCACACACTCCTGGAGAGTTTTCCATTTTCCATTTGTGCATCAGGTATCCACATCTACTGCCATGGTTTGTGCAGTTGGATGCAATTGAGGTTGGACCGACAGTACATTCGGGCCAGCTGTGTGGTGAAAGAGTCAAAATTGGTTAAATAAATCCCGCTCACTGCCCTTGCAATTGCTGCCTTTCACGACCCAACCAGACCCGACCTGATGGCGCTGGCTAGTGTGTGCGCAGTGGAACGCAATGAACTCTGTCCGTTCCAGCTTGATAAATTGGCTTTCAGTTACGCACCAGGTGGAGGCTGGGCTTATTGAACAAATTCCCACACGGCGAACCCGAATGTACTATTTTGTTGATCATTTTAAGTTGTGCGCTCCATTTGGCTTCACGTTACCCCCGTGAGAACATTGACTCTCACATGCAGAGTGCGGTGGTCAAGTGCTGCCCTCTACTGTGCGGATGACCAGAGTTCACGTGAGCGGTCCTCGGCGGTGGCGAGGGCATTGGGCTCCGCTATGGCCGACCCGCGACGCGGTTGGAATTCCGGCACGCGTGGCGGCATCGTCAGAATCGGGATATTTTATTTAGATTGCAGGAGGAATCCGATGAGCTATGAAGCTCTTTTTCACAGATGCCCAGTAGGGGCACTGGGTCAGAACGTTACAACAGCAAACGATACGAAAGCACGATCAGAGCGCAAAGTATAGGAAAGGTAAACACATCACAAAAAATAAAAAAATCTATATCTATGGGGGGGAGGGGGGGTGCAACTTGCTTATCTTCACAAGAACAAACCTTCCCACAATGCATTGTGCCAGCGACATTTGATAATTTTACTTTAAAAATAAATTAGTTTATTTACTACAGTAATGCAGTACTTTCTTGTTATCTTTAAGAAACTATTCCTATGTCTATTTAAACAAAAACCTGTCATCAGAATTTCATTTTATTTAATCCCATTCGGCCCAAACCCCTATTAACTCTCTCTCTCTCTCTGGCCTCCCTGTTTATGTTCTATGAAGAAGGACCGTTCCCCGAAACGTCGACGATTTCATGTATTTTCCCTTGAGGCAGCGTCGTTGCTGAGTGTGGTGAGTCTTTGTTGCTGTTGACTGTGGTTGTGCACCGCTGCTGCGGCGGCGGCGGTGACGGCGGCGGCGGCGGCAGTTTGCATCGTGGCGCCTCGTTGTGTGTGTGCGTGCACATGCAGGACCAACTGGCGACCGACCTCTACAACTTCATGGCCAAGGAAGGGGAATACGCAAAGTTCTTTGCTGCGGTGGGTTGTCGCCCGGGGGAAAGTTTGCTCTGCTCGACGCGACGATCCTGGAAGTCGCCCGCTAGTTGGAGCTGTGTCGCGTTGTGTTGTGCCGGCGTCGTGCGGTGTTTTTCACCCCCCGTTGAATTTCGACTCCGGACTCTCAACGCAGGTTGTACCTCGCTCTGCGCGGTCGTAGTGGTGGTGGTAGTAGTAGTGGTGGTAGTAGTGGTGGTGGTAGTAGTGGTGGTTGTAGTGGTGGTAGTAGTGGTGGTAGTAGTGGTGGTGGTAGTAGTGGTGGTTGTAGTGGTGGTAGTAGTGGTGGTGGTAGTAGTGGTGGTAGTGGTGGTGGTAGTAGTGGTGGTAGTAGTGGCGGTGGTAGTAGTGGTAGTAACAGTAGTGGTGGTGGTAGTAGTGGTGGTAGTAGTGGTGGTAGTAGTAGTGGTTGTAGTAGTGGTGGTGGTAGTAGTGGTGGTAGTAGTGGTGGTGGTAGTAGTAGTGGTGGTAGTGGTGGTAGTAGTGGTGGTGGTAGTAGTGGTGGTAGTAGTGGTGGTAGTAGTAGTGGTTGTAGTAGTGGTGGTAGTGGTGGTGGTGGTGGTAGTAGTGGTGGTGGTGGTGGTAGTAGTGGTGGTGGTAGTAGTGGTGGTGGTAGTGGTGGTAGTAGTGGTGGTAGTAGTGGTGATTGTAGTGGTGGTGGTAGTGGTGGTGGTAGTGGTGGTGGTAGTAGTGGTGGTAGTAGTGGTGGTGGTAGTAGTGGTGGTAGTAGTGGTGGTTGTAGTATTGGTGGTAGTGGTGGTTGTAGTAGTGGTGGTTGTAGTAGTGGTGGTAGTAGTGGTGGTAGTAGTGGTGGTTGTAGTAGTGGTGGTAGTAGTGGTGGTTGTAGTAGTGGTGGTAGTAGTGGTGGTAGTAGTGGTGGTTGTGGTGGTGGTAGTGGTGGTGGTTGTGGTGGTGGTAGTAGTGGTGGTAGTAGTGGTGGTGGTAGTAGTGGTTGTAGTAGTAGTGGTGGTAGTAGTTGTGGTGGTAGTAGTGGTGGTGGTAGTGGTGGTGGTAGTAGTGGCGGTGGTAGTAGTGGTGGTAGTAGTGGTGGTGGTAGTAGTGGTAGTGGTGGTAGTAGTGTGGTGGTAGTAGTGGTGGTAGTAATGGTGGTAGTAGTGGTGGTTGTAGTGGTGGTGGTAGTGGTGGTGGTAGTGGTGGTGGTAGTAGTGGTGGTGGTAGTAGTGGTGGTAGTAGTGGTGGTTGTAGTATTGGTGGTAGTGGTGGTTGTAGTAGTGGTGGTTGTAGTAGTGGTGGTTGTAGTAGTGGTGGTAGTAGTGGTGGTTGTAGTAGTGGTGGTAGTAGTGGTGGTTGTAGTAGTGGTGGTAGTAGTGGTGGTAGTAGTGGTGGTTGTGGTGGTGGTAGTGGTGGTGGTAGTGGTGGTGGTAGTAGTGGTGGTAGTGGTGGTGGTAGTGGTGGTGGTAGTAGTGGTGGTAGTAGTAGTGGTGGTAGTAGTTGTGGTGGTAGTAGTGGTGGTGGTAGTGGTGGTGGTAGTAGTGGCGGTGGTAGTAGTGGTGGTAGTGGTGGTGGTGGTTGTAGTAGTGGTGGTTGTAGTAGTGGTGGTTGTAGTGGTGGTGGTTGTAGTGGTGGTGGTAGTAGTGGTGGTGGTTGTAGTGGTGGTTGTAGTAGTGGTGGTTGTTGTGGTGGTGGTTGTAGTGGTGGTGGTAGTAGTGGTGGTGGTAGTAGTGGTGGTGGTAGTGGTGGTGGTGGTAGTGGTGGTAGTAGTGGTGGTTGTAGTAGTGGTGGTAGTAGTGGTGGTTGTAGTAGTGGTGGTAGTGGTGGTGGTAGTAGTGGCGGTGGTAGTAGTGGTGGTTGTAGTAGTGGTGGTTGTAGTGGTGGTGGTAGTAGTGGTGGTTGTAGTGGTGGTGGTAGTAGTGGTGGTGGTAGTAGTGGCGGTGGTAGTAGTGGTAGTAACAGTAGTGGTGGTAGTAGTGGTAGTAACAGTAGTGGTGGTAGTAGTGGTAGTAACAGTAGTGGTGGTAGTAGTGGTAGTAACAGTAGTGGTGGTAGTAGAGGTAGAAATAGTAGAAGGTGCTTTCCACGAAGAGGGGCGCGCAAAGCAAAACCGCACGAGGAGACAGCTGCCTGCAGAGTAGCGCGTACAGTTTACACACAGTACAGTCAGTGCACATACACAGTACACACAGTGTGCACAAACAGTGCAAACAGTGCACCCACACGGTACACACACACAGTACACAATGCTGCCCCACATCCACACCGCATAGCTGCAACTGAGTGAATTCGAAACGCATGATACTGCGAATTTTGGGTAGAAATCGGTTAGCCGCATGTACACGAAATCGCACAAACGGAAGTTGCGTGAAGTGAGGTCCTCGACCTGGTGCCGGCAACCAAAAGAACAAGAAAACCCAATTTTTTTCTTCAAATTCGGTCAAAATAACTCGATGTTTCAAGAGTCGCAATGCCACGTGGTGAATACGAGACGGTGGGTCCTTGATAAATAGCGGTCACTAAGTGGTGGTCCTTAAAGAGCCGCAGGTTGCCGACCCCTGTACTACATATTAATTCAACCCCAGTGTCCAAAATTACTGTTGCAGTAATATGACAACCCCCATGGAAAAGTGACACCCGGGATCTAAATACTAAATGTTATTTAGACCCCAAGATACAATAGCAGTCTGGCTCGTCTCTGCACCCACCACCCTCCACCCTCTCATTCCGGAGTCAGAATTCGGTAGGCGGGTTGCATTGTACCCTCCGGGGTTCAAATACGACGACACGGGAGAAACACGCGTCCATCCCCCTTCATCTGTCGTCCCCCGTGCAGTTGATCGAGGCGCAGGCCGAGTATCACCGCAAGTCGTTGAGTGCCCTTGAGAAGATCCTGCCGGCGCTCAAGATCCAGCAAGGTGAGCAGCGCGGCGCCGGCCAAGCGCTCCGCAAGCTCGCGCGGCGCGCTCCGCTGCCCGCGGCACATGTTCCCACTCGAGGGGCTTTGTGCTCCCCTTGCGATGTTTGTTTTCCCCGGGGGGAACGATCGCTACGCTCGCCCCCTTTGTGTCGGGTCGTGGATCACACAGTCGGTACGGTGAGGGATCGAGTTTCATTTTGATTTCGGTGCAGTCATCGGTGACCGGGGCTGAGACCCATCGACTCCCTACACTTGAGAATCCTGTTTAATCACTGCCGGCTGGAACCCCCGGATTCCAACCCGGGAAGCGGTGCAGGCTCAGCGCTCTGACCTCTCGGCTATCTGCCGCCTCTCACAGAGAGGGGTAATGTTCGTCACGTGACCGTCAAACCAATAGTTTCAATTGTCTTCGATGTCATTTGGCCAAATCAAGTGGACAACTCAATTGAATGCAGTGGGTTTTTTTTGTGCACTCATTGGTGACCCGGGCTGAGACCCATCGACTCGCCCACATATGAGAATCTGGTTTCTTCACTGGCGTCTGATATCCGGATTGCAACCCAGGTTCTCGGCGCTGTGACGTCCGTGCCGCCCGGCTAGCTGCCCGTAGTTGACGCTCACGAGAGTCGACATAGCAATGGGGGGTTCGGGGGGGGAGCAAGCGAGGGAGGGAGGGAAACGTCCAATCTCGAGTCCCCTGAGTTATGGGGGTAGCCGTTGTTCGCGAGACTCCAAAGCCGCACGATGATGGATGTGACGGGGAGTGAACCCAGGACTGCGCTGCGCGATTACAAAACGCAATTAGCTTCACCGCGGAGGCCAGCGATCGTTAATTACCACAGCAAGATGACAGGGGGAACGTGGGGAGGTTTCTTCTGGAGCCTGCCTCTGCCGAACATGGGCTGCTGCCGGGGTGAATTGGAACTTGGGAGTTTGCTGCGATGTGGCGATGATACCACGGCACATCGTACAATATTAGGTTCACGACCATCATATTTGCCACAGGGTAAAATATGGCTACGTCGTTGCTTTTCTCATTCTGAGACGTCTGCAGGTTGCAGGGTGGCTGTCCCATTCACCGCTAAATGTTCAGAACGTGGAAGTGGCTCGGTATTCATTTTATTTAGAGAGGCGTAGCAGCACCATTGTTTTTAAAGACATTGTACTCACCGTAGAGAACCGTAGTGGACACAACCGCACTCTGATAGCTTGTGCCAAACTGTGCCATACGCCCTCCCGCATGGCCTTGTCGGAGCCTCGGTACCGATATAGTAAATTTATTTGTTTTTATGTACCGATTTCATTCCAAACACGGTTACCGCATTGTGCGCTTTCAAATGCACTTCTGCGGCCGTCTGGAATGCTCTTCCTTCAGATATTAGGAAGCCACTGGAGCTTTCCACTTTTAAATCTAGATTCAAAACTAATTTCTTTCGAACTGCTTTTTATGTTTAGTTTGTTGTCCTTCCCCCGCACCTCTGATTGTCACGGTTGGCTACGTATGGTGCGAAAGAAGCTCTACATACATACATACGTACATGTACAGCAAAACACTAAAACGATCAAAACTGATGACGCACACGTACGTCATCGCAACGAGAAAGGGGTTGAAGCACCGGCGGTTGATACGGAAGCGCTCGCCGCGCTGTCTCGTCGTGCGCTTGCAGACAAGTGGACAGAGAAGCCGTCGTTCGGGGTGGCGCTGGAGGAGCACCTGCAGGTGTCGGGCCGCGAGATCGCCTTCCCCATCGAGTGCTGCGTCACCATGCTGCTGGAGAGCGGCATGCAGGAGGAGGTGGGTCACAGCGGTTGTCATCGGCGCTTCGTAACGACGACGCTCGAAAGGAGGTAGGCCTTCAAAAGGACGTGGGATCCGTTGCTGAATAACCCGATTCAACGCTCCCTCATGTCTGAGACCCCTCGGGCCCACAGTGTCGCCAGCACTGCGAGAGACCCTCCCCCCAACCCCAACCCCCTCGGAGGTAGCTCTGTGATAGCCATTCTTTTGGGCCAAGAGTCCCCGAGAGGATTCTTTGTGGCAATACAATTAAAAAGGCAGCGTCAACAACTGATATTGGGTCCTTTTTTTAATTTGTCCTTCATATGGTAATTGTCCACAGAGAGAGCCAGGTTCTCGATTTCATGAAATGGCCAAGAGCCATTGCCTCGGTGATCTGCCCCATTGTTGGTGATGGAGGCATAATGTTAAAGTTGTTTTAACGTTTTGTCTTAAATGTTTGCGCCGTTTCATGAAAATAGCATCTCACAATCGCTGAGGAACCACAGACAAAGCTGGAAATGCAGCGGCCAGGCGGTGAGCTGGTGCTACCAACACGTGACCAATCTCTGCGGTCCTCTACATGTTGAGCTGGTCTTACTCACAACGAGCTATTTATACAGGTGGAGGAATCCGGAGGATGCGGCAGAAAAACCCCATGCATGGGTTAATTTCATTTATATATTTGTAAAAAATCCGATCACGATGTTCCCGAGCAACCCCTCAATCCATCCCGTGGCTTGGGTACCGATGCCGCAATCGGGATACAGTTTGGGGGCGGGGGGGATGTGGCGACATTTCAACGCGAACAAAAAAACGAGGCCGTCGCTCGCACTTCGAGTGAGGCCGCGTGTTGCCCTCTTCCCGCCAGGGCCTCTTCCGGATTGCGCCGGCCGCCTCGAGGCTCAAGAAACTGAAGGCGGCGCTGGACTGCGGCGCCGTGGAAACGCAGGAGTACGCGTCGGACCCGCACGCCACCGCCGGTAACCTTGCTAAGCAAAACGGTTTTTATCTTGCCAGGTAAGGCCCACTGAGCTATATGGCGAGATGTTAACTGCCTCGCCTGATATGCGGGAGATTGCGGGTTCGATCCTGACCCTGACGTCTGCTGCGTATTTGGAGTTTGCATGTTCTCCCCGTGGTCGCGTGTGTTTTTGTCCGGGCCCTCTGGTTTTTCTGTCCACATTTAGAATCAACGTGTATTTAGGGAATTTGGTTGTGATAAATTTCCACGTGATTAGCCACTTCGTTGAGCTATCATTTGTGGCCAGATAGATTCTGAAAAAGATCTACATAGCTCAGTGGGACTTACCTGGTAAAATCATCTTAATTTTTTTTTTTTAGCACCTGCCCCAAGCAAACAACTCAAATGATTATTCAGCACGGTCACCCTGTGTATTGCTGTGTCCTGTGCAGGGGCCCTGAAGTCATATCTGAGGGAGCTGCCGGAGCCTTTGATGACCTTCAGCCTTTACGAAGAGTGGATCCAGGCGTCCAAGTAAGACTTCAGAGTCCACTCGCTCCCTACGGGTTACACAAGCGAGCGGTGCCATGCGGCACGAGCAATTGAAACAACGACGGCAAGGACGGCAGCGACGAGTGCTTTGGTTGAAACGTGCGGGCACGCGCTCGCTCGTTGAGCGTGGAAATGGTGCCAAATTTCCTGCGCTGATTAATAAATCCACCCGCCCCTGTGCCAACAAACTCCCTCGTGCGCTCTTTGTTGTCCTTCCCCCCGCACCTCCGATAAGCACGGTTGGCTACGTACGGTGTGGAAGAAGTTCAGCATGCGTGCACACAAAGATCCCCCATATAACCTTAACAGACTGTTGGGGCAAGTGGTGTTAGCGAGCACCTATGACGGCCGGCACGGCACACGAGGGGGTGGGTGGCCAACACCACGCCCCCACACACACTCAGACAACAAAACAGGCACTCTGCACGCATTAACGCATCGCTAATCGTCACCGTTTATCTCATCACAAACTAAACTAAAATGAAACTTTTATTTAAAGCTTTCGTGACCGCAGGGATTCATATTCTTGTTTTTTTCGGTAAAGTCACGTAGAAGGGAAACAATGAAATAATAAAAATATAAAACAATACAATTCTCACTACGTTTCGACTGCAACACAAGCAATCATCATCAGGTGTGAAAACCACAGCAATTTTCTTTCTGTGGTTTCTTGCTGTGGTTTTCACACCTGATGATGATTGCTTGTGTTGCAGTCGAAACGTCGTGAGAATTTTATTGTTTTATATTTTTATTATTTTATTGTTTCCCTTCTACGTGACTTTACCGAAAGAACCAAGAATATAAAACTAAACTATTTTTTATTTTACCAGGTAAGGCACACTGAACCATATAGCTTTTTTCAAGAGTGACCTGGCCACAAATGATAGTTCACCAAAGTGGCTCATGTGGAAATTTAATACCAACCAAATACTCTAAACGCACGATTATAAATCTGGAGGAAAAAACCAAAGGACCTGGCGAAAAATCCACACGACCCCGGGGAGACATGCAAACTCCAGACATACAGGGATCAAGGGTCGGGATTGAACCCACTCCTCCTGTTTACCAGGCGAGGTAGTTTACACAGAACAGAGTATTTTTTCTCTATCTACGTTTAGCCACAATGCTACATGGCAACTCATAACTAGTTTGTGTTCGCTTCCTGAGCAAGAGCCGCGTCTCTCCATCTCGACAGCTCCCAGGACCCGGACAAACGTCTGCAGGCCCTGAAGAACGTCTGCAATCAGTTGCCCAAGGCCAACTACGACAACTTGAGGTGAGAGGCCTCCAGCAGTGCCCAGTTCGTCCGTACCACCACCAACAACCCCCACCACCATCGCCACGACGGCCCAAGTAGCCGGCAAGCCCACGAATCAACACGATTCATGGCCACAGTTCTTTTGAAGAATGTATTTTATCCGTAACTTTGTTGCAAACGGTACAAAATCACTGCGTGGGTTTATGTCGTGTGGACACAATCAATGCGTGGATTTACATCGTGCGGACACGGGCACCACCTTATATACACCGATTCCAATCGTTACCCTGACCGCGGTAGGGCACCGAGGCCCGATGATCCCTCCATTGATCCCTAATCTTGAGGGTGCATTACGCCCGGCCTGTTCAACGCTATCTGCTGTTTTTCCCCTACATTTTTTTTTTATTCCGGGTTCTTGAATGACGATAAAAAAATACTTACAAAAAAACAACACACGCACGGCGATAATATATTTTTTTCCAGAGAGAGGCCGTCAATTGTAGGCCAGTGCGAGTTAATGGACCTCTGTGAGAGTGTGTGGGTCTCCGTGTAAGTCTTCGCAAGACGTTGTGTGTTTATGCAGCGTCTCAGTCTAAATGCCTCTTAGAATCGGATTCTATTATTTATCCTGGAGGAAGCCGATGAGCTATAAAGCTCTTTTTCCACCTGTCCAGTAGGGGCGGGTCAGAACATTCCAACAACTAACAATACAAAAACACGATAGGAGCGCAAAGTATAGGAACGGTAAGCAAATCACTTTAAAAATATACAAATACAACTAAACCATTTTGATGTTTCCAGGCAAAGCCCACTGAGCTATGTAACTTATTTTTCAGAGGCAACCTGGCCGCAAATGATAGCTCAACGAAGGGGCTGATCACGTGGAAAGTTATAGGAGCCAAATTAATCTAAATAATGTAAATGCTCACATTGCTGTCCGCTGCGTCTCCGTTGCCCGGGATGTGGTGGAGGAACGGAGCAGCCGGCATGAGGGGTCACTGTGCTCCTCCTCCTCCCGTGGTGACCTGAACTGACCCGACAACAGCTTCTTGCGGTAGATGTAATGGACGCGATAATGCACTGTAATTTGCTAAATAACTGTCTAGAGACGTGCAAAATGCACAAAATATAAGTCGTCGTGACGGAGGAAGCTCTCTTATTCTTTGTTACATTTTTTAAAACAAAAGAAAACTATATTTTTGTTAGTGGAAATTGCCTCTCGCTAATGCCACCGCATCTTTGGGGTTCACACGGGGAGTCACGCGTAGGCGCCGAGCGTTCGCGCGGTCGTGCAAACCTCCGCCGTGGGAACGCGTGACCGACCATCGTCAATCGTCTCTTCGTCTCGGCGTCTGCGAGAGCCCCGAGCGCCCGTTAACGCGGCCGCCCCCCCCCCCACCCTCCCCCTGTCGTGTGGGCGGGCGGGGCGCAAGGTACCTGGTGAAGTTCTTCTCCAAACTCTCGGAGCACCAGGACGAGAACAAGATGACGGCGAGCAACATGGCCATCGTGCTGGGGCCCAACATGCTGTGGTCGCCCAACGAAGCGTGAGTGGCAGAAACGGCAGCGTCCGGCGCGGACTCGCGGGCCCCGGGGTTGGGGCTGCCACTTCCCCAGTTCCACGTGGACAGCGGTAGGAGGGGAGACGGTGACGTCCGTGATGTATGTATCTATGTTGAACTTCATTTTCTTGGGTCTTTTGGGGAAAGTCACGTAGATGGGTACGTGACTTTACCGAAAGACCCAAGAATATGAATTTCTGCAGTCACGAAAGCTTTCAGTCACGATTTATGTTGAACTTCTTTCGCACCGTACGTAGCCAATCGTGTTCATCGGAAGTGCGGGGGAAGGACAACAGCAAACTAAACACAAAAAGCAGCTCGAAAAAAATGGGTTTGTCGATCTAGATGATTTAAAAGTGCACAGCTGCAGCGGCTTTCTATTATCGCAAGGAAGAGCGTTCCAGACGGCCGCAGAAGCGCATCCTGCGAGGATGACCAGAGTTTGCGTGGTGATGGTTTACGCTCCTGGACGAGATCAGCAAGGTATTGTGGTTCATCTGTCTCAAGCACTTTGTGTGTAATTAGTGAGACCTTATAATGTTTACGTTCGGCGGTCATCGCCTAGCAGCGGTTGTCACCTGGCAGCGATGGACACCTTAGTTGCGCGATGCTAGTCAGGTGGTTCCTGTGCTTTTTCAACGTTATTGCTACCGTATATGATTATGTTGGCAGTAGCAGGGTGAGCGGTGGTTATCTATGATGTTTGGAATTCGAGGGTCAGGTAAAAGCTCAGGAATTGTAGAGAGGAAAGACAATTATTTTAGCGTGATAAAAAACACACACTAAAATAACTTGTAGTTGCGCGTGAAAAACGACGCATTCGAATAGTCCAATTCTACTGCGTGGGTTTTTGCGGAAGTGCTGTACAGCTCTCCGATGATTTCAAGGTGCTCCCAGCACACGGAGCTAACCGCCAAACGTTACGGCGAGCAACACGCGGCACAACCTGACAACACATCGGAGAGCCGTGCATTAAAATGTTACAAACAAAACGATCGATAGAGCGTGCGAAATTAGCAAAGAAACCCCGGTCATTGCGTAGCCTGGGAGAAGCCAAACACGGAGCGTGCGCAACAGTGGCGAGAGCCACCCTGGAACAACATGATATGCGGTCACGTGAACTCTCCACGTGGCCACGTTACCCTCCCCCTTACCGGCTGCACGAACCCTCCCCCTCTGTAGCCGTACGACGTCAGCTTGTGGTCATGTAACCCCCCCTCCCCCGTGTGCAGGAGCATGACGGACATGATGACGACGGTGTCGCTGCACACGGGCGGCATCATCGAGCCCATCATCCAGAACGCCAACTGGTTCTTTCCTGGAGGTCAGTGGCCTTCCTGAATGGTGGCTAGGAGATGTTATCTGCCTCGCCTGGTATGCAGGAGGGTCGTGGGTTCGATCCCAACCCTGACGCCTGCTGCTGTATATTTGGAGTTTGCGTGTGTCTCTCTCCCCGTGGTCGCGTGGATTTTTCTCCGGGTCATCTAGTTTTTCCCTCCACATTTATAATCAACATCCCGCATTTAGCGTATTTGGCTGCGAAACATTTCCACACGGTAAGCCACTTTGTTGACCTGTCAGTTGTGATAGCTATGTCGCTTCTGGAAAAAGAGCTATATGGGCCTTGCCTGGTAAAATAACAAAAAATTGCTTTGTATCGTATATGATTGTTTGGTTGTTGTTGTTGTTATTGATTCCAGAACTGGATTTTGGGGTGACGGCCAATAGCGGTGCGTCCAGCCCCACCCAGACGAACCACAATGCCAACCACGAGATTCCGGCCACCATCGCTGGGGTTACCACCCCAGTCGTGGGCTCTGTGGGCTCCGTGGGGTCAATGGGCTCCGTGGGCTCCGTGGGGTCCGGGGGACCTCCCGAGGGAGCAGGGGGTACCGGGGGAGGGTCCCCCGAAACCGAGCTTAAGGAGCCGAGGCCGCACAGCATCGCCACCGACAACGTATCCATGGAGTTCCGCAAGGACGGGTGAGCACAGAGAGCCACATACTCACTCGCACAGAGAGTCATGGACTCACTCTCACAGAGAGGCATAGACTCACTCGCACAGAGAGCCATAGACTCACTCGCACAGAGAGCCATAGACTCACTTGCACAGAGAGCCACATACTCACTCGCACAGAGAGTCATGGACTCACTTGCACAGCGAGCCACATACTCACTCGCACAGAGAGCCATAGACTCACTCTCACAGAGAGCACAGACTCGTACACAGAGAACCTTAGACTCGCACAGAGAGCCATAGACTTGCAATGAGACCCATAGGCTCGCACAGAGCCGCAGACTGTGAATTAGTCAACCTTACTCAGCAACCACACAGGGTTCTCAGTGGTTGCTCACTGCTCAGGGTTAGAAATAAAAAATCAAACCCTAAATGGGCTTCTGGATGCAATTCATATCTCCTGCTCTGAGACTCTCCTAGGTTGATCCAGCCTAAAATGAGCACCCGGTGCAGTGCAAACATCAGCACTGGGGAGATGAAAGTGGTCGAGCATTCGGCTGGCCTCACCAACCGGCTCATGTACCGTGCCGCTCTTAATAGGCGCTCGCTAACACCACTTCCCCCAGGACGTCTGTGTAGCCTACATAGTCTACGTGCATCCTGCTGTGCATGTGTGTGGAACAGGGGCACCGTGGGAGCGCAGGTGGCGGCGTCTATCGGTCATCTCTGTCCGTTAACCCGTAACACCTGAGTCTATCCCATTACCTCATATGCCGGCGAGCTTTAACATATCACGGCGCCACGGAGTGCATCTAACCCGGCACCGGCACGGTGGTGTCCTCACCGTTGTATGGTGGCGAGTGGCGGCTGTTGTTGTCGTGGTCGTCGTAGTCGCTGCTGCGCGTGTGTCCGTACTAACAACCTTACGGTGTCTTTTTAACCCCTTCAATGCTGCCTCAGCCTTCGGAAAATCCAAAGGTACTACAAGACACCTTAACCCTCCGCTGCCTGACACTCGGTAACGCGGCGGCAGGAGGGCTGCTGACAATGCCCCCCCCCCCCACACCCCCACCCCCCTCCCCCACCAGGGGAAATGAAACGTGAAATGTTTCGCAGAAAACAAAATAAAAATAAGGAGTGACCGCATCCAGCTGGTGCGCTGGGCGGACAGATTTAGCGCGCCGCGAGTCCGCGTGAACAGAGGCCAAGCCCACGGGTGGACGTCCCGAGCATTCCCTCGACGACGAGGTGTCTGGCACGACCTACTTTCGAATCGCTCTTTCAAATGTTATTCGGAGGCCACTGGAGCGCCGTGCACTTTTGAGTCGAAAGTGAAAACTCATTTCTTTGGAACTGCTTCTCTTGTGTTTAGTTTGTTGTCCCACCCACCCCCGCACGTCCGATTAGCGCGGTTAGCTACATACGGTTGCGAAAGAAGTTAAACATACATACATTTGACGTATGTGTTGGGATATCTTTTTTTGCTGTACATAGCCAACCGTGCTAATCGGAAGTAAAGTCCCTGTTGGGATGTCTCGCAGAACAGCAGTGTGACCCTCCGCGTTAGAGAGTGGACCACGGAAGGGGATATCACAGAGCTACCTCCGAGACACTCTCTCGAGCAACCCTCTTGGTCCGCAACGTAGAGGGCAGCTTTGTGCCACCCACTCTCCCACTGGGAGCAATGTTTGTCACGTGATAATTAAAAGGATAGTTTTCCATCGATAACTGGATACATTCCAGGTCTGAGAGTTAGAGGCTGAGTCTATCGACTCGCTAAACTTATTGTCCTTCCCCCCCCACCTCCCCCTGTACCTCTGATTATCGTGATTGGCTACGTACGGTCGCGAAAGAAATCCGTTGCAGGGGAGTGCCGTTCAGACGAGCGCTAATTACACGGTGTGGCAGCTGTGCAGACCGAGAGTCGAGCTTCTCCCTGCTAATGGGGGGGGGGGGGAGGGGGGGTGAGGAGGGTGCAGATCACGACCACAGACATCTTCGTAGATTCCTTCCTTGACCGATTGCTTCGTCCCATCTGATCGGCCTTTCTCTGCGCGTCTTCGAGTTTTAATGCAGCGTCACTTTTCTTTGCGAAAGCGTCCCGGCCGATGGCCCCGTTGCATTCGGGGCGCGACGTTGCGGTTAGGGCCCAGCCGTAGCCGCGTTCACCGCTCGTTGCAGTGGGCTCGCGGCCCTAATCCGGCAGGCCGGCCCTGGTTGTTATACGTGGCGGATGTAATGGAGCTGTGAATTACTAGGAGCCGTCTGCATCACAGGGGACGTTAAAAGGATCCCCCTGGTGGCGTTCAATATCGGTGGGGCACTGCGCGTTGGAATCGGTCTGCAAATTCGAAAAATGTATCCCCAAAAACTTCATCGGTTTGGATGACACACGTAGCAACAATTGCCCCTTACTGTGAGCCGACTGCAGACTTTATTGATGAGAGCTGTGCACTGTAAGAACGGCGGGAACACCAAACGTACTCGGTTACAATTATCCCCTTTTATTACTCTTATTATGATGCAACAGCAGTGGCCGTGATGTCACTGTTGTGTGCACCGACTAAATAAGAACTCTCTGCAGCGTTTGGGTTCCGTGCTCTTTTCAGTGAGCAATACGGAAGTGTTCCCCTGCATTGGTGGCACACAGCCAGGGATGGAAATGCCATATTTGAAACTACAATATTTTTTTTTATTTTACCAGGTAAGGCCCACTGAGCGATATAGCTCTTTTTCAGAAGTGACCTGGCCGCAAATGAAAGCTCAACAAAGTAGTTTATCACGTGGAAATGTATAGCAGCCGAATACTCTAAACGCTTGTACATTCATGCAAACGACCGCGGGGAGAGAGAACAAACTCCAAATATACAGCAGCAGGCGTCAGGGTCGGGATTGAACCCACGACCTCCTGTATACCAGGCGAGGTAGTTAACATATCCTAGCCACCGCTGACGCCCTTAATTTCTGCGATGTGGGCCGGTGTCTTCATGGGGCGACCGCGAACGAGTCGACTCTGTGGCCGGCGTGCTCGCTCGCTCTCAAGCGACCGCGGTAGCTGTGGCGGGCACTTCCGTGTTGATCTGCCTCCTCCTCCTCCTCACCCCCCCCCCCCACAGCATGGGCGTGCGCGTCATGGACACGGACTGGATGGCGCGCCGCGGGGGCCCCATGGGCTCGGGGAGCTCGCTGTCCGGGGGGGGCGCCGGGCCCCACGGCTTCTCGGGCAGCGTGCGCCGCGCGGCGTCCACGTCCGGCGGGGAGCAGTCGCCCGGCGCCGACGCCACCCCGTTGGAATCGCCGCTCAGCCCCGGGCCGCCGCTCCCACCTGCCGCCACCGCCGGCACCGGCGCCGCGCCCCCCGCGCCCCCCGCGCCCCCGATGCCGCCCGTCCCTCCCGTACCCCCCAGCACTCCTCCGGTCGCACCCGGGGTGGCGAGCCCCTCCGCCGCCACGGTCGCCCCCGCCACGCCCTCGGCCCCGACGCCGCCGGTCGTCCCGAGGCACCACGCGGAGGAGGCCGGGTGAGTGAGTGCATGGCGTCATGCCGGGGAGGGAAACGTGTGGGGGGTGGTGGGATGGGGGGGGGGGGGCTCCCGGGCGGCACCCGCAGAGTCCAGTCCAGCCGTTCTGCGTCTTCACAGTCCACATTTTGCCGAATATGATAATCTATATTCTTGGTTCTTTCGGTAAAGTCACGTTGAAGGGAAACAATAAAATAATAAAATATATATATAAAACAACGTGACTTTACCAAAAGAACCAAAAATATGAATCACTGCAGTCACGAAAGCTTTATATCAAAATTTATGATAATCTACTTACAAATTGACTAAATCTGGAAGCCACGTAGCGAAATTCCCACTTTCAGAGCGTTGCTCTATTCACCTTGTGACACGCAGGGGCAGCTGCCACCGGGGGTGCCCTGCTGCAGGGCGCCTCCAGATGTACTGAATGGGAGGGGGCGGCAAAAACGTTGGTCGACGTTGGTGGACCGCATTTTCACGTGACGTCATCATGAACCGAGGGCGTTAATGTTGGCGGGGGGAATCTTAACCGATTGGCACGGTGACATCGCTCGCACCGCTTTTGCCGTGCTCGCGCAGTCAAAAGCGGGCCGTTGCGTCCAAGGTGTTCTCGGGTCCGGCCCGTGTCTGGCCATGCCTGCCTGTCAGCCCACTCGTTTCGCAGGTGCTCACTGCCCTGTCTCCTCCCTTGTTGTGTCTAACAGCGAGCACTGGCTCCAGTCCAGGCGGCTGGCTTTCCACTGTCCCCCTTCCTCCTCCTCTTCCTCCTTCTCCTCCTCCTCCCTGGAGGAGCGGCCCCCGCCCACCACGAGCTCATTCCACCCAACGAAGCCCCCCGTGGCCGACGGGCTGTTCGGGGGCTCCAGCACGCTGCCCACTTCGCCGCAGAAACGGGCGGCGCTAGGCCACTGTGCCCCACCGTCGCTCCAGATCCACCACCACCACCAGCACCCGCAGCAGCCGCATCCGCAGCAGCCACATCCGCAGCACCATCACCCCCTTCAGCATCACCTACAACATCACCCTCTCCAGCTGCAGCAGCAGCAGCAACAACAGCAGCAGCAGCAGCTGCATCAACAGCAGCAGCACTATGACATAAACTACAACCCTCGGCCTACCTACATCGCGATTCCCAAGCAGCCGTCCCCGTCGGACACTCACGTGCCGGAGCCCGGCACGGCGCCGCCCGTTTACATGAAGACGCCGCTGCTGCTGACCAAGCGCGCCACCCTGGGCGGGCAGACGTCGGGGACGCTGGGGCCCACGGGGGGCGGCTCCTCCTCCGGCCGCACCGTCGGCTGTGGCTGCGCCCGAGAGGGCCGGCCTGGTCTGTATAGGTAACGACGGCACGCCCGAGAGCCCCATCGTCCCGGTAAAACCGCCGCGGCGCCTTCCCGGTGCCGATGCGGGAAGCTGCCGCGTCGCGTCTCCCCCCGTGCCTCCCGTTGCGAGCGAGGATCCTTCCGGCGTGACGACCCAAATTCTGACCTCCGTCATCCTGAGCCCGAACCCTCTCCATGCGTGTGCGACCCTGCATGGCGCTAACCCCCTCCGTGCATGCCGGAGCGTCGCGCCGGGATAGCATCACCGTCATCGCTGCCTCCGCATGCCCCTGGAGCCATCTCCCTCGCCAGCGCTCGCTCGCGGCCCAAGCACCGCGGACAGAACGCATCCGGGGTGCGGCTCACCGGGCCGTTGGTGCGTGACCACCGTGCTCCGGGGACATTGCCCGTCCCTTCCCGCATGCGGCAGCCGCTCCCCGATGGATGAGCGGAGTTTGACGGCGTCCCGGGGCCAGCAGATTCACTCGCCTGCTTCTTCCATCCCATCCTGCCCTTGTGTCCTCCGTGCGTTCCATATCTCTGTGTACTAACTTCCCCATCTCCGACCTTCACCTTCTGACCTCACGGCCTCGCGATGGCCATCGCTACCATTGCAGCGGCGCCTGCGGCGGAACCCTGGCTCTCGCCTTGCGCGACCGCCTGTACTACAGCTGTACTACACCTGTACTACACCTGTACGTGTGCTTGCCGCTCGTAGTTTGTCCGCCCTCTCTAAGCGGAGGCCGCTGTTCCCTGCAGCACACTGAGGAGCTCGGGCAAGGACGGCGCCATGCAGAAGAGCTGCACGCTGCCAGCGCACGCGGGGTCCGGCCTCGCCCAGCTCAGCATCGGCGCCAATCAGACGCTGTCCGGCCCCAGCCCCGGCCTCGGCCGCAGAGGTATGGCCTCCGCCCCCCACGGGCGGAATCGCGCGACGGGCGACGGGCATCACGCAGCGGTCGAAAACCTTGAGCCCACCGAAGGTCGATCGCCTCTTTCACTGCGAGGCCCTTGCCGTGGCAGCTGTGAATGATCCCGCGTCGATTAAAGTACGGGGTTGTCAGGGCTAACGCATACCCCTTTGGTAGCCGTTTAGTACAGCTAAGATGCTTGCTTGCGGTCATGGACGAATGTCGTTTGCGGCGCGTTTAGAAGCGATAGGCCTCTCTCGTGGTGGCGGTCGCATTTGGCCCATAGGTGGCCCCCCACTCTGGGCCATGAGATGATGAAGGGACAGCACCACCAGCCCCCTGGTGCAGAAGGGACTTGCGGTGGTCATGGGTGGTGAGACGAATAAACGTCAAAGACCGACTGAAGGGGGATGGGGAAGACTTGGGGCGCCACGGTGGCGAGATATTAACTAACTCGCCTGGTATACAGGAGGCAGTGGGTTCGATCTCGACCCTAACGCCTGTTGTATATTTGGAGTTTGCATGTTCCTGTTCGTGGTTGTGTGGATTTTTCTCCGGGTCCTCCAGTTTTTCCCTCCATGTTTAGAATCAACATCACCACGCGTTTAGAGTATTTAGATTCTATACATTTCCACGTGATGATAAGCCACTTCATTGGGCTATCATTCGGTGGCCAGGTAGCTTCTGAAAAAGAGCTACATAGGCTCAGTGGGCCTTACCTGATAAAATACAAAATACTTTAATCGTTTCAAAAATAGTTTTAATGCCCCCCTTCTCTCATCTTCCAATCGCCTAAAAATCCCACGTTCCCGAACGTTGCCCCCTTAAAGGAGTAGTAGGGCAGTGAGACCATCCTTTCATTTCCGCTGCTTGTCGTCTGAGTCGCTCGCGCTTTGTCCCGGGCTCTTGTTTCCCCCCCCTCCCCCCCCGCGTGTGCCGACCGTGCCGTGCGCGCCCTGCCGCCGCAGCCAGCAAGAAGCCAGCGCCACCGCCACCGAAGCCGCCCGTCAAGCCGCCCTCTCTGCCGGCGGCGGAGCCGGGCAGCGAGCCGCCCACGTCGTCCGCGTCGACGAGCCGCTCGTCCACGCCACCCAGCACGCCCCCCACCAAGGCGGCGCACCCCACGCCCCCCGTATGTCGCGCCGTGCCCGCGCGGGGGGGTAGGGGGTGAAGGCGGCGGGGGGGGGGGTGGTGGGGGTGCGGGGGATTGGGGCTTCACGTGACGTGGAGGCTGAACCCGGGATGACCCTGCGAGGGATTTGAGAGTGGACGGAACGGTCTTGACGTGTGGCGCAGTGCGAGCCCCGTGGCGACGGTGGCGAGATGTTAACTACATCGCTTGGTATGCACAGATGGCCGTGGGTTTGATCCCGACCCTGACGCCTGCTGTATATTTGGAGTTTGCGTGTCTCTCTCCCCGTGGTCGCGTGGATTTTCTCTGGGTCCTCCGGTTTTTCCCTCCACGTTTAGAATCAACGTTACGCGTTTAGAGTATTTGGCTGCCACTATAAATGTCCAGGTGTTAAGCTACTTCCTTGAGCTGTCATTTGCGGCTTCTAAAAAAGAGCGACTATATAGCTCAGTGGGCCTTAGCCGGTCAAATCTAAATTGTTTCGTTAATAATATAAGAATAGGTTTTAACCATTCTGGCACTAAAACAGTTGTGTTAAGATGTTAATGTCTGCATTAACCACACGTACTTGTGGTGAACATGCAAACAAAAAACATGCTCTGATAACACTGTGTAACACAATTTTTGTTCCTGAGTAGTAAGTGTTATTTCGTAATTGCTTATGCCTAAAAAGTATAGAAAATTGCTATTATTCCCCACAAACTTTGCTTTTGTGACGAGGATAGTGATATTTTGAAATGTACCTATTTTTTATGAGAAAACGGGCGAATTTGTGTCTTTTCGTTCACATAAAGTCAGAAACAAACAACATATGAATCAAAATGAACATGTATTTATACTAAAGTAATACAAAAAATACTGCAAAAGTACGTGTTGTTAATGCAGACAGGATTCCTTGCAAAAGGTTTCCATTTGGTGTTTTAACATCTTAACACCTCCTGTTTGATTGCCAGAAAGGGGTAAAACCTCTTCTTATATTTTGATACTGGCAAGGGAGGTCCCATGGTGTCTAGTTTCTAGTTTATCGTTTAGTTCCTGTCATTAGGGGGGCTCCCTTCCCAACTTGGCCCCGTCTCCCAACCATTTTGCTTCCCCCTTTGAGGCCACGTTTCGTTATGCCTCGCCGAGTGGGAGCGTGTTGTCGATTCTGTGTCACGATGAATAATGGAATTGCCAGGAGCAGGGCCCTATCTCTCCCCCCCTCCCATGCGGTCACGGGGGTGAGGCTCCGTGTTCGACAGCACAACGACGCCTGAGCGATCGGCTCGTCTCCTACCCCTGGGCCAACTCTGCAACCCAATTAACTCCTTGAAGCCATTCCAGAAAACGATTAACTCGATTCTAAAATAGCATTTGTTATAAATGCAGCTTCTTCCATGGTGCAGTCCATAATGGTTATTTTTTTATTTACCACTAAATTCATTCTTGATTTGATATTTAATGAAATGCACTTTTTGTTGTTGTTCCGATTTGCGTTACGAATGAGGAAGGTGCAACCTAGCTAAGGTTAAAGTTTCATAAATGGAATAAAAGACTGCAAAGTGAAGGTCGGGCGCTGCATTTAGTTTTCACGAGAGTGCTGTGACAGAGCACCCAACCGTAAAAACTTTGTCCTTTCTCTGAACGAAGTTGCAATCTCCCGTCGGGATAGCCGCGGTCGCACGGCCCTTGATCTCCATCCACCCCAGTGAGAGACCTGCCTGTCGCCTGGTGCTGCCTGTGGCCGGGGATGAGCCAACTCGTTCTCTCTTGCGTTCCCTTCGCGTCGGCAGAAACCGCCGCCGCTGTCCCCCGCCGACCCCGACGGGGAGAGCTCCGGGCGGATGACCCTGAGCCGCCCGACCCCGCGACCCCGCCAGCGGCCCTCCGTGCCGCCGCCCCCGCAGCCCCCGGGCCTGCACCCCGGCTCTGCCACGGCGCCGCAGGACTTTAAGAGCCCGACGACGCCAGGCTCCGAGCAGCCCATCCTCAACCACAGGCCCAGCATGTCCACCAGTGAGTGGCGGCACCTCCGCACGACCGCCTGTGTACGCCGTAGTCTCCGCATTGCCACGAGGCCACTACCGGCCGTACACGTCAGCTGTCTCGGCACTACCGCCAGATATTCACTACCAGCAGAACCACAGAGAAGTGTCTGCACTACCGAGTATACGTTCAGCTTTCTCAGCACTATTACTTCTAGGGTTGCCACCTTTGCTGCTTTTCTCAGGATCCTCTGGGCTTTTTTTTTTGGTAGCTGTGCTGGAAGATTTGTAAATCTTCCCGGGACATTAAAAGTCCCGGGTTTTGTCAGTTGCGTAACACTGCACGGCTCAAGACACTGATCTCACATGTAACACTCTCCTCTTCCAGTATTGTGAGATATTATTGTTCTTCTTCCCGTCATATGTCTTATTTGTTTGTACTTTTGGAGGTGGCACCCCCAACAGCTAGCCTTGCACAGTTACTCGTTTTCCTACCACCAGCAAATGTAGCCATCTGCACTCCCACCCATACACACAGCTGCCTGTACTACCACCCATACACACAGCCACCTGCACTACCACCCATACACACCGCCACCTGCACTACCACCCATACACACAGCCACCTGCACTACCACCCATACACATGTCCACCTGCACTATCACCCACACATGGCCGCATGCACTACCACCCATACACATGGCCACCTGCACTACCACCCATACACACGGTCACCTGCACTACCACCTATACACATGTCCACCTGCACTACCACCCATACACATGTCCACCTGCACTACCACCCATACCCTCAGCCACCTGCACTACCACCCATACACACGGCCACCTGCACTACCACCCATACACACAGCCACCTGCACTACCACCCATACACACAGCCACCTGCACTACCACCCATACACACTGCCGCCTGCACTACCACCAGAGCTGACCGTGTGCAGCACCGTGCTCTGAGCACTGCGGGGCCTGCATGTGCCGGTCGTGATGACACGTCTCGCCACAAAGTTGCGCCGTGTACATGCGGGCGCCGTACGGTGTTACAGACTACTGCCCTGATTCCCCATTGCCGCCTGCTGGATCTTGCGAAGGCTCGTTTCATCTCCAACCCTTGGCCATGCACGAGCTCATTTTTCCCCGTGCAAATTTCCAACGTGCCCACCCCCCCCCCCCGTCGTCGACCGTCAGGTCTCGCCGGTGGATGCCTTGAAATTTCCCTTCCGTCGCGGTTTGTGCGCATGGCAATCGGTTGCACAACAGCGTGTGAACGTTGAGCTGCCACCGCGGCGACTCCTGGGTTTGAATCCTGGCAACCACCTGGGTTAACACTGGGAGTATGAAAGCACGTTGAACTTCTTTCGCACCGTACGTAGCCAACCGTGCTAATCGGAGGTGCTAAATTCCAGCTCTGAGAGTTATCTAGCCTTTTAATTATCACGCGACAAACATTGCTCCCAGTGGGAGAGTGGGTGGCAAAACGCTGCCCTCTACCTTTGCGGACCAGGAGGGTTGCTCGAGAGAGTGTCTCGGAGGTAGCTCTGTGATATCCCCTTCCGTGGGCCACTCTCCAACACGGAGGGTCACACTTCTGTTCTGCGAGACATCCCAACAGATACTTTACTGCCAATTGGCACGGTTGGCTACGTACAGTGCGAAAGAGGTTCAGCATATATACCTCATGACCGTGACCCCAATGGTACAATCGGGATAAAGGTGAGGAAAACAAAGGGCATATTATTAGCGAAAGGCTAATTTGCCAATTTCCCAGAATCACGCAAAGCCTAACAAAGGCCGCCTCCTCCTCGCACCTCCTTTCATGTCTGCCAAAGTAAAATCGCCGCTGTGCTTTCATCGCAATAACCTCTTGCTTCGTTGGCTCCGAGGGCCGAGGGCACACCTGTTAGAGGGGGGGGGGGGCAGGGCCTCCATGAGCTGGGCCTCCCTTCTGTGCTCGCTGGTGACGGCTGTCTTTTCTCACCTTTGCAATACCCCCCCCCCCCTGCTTGCTGTCTGGCAGCTGTCTGATTGGGGGAGCTCTGGTTGTACGAGGATGCCGTGGGTAAGATGGACTTTCTTTGAACACTTTTCCGAATTCAGAATAGCGCTGACGTTGCCTTGAACTTCAACCGCGGCCCAGTTTGTCAATTTGCGGGGGGTTCAAATCTAGAGCTTATCGCTTTTTACTTGCGTATTTTAAATACTTTATATATTCCGTCAAAATATAAGCCCTTGTAAACTTTTGAAATCCAGGTTGAGTTTAATGCGCAGCTGAATGACGTGCGCCGGTGCTGTGCATGTAACACTGGCGATTGCAAGCCACAGTTTAAGAGTTGTTGAGCTCAGCCGCTTCCCATTGCTGCACCTCACGTGAGCGAAGCTCGCGCGTGAGAAGCTTCCCTCACAGCAACCTAACTGCATCCGAATCATCGCTGCCCTGAGTAAATGCACGTTCTCCTCCGTAGGGTTCTTCTCGGTTGTGCCGCTGTTGTGTCACTGCTGTGTCGTGCTCCGGCGTGTTTTTGTGTTGCACTGCGTTTCCGTTCGGCGCGACATCACGCACGTTTCGATCCACCTCGCTGCGAGTTTCTTCTGGAGCTGAATTCCGAATTAATTTGCATTTTATGAGGGAGCCACAGGAGCTATGCACTTTTAAATCTAGATTGCAAAAACTAATTTCTTCAGAACTGCTTTATGTGTTTAGTTTCTTGTCCTTCCCCCGCACCTCCGATTAGCACGGTTGGCTACGTACGGTGCGAAATAAGTAAAAAAATACCCCCACTAAAAACAAACGTGCCGCCAACGTTTTTGCGTCGGGTTTATTTAACCTCGCCACCAACGCAATACAAAAGCGATGACACGAATGTTATTGTATCCATTCCCTTCGCCCGCGAACTCTGAAGGCGCGTGCCAGCCGACGGCGCACGGTGCGGCGACGGCGGACGGGCTGGACGGGCAGAGGTGCCCGGAGGCGGCGCCATGCACCCAGCCCAGCAACGGGCACGCCAAGCACTTTGACGCGGAGAGCACCGCCTTCTGAGGGCTGCCCGGCCTCCACCGAGCGCCGGGCCCGGCCACTCGCCAAACAACCCACCCCCACCACCGCCACCACCACCACCACCACCAAACCTCCGCGCCACTCTCCCCTCCTCTGTCCGTCTCCAGGTTTTTTGTTGTTGTAAATAAGGAACGCTCCGTTTGCATCGCAATCTTACGAAGTATTATCAAACTTTCCGTGGATTATGCCCGTGCGGTGTGCGTGCTTCTGTCGTCGTTTGTCGTCGTCGTCGTCGTCGTGGTGGTGGGATAATGACCTCAGCCGGCTCAATCGAGGACCACTTCCTTCCCCCTTGTTTACACCGCCCCGTTTTGCCTTGTGTGTGTTTTTTTTGCCGGCAACCAGAACGAGCGCCGCTCGCCTTTCGCGAACGACGCTGACGGTGCTGCTGCTGCTGCTGTTGCGAGATGTGTGCTTGCCAGGGATGAGGGGGTGTGGGGGTGTTTATCCCGTGCGGTGTGACCGGGTCCAACAACTGCCATATCCAATGCATGTCTTTGCCTCTATCTCTGTTTTTGTTTTTTTGGACAAAAGCATCTTTGATTTGCCAAATATAGAACTTGATTGTGGTTTTTTTTTCACGCAGGAAAGAGAAGGAAAAAAATAACAAATGAGAAAAATTTGAATAATATCCATTGATTGTACTGCGAATAGCAGTGAGTATTTAGTCATCTGTGATGTCCATGTATTGTAGATGCAGTATATATTAAAAAAAAACACAAGTATTTTCGAGCAGCAGAATTGAACCTTAATCCAGAGAGAAGGTGAGTGCCAGTTAGCTCGTAGTGCCGTGTGCTGTATTGTAAATCTTGGCGATGTAAATAAACCCGTGTGCAGTATTCTTCAGGCCTATAGCGTTCGTCAGTCACGACGATATCTACGAAGGTACTTCTGTTGCATTCGTGCGCGTCCGTGGTTTGCGGTTGGAAACAAAAAAAAGAGCACTCCAAAAAGTTAACGAGATGTAAAATAAACGGTCTGTTGTTGTGTACTGCAGGCAGTGGCCGAGTGCTTTGCATGGTTGCATGTTTTAAATACCTGCTTAGTTTACGTGCCGTGTGCAGAGTGCGCGCTGTGTGTGCCGAAAACCAGCGGCGGTAGCGATCGAGCGTGCGGGCGGTGCAACTGCACCGGTGCCCACGGAAAAACGGAGCCAGGAGCTCGGCTACGAACAGGGGGGCAATGTACGCGGGGCCCCCAAAAATGAAATCCTTGCACTAGGGTCTGTGCCAACCTCGCTACGCCAGGGCCACTGGCTGACACCCTGTAAGACCCTGGGCCCGTGCCAACCACGTTTTGCCCGTGCCACTGCCTGACACCCCTTGAGACCCAGGCTCTGTGCCAACCATGTTACTCTAGGACCACTGGCTGAGACCATGAGACCAAGGTTTCCCGCTCCCCCGTGACCCTGGGCTGACCGGAGTTGCCTGGACACAGACGTGGAAAATAGCAGGAGCCACGACCACGGCCTGCATGCGGGGACGCTCGTTGAAGGACGTGGTTACATTCGTGAATCCTGTTCCTTGATCTATTTGTAAACAACGTCAAATACGCGACCTCCAATCGTTCACGTGCAACGTGAGAAAAGCAGATGGCAGGCAGACCGTGCAGTCGGGGAGATGAGGTCAATGCTGCTATTCGGCATTAGCATTTCACGGGGTTATGCGAAGACGTGGTGAGTGAGACACGGTGAGGGAGAGACGGGTAATCGAGACAAGGTGAGGGAGATTGGATGAGGACAGGTAGCGAGAGATGGTGAGGGACAGAGGATGAGTGACAGGGTAATGGAGACAATGTGAGTGAGACAGGGCGAGTGGAGACACGGTGAGATAGGTAGCGGGAGAAGCCTCTCTGTTCAAGTCTCCGAGGTCGATGTTGTTGACCTCGTCAGAGTGGAGGAAGCGAGGCCGTGCGTTCGCTGCTCACGAACCATGGACAGCGGCGCCCACGGGGAGGCGAACCCCAGAGCGACGCGACGATGTTAGAGTCCCGGTCAGGGGGCCTCCTTCTCAGGGATCGCGGGGACCCCCCAGCATCAGGCGGGGCCTGGAGCCGCATCCCAGAACCCCACGCCCTCCTCCCCCTGGGCCGCTTATGGGCAGGGGCCCAACCCGATGGGACCCAGGGAGTCCGCCAGGGGGGCCCCGCCGAGTAGGGGGTGGAGAGGAGTGGAGGGCCCTGCCTCTGGCGGAACCCCACAGGAGACGGGGGGGGGGGGGGGGGGTGGTCCAGCATACAGGAGTTCTGCGGTCAGCTGGTAGAGTCCCCTGGTCCTTGGTCTCGCTAGTTGGGGAGAGCTTGGATCTCGTGGTCTGAGGATACCGAAGTCAAGGCCGTAGTGTTCCGCCTCGTGGAGGTCTCGATTGTTCGGGGGTCCAGGAGTTTCCGAGCCGTGTCTGAGATTCTCAGAGTCTGGGAGACCTCTGTTGTTGGCTCCTGAACTTGGGTCTCTGGTTCTCCGATGCGCGGCCCCCGGGCTATCGTGTCTTCGTGGCGACTCCGGGGACTCCGGGTGTTGTAATCGTGCGCTTTGCTGCTGCCGGGGCACAGTGACGTCAGTGTCTTTGTGCGCTTGCAAATACTGTACGTGTGTTTACATTGGAATCGACACATTATTGATCATTTATGTTTATTTTTTTTGCGTGGATAGGCGCATTCGTGAAAATATCAAAGAGATGTCCCCTCCTCCCTGGGCACCGGGACTCGGCCCTGCGCCACGCGACAGCTTAATGCAGCGTTCGAGAGTGTTCGTTTTCATCCTAATGACACCCATGTCTCCGTCACGGAGGGTGCGGCAAATCACCGTGGCAATGCTTCTTAGCCATTTCATCAGCATAAGAACCTGTCTCTCTCTCTGTACGCAGTTACCACATGAGGATGAACAAAAAAGGACTCGATCAGTTGTTGAAACTGCCTTTTTAATGTTAAGCAGATTTTGATTCTTAGTGTTGCCAAGAGATGGAGCATCCGTTCGGATCTCTCGCAGAGCAGTGCGACCTTTCGTGTGAGAGAAGTCCTCGCGGGTGGATATCACAGACGTGAGAGAGAGATCTCTGCCAGTGACCTCTGGGGTCCACACCGTACGTAGGGGACAGCACCGCAGACAGTAGTAATATTTGTGTCGCACGGCAGTCAAACCAATAATTTAAATGAGCTGGAATGTATCCAAAGTGTCGTCGTTGGTGGCCCTCAACTCGCCATACCGTACTTGGGAACCCGGTTTAAACCATAAGGTGGCTGCCTGGATTCGAACCCAGGACCTCAGCGGTGCCGACTCTGCCACCGCCACTTCTCGTAGACAGCAATTTTTTTTTTTTACAATTCATGATAAGACAAACCGACAGTATTAATTCTCAGATGTAATTTAGACAAATTAAGTCCACAACCAGATTTGAAGAGCTGGCAACAATACACAACCCGACAAACGTGAAGTACATCATAGCCTCTGCCAGGTCATCCAGTGGATCTGCTCCGAATGCGTACCACTGTACGCAGGCTGAAGCGTCTCGGTGCTTATGAGCTGCAACAGAGGGCGCGCAAATGCAGGTCGAGCGAATGCTGCGTTATGTTGCGCAGCATTGGTCTTTTACATAGCCTGGAAGTTTGATATCGGAATAGTGTCCCAGAAAGTATGAGAAGAAGTTATTAAAAGTTTTTAAAACATGGTGATTCATTCTTATTTTACAAAAAAAAATAGCATCTTTACATTTATTTGCCGCTATTTTAGCGATAAGTCAAGGGATATCTAGGTCGATGCTCTCCGGTTACCCGGGTGAAAGTGGGCTAAGGCCTAGCCTGCATCTGGCCAACTGGCTCAAAAGGGTCACAAACAATAAAACGCACAAGTGAGAGCCCTTCCCTGGACTCACGCTGGGTCTCATCGCTCCTGCAACCCAGCTGGGCTCGATTCCGAACCACAACGCAACGCAGCATTTAGTTACAACTTACCCAGGTGTGACGTAGGTATACAGCACCACAAACAAAGGCAAATATCCCCCGTATAGAAACAGACTACTCGGGAAAGTGCTGTTAGTGAGCACCGATGAAGGCCGGTACAGCGCGCGAGGGGGTGGGTGGCCAGCACAACGCTCGGCCACCTTTGTCCCCCGAGTGGCGATATTTGCACACCGCACCAGGTACTCATTTGAGGCTGCGACGACCTCGGGGAGGCCCAGGACCGGTTCAGATAATCGTGACTGATGTTGGCTGCAAGCAGGAATCGAACTCGGGTGGCTGGGTTCGGAGCGTAGCGTGCAAACCGCTACACTACCGCTGCCCACAATAGAGCACCGCACGCTCACGCACACGGACTACTTGTGCGTCATTATTGTGCCCTTCACAACGGTCCGATCGCACAGCAGCTAAAACGGCCGCTGACTTTTAGAACACAAACGAAGGCACATTTTTGCATCAGAAAAAATATCACTGCGCGTCACCGCATAATTTATAAATGTCGCTAGACAGGTCTCATGAAGTGTCACAAAACAATCTCCCGAGCGTTACAAACTGTGAATCGATACATGATCCTTAACACTCGCCTGGAATCGCTCCCAAGTCCACATCATGTCCCTCGCCCCAGAAAGTCGTTGGATTTTGTCGCTAATCACTTCGACAAAGTGTCATTTTTAGAGAAACCCCTAAAAGTCGCTCCATCTAGCGACAAAATCGCCGAGCCGGCAACGCTGTCCCAAAGGATGGTCGTCAGGGTGGCGAGATGTTAACTACCTCGCCAGGTATACAGGAGGTCGTGGGTTCGATCCTGACCCTGACGCCTGTATATTTCGAGTTTGCGTGTTTTCTCTCCCCATGCTCGTGTGGATTTTTCTTCGGGCCTTCTGGTTTTTCCCTCCACATTTTGAATGAATATCACGCGTTTAGAGTATTTGGCTACTATAAAATTCCACATGATGATAAGCCACTTCGGTGAGCTAACATTTGTTTGGCCAGGTTTCTTTTGACAAAAGAGCTCAATAGCTCAGAGGGCCTTACCTGGTAAATAAATTTTTAAATATTTTTTTCACTAAAGCCACCTCCCGGCGGCCCGTTAGCAGAGGGCACGGCGCCGACGCCGCTAATCCATCCTCGTTACGGTAACTCCCCCCCCTGCGCCGGCACGACCGGGAGGTGCCGTCAGCCGAAGTAGGCCCAGAGGAAGATGCCGGCGGACATCCAGACGAGGAGGCACGCGTTCATGAGGCGCCTCGCCCTGGGATCCTCATACAGGGCGGCCTCGACGTCCCCCGCAGGTGGCAGAGAGGCTTCGTAGCCCCGCTGCTCCGTGCCGGCGCCCGAGCTCGGCGGCCCGTCCAAACCGCAGAACCACAGCAGCGCCCGCTTCCACAGTGGCCGGCGCCGGGGCAAGCTGCCGTCGGAAGCTGCGCGCACGGTGGGGGGAGCGTGGGGGGCACGATGGTGGTAGCCGAGTGAGTCACCTCGACCGACGGGGCATTGATGCGAAGCGCCAAACCAGCGGGGTGTTACAGTAGTCGTGGGATTAATTCTCGCAACACAGTTGCAAACGGTGTGGCTCAGTGCTTCGGTTTTGCCGTTAAAAAAGTGTTACAGCGCTTTATAGGATTTTTTATTTGGGATTAAAAGTGTTATAGTACGTTACAGGATTTTTATTTGGGATTAAAACCGCACATTTTTCAAACCTCTCCCCATGCTACTCCAGCGACGCCACAGTGGCGACTCCACCGTGACTCACCTCCGTCTCGCGTGGGCTCCGAGTTGCCCTGCGCGATGGACACGTCGTCGCGGAACGACGCTTTCTCGGTCCCCCCGGCGGCGTCGGCGGCGATGACGTGGGCGTCGTTGCCATTCCGGTCCTCGACCGGCGCGAGGGGCTTATCGTTCCGCGTGAACCACGTGAGGCGCACCAGCTGTCGGGACACGGCGCGAATGCAACGACACCACCCCCCCAGCCCCCGCGGCGTTACTGGCGGCCTACGAGCTAACACCGCCCCGCAACGGCGCGACTGCTCTCGCCACATCTCGGGAAGCTAAGCAGGCGTTTGAGCCCGCAGGGGGCCCTTGAACGGGTGGCCACGGTGTCGGCTGCCACCGGTCTACACTGCGGCCAGGGGAAGGCAGTGTAGAAAACTGTAGGGTGGGCCAGATGTCTTGTGACCCCCCCCCACCACCCCCCCCCCCCCCCCAACGAATTGGCCCCGAACATTTTTGTTCCTTTGCATATTCATTTATGCTTTTTTAAATAAACCTTACAGAGAAACGCTTTTACGGGCATTCGATAATTATTTCAAAGGATTCTGGTGTGCGGCAATGTGACTGGCAGAGGGCCGTATCCATTGTTATTGTGCTGTACATGGCCCCACGGTGGCAAAATGTTAACTACCTCGCCTGGTATACAGGTGGTTGTGGGTTCGTTCCCGACCCTGATGCCTGTATATTTGGAGTCTGCATGTTCTCCCCCGTGGTCGCGTGGATTTTTCTCCGGGTCCTGCGGTTTTTCCCTCCTCATTTAGAATCGACATCACCACGCGTTTAGAGAGTTTGGCTGCTGTACATTTCCAGATGATAAACGACTTCGTCAAGTTATCATTTGTGGCAGGTCGCTTCTGAAAAAGAGCTATACAGTTCAATGGCACTTACCTGGTAAAATAAAAAGTTTAGTTTTAGTTTACTATGGCCACCTGCATCAACCAATGTACAATGTACATTACTGGGTGGGTGGGGGGGGGGGGGAACCTTTAAACAATGCGGGAGCCTGACGGAAATCTCAGGAACGTACGGGCCAACCGCACGCCTCCCGCAACGGTGCCGTCACCTGCTCGGGCGTGGGCGCATCGGTGGCGAGGCTGACGGCCACGATGACCACGAGGGTGATGCAGGAGAGGATCATGGAGAAGTAGAGGTAGTGCACGTAGCGCGTGATGGACGGGCGCGTGTCCTCGTCGCCACAGCCCGGCTCGGGGTACACGAAGTCGAGGACCATGCGCGTGAGGCCGACCGCGAGGCCCACCATGAGGCCCCAGAACGTGCCCTGCGCTCGGCACGCGTCGGAACCGCGGTTTGCGGCCGTTCTCCCATTAGCACGGTTGCCAGTGATGGACTGGGTCAAAAAATTGGCCCGGGCATTTTTAACCACGCAAGCCCAAATTCGGGCTTTGGGCAATTATTATATTTGTTTGTCATTGTTGTGCAACAAGCTGCGTAGTACTCGTAGCTAGATTTGCAATGTGACGTATTGGCGTGATTTTGCCGTGCGATCTCATTGGCCCATTTGGACTGGGCCCAAAAAACAGATGGGCCGGTGAGGAGAAATCTTTGGGAACTTAATGCCAACTGAGGGCGTAAATAAGCAATGAAGTGGACACATTTTTGCAATTTCTCTACACAGACCGGCTCACTGGCCCTCGGAATGCACCACCCCATTGGGCAATTGCCAGTACGGACTGCTGTCCTATTGCCCGGTGTTGGCTTTCGTACGGTGCGACAGAAGTTCAAGATACGTGCGTGCGTGAGTACGTTCTGCGGCACTCGCAGTCACCAACTCAAGGCTCGAATGCGTTTCAGTTTTGTTGCCAGAAAAGAGGGGAAAAACCTATTCTTATATTTTGGTACTGGCAAAGGAGGTTCCATTAAACGTTTGTCGAGTCGTGGATTCGTAAGCGGTGAGCAATCGCAGATGTCGCTTGCACGCGTGTTTTTGTTTGCGCCCGTGTGTGTTAACGTCTTTGTATTTTGTGCGTTTTGTATGTGTGTGCGTTTGTGAGCATATTTACATGTGTCTGGGTCCAATGTGTGTCTGTATGTTTGTGCGTGCATGTACACGTCTGTTTGGCGGAGCTGTTTCTGGAGGAACCCCTCGGGTTCTTTCGGTAAAGTCACGTAGATAGAAAATACAAATTAAATTAAAATAAAAAAAATTCATTACAAATAATAGCAAAAAAACCCACGACGTTTAGATCACAACACAAGCAGTCTTCATCAGGCGGAGAGAAAAGGATTCAATTTTATTTTTATCTTCTATCTATGTGACTTTACCGAAAGAACCAAAGAATATGAACCCCTCGGGGTTCCTCCAGAAACAGCAAAAAGCCACTTCGACACTTCGCCTGGCACAGGCGCCGAGGTGACGTCCCTGGCACTTGGCGAATGGCGGTTGTTGTTGTTGTTATGTCTGTTAGAGGCTATACGGCGGTTCTTGGTGGGTGTGTGTCCGAGTGTGCGTCTGTCTGTACCGTTGAGAGCGGTGGTGCAGTGGTTACCACACCGTGCTATAAACCCGGCAATCTGAGTTCGATTCCTGCTCACAGCAAACATCAGTGACAAATATTCAAACCGGTCGCAGGCCTCTCTTAGGTCGACTCAGCCTCAAATAAGTACCTGATGCGGTGTGTAAAATATTGTCGTTAGGAAGAGAAAGGTGGTCGGGCGTGATCCTGGCCACCAACCCCCTCGTGTGCCGTGCCGGCCTTCATAGGTGCTCGCAAATAGCACTTGCCCCAACAGTCTGTTAAGGCTTTACGGGGGATCTTTGTCTTTGTGTGTGTACGTGCGTTGTGCGTACGGTCTCGTTGGCCCGCCTCCAGGCGCAGGCCAGCATGAACGCGATGGCGACGGGCGGCTGCAGGTAGGAGCTGATGGCTTGGATGTAGAAGAAGAGCTGCCCGCCCTGGCTGGCCTGGACCACGGGAATCCAGACGATGGACACCACGACGAGCACCAGCACAAACACCCTGCAGCACACGCACAGACACCCTGCAGCACACGCACAGACACCCTGCAGCACACACACAAACACCCTGCAGTACACACACAAACACCCTGCAGTACACGCACAGACACCCTGCAGCACACACACAAACACCCTGCAGCACACGCACAGATACCCTGCAGCACACGCACAGACACCCTGCAGCACACACACAGACACCCTGCAGCACACACACAGACACCCTGCAGCACACACACAAACACCCTGCAGCACACACACAAACACCCTGCAGCACACACACAGACGCCCTGCAGCACACACACAGACACCCTGCAGCACACACACAGACACCCTGCAGCACACACACAGACACCCTGCAGCACACACACAAACACCCTGCAGCACACACACAGACGCCCTGCAGCACACACACAGACACCCTGCAGCACACACACAGACACCCTGCAGCACCAACACAAACACCCTGCAGCACACACACAGACACCCTGCAGCACACGCACAGACACCCTGTGCTTTGGACACCGGGACAGTCTTTCTGAAACTGGAACTGTCCAGACCAAACCGGGATGTTTGGAAGCTTAGCAGACTCGCACTCGGAAAAAGCCGCTGATTTAAATGTAAATTAGTTTAAACGATTGTGTAATGAAATGCGAATGTGTAATGAAATGCGAATGTGTAATAAAAAGAGCCTAATTCAGGAGAGCCTGAGATTGTTGTACTGTATGTTGAACTTCTTACGCACCGTACGTAGCCAGCCGTGCTAACCGGAGGTGCGGGGGATGAACAACAAACTCAACAAAAAAAAGCATTTCGAAAGAAATTCTATATAGATTTAAGTGCATAGGTCCAGTGGCTTCCTAACATCGGAAGGAAGAGTGTTCCAGATGGCTGCAGAAGCACATCTGAAAGCGCACGATGCAGTGATTAGAGTGGCTTAGCACTAGGTATGAAATCCAAAGTACCTGAAAAAAAACCCCAAGCACAGTAAGGGGGGGGGGGACACTCAACATTGCCATCTTTTGGCAAGACTTTCGAAGCCACGTGCCTACAACACCTGGGCAAGCCCTTTTGGTCACCAATCCAAACATTAACCGACCTCAAATCTGCTTAGCTTTCGATATCCGACGATATCGGCAGCACTTATGGAGATGTTTTTTTTTTTCTTCTGGGCAACGAAAAATACTTTCCACTTGCGTGACCTTGCAGGAAACAAGCTGGCAAGGGCCCCGTTGTTTGAAAAAAAATTAACGGAAAAGTAAATGATCGGTGGGGCGGGGGGGGGGGCCAGGGTGGCAAAGCAAGCGCCGGGCGACGCGTGGCGCTCGTCCAGAAGACCCAGGGAGAGAGGCACCCGACGGCGCGGGGTGTGGAAGCGCGCCAAGCGTGGAGACCTGCCGACGATCATGAGCTCGCGCTCGGAGGCGCGCGGGCGGATGTAACGCCACAGGTCCATGGTGAAGATGGTGCTGGAGGAGTTGAAGATGGAGGTGAGCGAGGACATGAGCGCGGCGATCATCACCGACATCATCAGCCCGCGGAGCCCTGCAGTGGGGCACGCGGCAACACGCGGGTGACGCACGGGCCGACAGACACGGAGGCGCACGGAGGGGAACATGGGGACGCTGCGAGGTCGTGCACCACAGGAACTCGCGTAGTTGTACATTGTACTGCAATACACGTAGTGTATGAACGTAAATTAAACCGCTGGAATCGCTGGGCAGCGCTCACCCTCCGGCAGCAGCTCCATGACGAGCTTGGGGTAGGCAATGTCGGTGCAGCTCACGCGGTTCTGGCACACGGCCTCGCACACCTCGGGGTCCACGCACGCCACCTCCTCTGGACGAGACAAAGATCCCCCGTGTAGCCTTAACAGACTGTTGGGGCAAGTGCTGTTAGCGAGCACCGATGAAGGCCCGCACGGCGTGCGAGGATGTGGGTGGCCAACACCACGCCTGGCCGCCTTTGTCTCCCGAGTCGCCTTGTTTTATTACACACCGTACCAGGGACTCATTTGAGGAGGCCCAGGACTTATTCAGATAATCGTCACTCGTGTTGGCCGTACGCAGGAATAGAAATAAGGACTCCGGGTTCATAGGGCAGTGCGCTAACCACTGCATGTCTCTCTCTCTCCATGGTCGTGTAGATTTTCCTCCGGGTCATACAGTTTTTCCCTCCACATTTAGAGTATTTGGCTGCTATACATTTCCACACCATAAGCCACTTCTTTGAGCTATCATTTGTGGCCAAGTCGCTTCTGAGAAAAGAGCTACATAGCTCAGTAGGCCTTACCTGGTAAAATAAAAATAGTTTAGTAAAAAACGTAAAATTTAGTTTTATTTCCAGGACAGAATGTAAAGCAGCCCCCCAAATCGCTCACAGTCACTGCCCGTGGCGCAACTCACCGGTGAAGAGCACGCGGCTGATCATTCCCGGGAAGACCATCATGAAGAGGGGCAGCACCTTCATTGAGGAGGCAAAGAGGGAGGCGCCCTTGGCGTGCGAGAGGTTCTTGGCGGACAGCGACCTCTGAACTATGACCTGCGGGAGAGTGGAGGGCAAGGCTCGCCGTGTCTGTGCCGCACGTGGACACTCACCGCAAGTGACGCCGCACGTGGACGTTCGCCGCACGTGACGCCGCACGTGGAAGCTCGCCGCACGTGGAGGCTCACCACGCGACAACAGATATTGTTCCGCGCCCAGCAGCAACGCCGGTGGCAGCGCGAGCCATCGGGAGATGGGGGCATCACGTGCCGACAAACATTATACTGTATACAAGACGTCGCAGTTACCTGCAACATTTTTCAGTTAATTAACTAATTACAATTACCGTAATTAGATTTACGAGAAGTTTATTAAGGATATGAGTTTGAGCTGAATTTAGAATTTGGTACAGCCCTATGCATTTCATTAATCCGTGGCCCTTTGAGCCACTTGGAGTCCTGAGCTTTTGCTCGGTTTGCTTTACGGCTCGCGCCACCAGCTCGTCAGCACCGCAATCTCGAGCATTTTAAAATGGATGGCATTTCCTTCAAGTCACTGATGCACGGCAACATCAAAATAACGGAGCACAAATAACGGAGTCCAGTCATATCGCTCTCTCAAGCTAACGGCCACCAAAAGCTTTTCAAAGCTACTTTTTTAATTCCTGGAAACAGTTGAAAACACTATTCCGCTTCTCTACGAAAAGCTTTCTGACTATGGGAGAGCGTCAGAGAAAGTCAAACGACACTGTCAGGTGGCAAACGGGAAAGGCTATTTTCAAACATAATTTGGAAGTGAAATAAATTTGCCGACTCATGAATGACGATTACAACGTTGTGTGAACTGCCCTTTAACTAACCTATTATTTAGCCTGTTTATAAACATACAAAAATACAAACCGTCACCTCATGCACTACCGATTTGGTAATAATTTACATTTTTTACACGCACAGTCATTGCTCTCGAAGAGAGAACGACTCAGAGCCGTGAGGGGGGAACCACAGACGAACGGGAAGGCAGCCACATGGTGAGCCAGCACCAACAATTTCCCAAGCTCTGTGGTCCTCTACATATTAAGATGTATATCAGCCAATTGATGTTGGAGGAAACTGGAGCACTCGGCGAGCCAGGGTACGGCTTCCTCCTCGACTGCCACGGGAAGGGAGTTTCACAACATTCGTGCGGTGATCCACTGACCCACCGATGCCACCTCCGCAGTGCCGGACCACAGGCAGCCCACGTGTGTCACCAGCGCCCGAGCTGAACGAAACTACGTTCTGAAGCCACCCAACGCCACCGTCCATCTGGAGGCCACAGCCACGCAGGCGGAGGGTCGCCGCCACCGTACCTGGTCGGTACACCAGTACCAGATGGACGGGATGCTCATGCCGACGATGACGGCGGGCCACGGCAGGTCGGAGGTCACGGGGTCGCGGAACATGTGGAAGGCATCCTCGCGCGGGATCCCGCACGTCGAGTTGGGGTCCCGCCGCGTGGGGATCGCCAGGAAGTAGCGCTCGTACAGGTTCTCATAGCCGCCGATGTTCCAGAAACCTGACGGGAGGGATTGGGCAACGCCCGTCACGGCCAACTCGCTGGCAACATCTCTCGAAGGCCTAGTTAAGGGCTGAGCCTGGAGGGTGCTTGGCAGGCTGACCTCTATACAAGCTGGCTCGTCAGGGGGCATCTGCGGGGATGCGCTTTTGACTTTGGAAACAAACTGCCACTCACTGTATCCCATGAGGATGAGCGCTCCGATGAACATGATCAGCGTCTGCAGCGTGTCGGTGTAGATGACGGCGGCCAGGCCACCTGGGAGGGGATCGCACGGAGGTCACGGTCGGTGAACCGACATAACGCAGGGCCCCCCCCCCCCCCCCACTGCCAGAGCACAACACAGCGCCGACGTCCACGCTGGGGCTGGGGGAGGAGGGTGGGAGGGGGGGGTCGTGGAAACGCGCGACGAACCTCCGATGGTGTAGAGCGCCGTGATGGCCAGGAGCAGCGCCACCGCCACGTAGAGGTTCCAGTTTAGCGCCTGCTGGATGAATACGGCGCCGGCGTACATGTCCACCTGGCGAGTTGGGGGAAAGCAGAATCAGAATATTTGTTCATGCCGAAGGAATCCGATGAGCTATGAAGCGCTTCCCGATGGCGGCTCGCCGCTCATCCGTGTCGCCACGGGGACGAGGAGCCCGGAGGTTGGTGTGCGCCGGGAGGGACGGCGTGGGCGCCCGCCGGATCGTACGATCGCGCAGCTGAGCCCACGAGCCGTTACCGATATCTTGGTGAAGATGTAGATGAAGAGGTAGAGGACGGCGATGTAAATGCGGATGCGTTTGCTCCCAAACCTCCTCTGCAGGTATTCGGGCATCGTGGTCACCTGCCCAGCGGGGGATGACACGATTAGAAAGATGGCAGCAGTGACTCTGTCTCCGCTCGGCTATGCCCACCGCAGATGCCGTCACCGTTCAGGCTGCGGTCTAACCTACGGGTGCAAATCGATATATAACGCACGGCGTGAAGCTACGGATTCCTTGCCAAGCTCTGCGTGTCTATTAATCCCACAGGCATGCTCTATCCTCCACACCGTGTGGACCAACGTCCCACACTGGGACTCGCCGGTGGCGGCGTGAGGAACAGCACGACCCAAGACAGAGAACCGCTTCCTCACCGCCATCCCACCACCGTTTCGTCTTCCCGGCTTCGGGCTGCCACGACAGCCGTCACAGCCCACTCGGTGGAGGTGCTCAGCAACGGGCCGTGCCATCGCGCATTGTCGATGAGTGGCGTCTGACCGGGACTCGTCGGTGAACTCGGGGCCCTCCCTCCCTCTACACCGCTGCTGATGAAGTGGACGTCCTCTGGCCCAGCAGGATGGGTGTGCGGCAGTACTAGTAACAATAATAACACGAACAAAAACCGTCGGTAACAAGTGTGACGGGCCTCACCCCGGATGCGATGTAAATAGGCAGGAAGACCCAGGCGAGCAGAAGCACCACGAACATGCCCTGTAGGAGACACGTGGAGAGTGAGGCCCTGGACGGCACCCTGCACACAACACCCTGCACACAACACCCTGCACACAACACCCTGCACACAACACCCTGCACACAACACCCTGCACACAACACCCTGCACACAACACCCTGCACGGAGCCCTGCACGGCTCCCTGCATGGCACCCTGCAGTGTCATGCACGGCGCCCTGCCCAGCACTTTGCATGAGCCACTAACCCATCTGTGAGTTTTCCACATCCCACGTACCAGTAAAGTACCACTCGTAATAGTTACGTGAGGCAATTGTGGACGCAATGCGTGCGGGCGTGTGTTGCGTTCACAACACTAATAATGATGTGTGCTTATTGGGTTTGGGTGTATGTGTACACAGCACTTTGTGTGTACATGGCACTCGCCCCAAGTCTGTTATGGGCTATATATGGGGGGGGGGGATTTCTTTGTCTTTGTAATACAGTCCACATTAGGTGCACACTAACAGCCCGTGTTGCATCAGGTCAATCAATGGTGTAGCATTCGAGTGTGCAGGGAGTGCAACTTCACCGGAGCCCATGGGCCAGTGGGGCCCAGGCGCTGGGCTACGAAGAGGATGGGGGGGGGATAGGCTGAGGCCACTGCTGGTGGTTGGCTGGGGGCCCTGGCGGTGCCGGCTTTAGGCACGGGCAAACGTAAGCATCTGTTCAAAGCGCCGGTGGCAAAAACTGTCGGGGCAGCGTCACTTCACCCCAACAACGCTGGACTACCGCGTCGGGCGCTGCTGGCTAAACGGGATCAGCGTGGCCCGTTAACGACCCCCCCCCCGTCCCCCGCCGGCGTCGTGGCGCGGGGGGGGGGGACGGGGGGGGGGGACGGTGTGCCGCGTGCGTGGGGGCGACGCGCCGAGAGGAACGGACGTTGAATTCGTAGGCGGCCACGGCGATGCCGGAGGCGGCGGCGCTGCCCGCGAGCCCCATGAAGTGGCCGCTGCCCACGTTGCTGGCGAAGAGAGAGGCCCCGACCTGCACGCGTGCACGGGAACACCACCACCCACCGGCAGCTTGGGCGACTCCAACGCGGCATTGGTCGCATCACCCCCCAACCCCCCCGCCGCTTCCAACGCTCATCTCCAGCCACAGAGAAAATCCCACCGCCCTCGTCACGTGCACGTTTGGCGAACTGGATGTAAGATGTTTGATTAATAGCTATCATCAGCCATTGTCTATCCACTGCTGGATGAAGGCCGCATCCCCTCCCCCCCCCACGCTATCGTCATCACTCACAGTCCCCGTGCTGCTACCGGCCATCTCACTGCTGCGCGGGCGCCCGTCTCGTCGCTCCGTCTCCGTGGCGGCCGTCCTCCTGGAGCTGTTCCGTCCCCTGACTGCCGTTCCGTCACCAGCCTCATCCATCGGCCATCATCCCATAATTCCACTGCTAACTGAAGGCCTCCCCAACGCGGCGTCGGTCGTCGTTGGAGCCGATTGACCGCACTTCACCGTGCTGCTCGACGCGGATCGGTGAAGGGGGCACTAAAGGTTGTGTCAGCTATCACTCACAACGATGCTAGCCGTGGTGAAGAAGCGTAAACAACTCGGCTGTCTGTAAACAACTCGCTTGTCTGGCACAGCGGGGGGGGAGGCCTTCACCCAACAGGGGATTGACTAGGGCTGTGAATTATTTACATTTATACCATAACATTGCTAATCTTCGCCAGGCTTCCAATTGCACACCGGCCACCCTCCCTAATTCTTCCATGCCGTCTCCACCGTCATGATCGCAGTCGCGGGTCAAGTTAACGATCATCGACGACTCAGATTTTGCTTCGACTGCGAGGAACGAGGCAGCGCGTGGCCTAGAATCGTCCGGCACGGCGTCACTCGCTCAAGCGTCGAAAATCCGGCACGACCCGGTCGATTCGTTTCTCACTCGACATTTTCCGTGTCGCTGGTAGTAGCCGCGTGGCGAGGGGATACTCGATGCGGTGCGCGAGATATTTTTCTGGGTCACCGACACGGATACAACCCGACTGGAATTAAGCTCTGAGCTCGACAACAGATGTCGCACGTTCGTTCACATGCCCTATCGTGTCTGTGGTTGCCACCTATGAGGTGTAACAACAACAAAAAAAACAGCACGTGTCATGAGAAAAGAACATCTCACAATATCAGAGGAGGGCACAACTGGATGTAAAGGCATCGTTTTAAGTGGTCTATTATAATAATTCGTAGTAGTATAATGTAAATGACAAGCACTTTTAATGTCCTGAGAAAGACTGAGAGATTTCCCAGAACGGTAGCGACCTCCTCAAAGAAGATGACCCCAGACAAACCCAGGGCAGGAGGCAACCCAAGTCAAGTCACTTGCTCGGTAGGAACTCACCGGCCACCAAACCATCTTCTTTCCGGCCAAGAAGTATCCGGTCACCGTTCCCCGCTTGGTACTCCACATAGACTGTGCGTGGAGATGAGGAATCGGCCGCACACACACACATGAACACACACGCATGTGAACATACACGCACATATAGTACACACACACACACGCGTACACTTGCGCACATGCACACGCGCGCACACGAACACAAGCACATAAACACACACGCACATGAACACATGCACATAAACACACACGCACATAAACACACACGAACATACAGTACACACGCGCGTGTACATTTGCGCACGTGCACACACGAACACACACTCGCACATAAACACACATGCACATAAACACGCACGCACATGAACACACAAAGACGCACGCACATGAACACACGTGCACGGACAAACGGCATACATCACAGGAGATCAGCGAGCGCTTACATTCCACTGCATCGCTTGCGAACATTTGCATCGCCTTCTTTAGCTTTAGGGCAATGCTGCCGCATCACCTCTGCTCCTCTTGTCATGAATGTTATAACCAAGCTCCGTTATGTCTGGGCGCTGTATATGCGGTCTATTTACAAGCATCCGCTCAAAAGAGTTTGGTGCGCTGTGTTTTATTTGTATGCGAGCACTATTTACTGCTGTTTATACTGTTTGCGGTAAGTTCTGGCGTGGGTTTCGAGTAATTTGTTGTTGTTTTTGCTCTTGGCATTTTGCACATTCCCACTCTCCAATGCGCTGTAACTGCCACCACTGCCGACCGTCTTAGGCTGCGGTTCGTCCTTGTAACAAGAGCTGCTGAGCTCATTGGGGCCGTAGCAGCTGAAATTATAACAACATTAAAGTTTGTGCCTATGAGTCTCTATGCAACTCTATGTACCTCTATGCAACTCATTGGATATCTATGTCACTCGATGCATCTCTATGCAACTATGGATCTCTATGCAACTCACTGGGTATCCACGTAACTCGATGCAACTCTATGGATCTCCACGTAACTCTATGTATCTCTGTGCAACTCATTGTATCTCCATGCAATTCATTGGATCTCCGTGTAACTCGATGCATCTCTATGCAACTCCGTGTAACTGCAATGTCCTGTGACTGCCGACAGTCTTGGGCCGTGGTCGTGCTCATAATGGAGCCGCTTAGCTCCATGGGGCCTCAGCTGAGATCATAAGAGGCTGTCAAAATGTATGCAGTGGATCAATTCTAGCACTTGCTATAAACGATGAGAGGAGTGCGCGCAGACTGCAAGCCAGTAATAGCAATAATGACGGGCACAACACAATGATTTTGAGACTGATTGCAACTGTACGATTGGCCCTCTCATATTCTTGGTACTTTCGGTAAAGTCACGTAGATAGAAAACAAAACAAAAATCTATTTTTCAAAAATCTATACATTGAAAATAATAAAAGCAAAAAACTGCAATTAATTACTATTTTTCACTTTTTTATTGTGGTTCTTTTCTTTTATTATTTTTAAAAAAATAGAATTTACATTTTTTATTATTATATATTTTTTCTACGTGACTTTACCGAAAGAACCAAGAACATTAATTCCTGCAGTCACAAAAGTTTTAAGTCAAAATGGTCCTCTCATCTTGCCATGCTGCGTGCATACAGAGTGGACGGAGAGTTTGGCGATTAAATAAAAGAAGTTAACAATCACTCAGTTTTGCTCCGCTCACTCATTAAGTAATAATTGCTCATTCGGTAAGTTTCCGTGGCTGAGTGAATGTTATCCGGCGGAAATTAAACACCAGCGACAAAGTGCTGAGCTCACAATAGGGCTGTGAATAATTGGTCACCCGGCGAAGTTTAACTTGGGAGAACTTTAACTTACCGTCTGGAGATTCACAGGCCCTATCTATAATCCCCGTACATTCAACTGAGGTGACCACAGTAGGGATTTAAAACGCAACCGTGCCGAAACTGACCAAAAAAAAAACACACTCCGACTGTGCAAAATGATGCCTGATCATAACGGGAGACCAAGCAAAAATAACGGACACATTTCAGTTCAACCGTGACAGCAAGCTGGATTTGGAAATGCTTTTTCAAACCATTGGCCATCTGCTCGCCAATGATTGGCAAAGGCCATCGACTCTGGAAGGGGGCGCGCCCAAGAGGAAGACCACCGCAGAGATGGAGCTGTGGGATCGGCACATGTGCACAAACGAGACTGAACGTGTCATCCCTACACCACGAAAGGTGCGGTGACCAAGTAAACGCGCAACGTGGGGCCAAATTTTGCACTTGGGTTGGAACCGTTGAACCGACGTTTGCCCAACGTTGGCCCAACGTTCAGTTTTTACCGGGAGCGACTTGGGTCGGCCTTCATCCAGCCGAGGATAGACCATGGCTGGCGATGATTTCTGTGACCGCAGTTTCACGCAGAGGCGATGACAGCCGCGGTCACGGCGGCCATGAAGAGCAACTCGGACGCTGCAGCAGGAGCGGTTAAACCTCCGGCACAGACGCAGCCAGTGGAGCACGCTCACTGTCATCGACAGCCAGGGTCTATCTACTGCTTCATGAAGGCATCCCCAGGTCATCACCATCTTTCAGAAAATTAAGCGGGCACCTGGCTCACACCAATCACGAGCTTAGGGGTCGATTATAGGCGGTGAAAGAAGCGCCATTGTGCCCTCATGGGTACTGTTCCCATATGTACGTCTGCTCACTTCCACCAGAACATTATTTTGAAATGTGTAATGATGTGATGGCGCTTTGGGGAACGGATTTGTGCCAGAAAGTTACCAGATGGTAACTAGAAATAAATTGAATTTGACTTGACTGGTATCAGCCCCTGCGGCTCCGATTGGAACCACCTCCAGGTTCTACTTGGTGATTTACAACGAAAGTTGATAGCGTTCATGCATTAGCTCCGTCTGTCCATCCATTCGTAACTGTGTGGGGGGGGGGGGGGGGTCACTATAACTCTCGCGAAGATGATCCAATATAAATTAAATTGTAGCATGAGGTTGCATTTCCTATCAGGGACTTGTGCTGTTGAAAACCGGCTGAAATGATCGAACAGTTATTACCCTAAACTTGGAAACACACACAAGAGTAACGAGAACTAATTGTAAAATATATTTTGTTAAAATATTGTTTGCCCCAGCAATGACCCGTCAGCTTCCGCAGCCGTTAATTAAATACATCTGAGAACTACCGCGTGTTGCAAAAGGTTACTTAATAATAAATGCGCATCCACGCTTTTTCCTAACTTGTGCTGATAAGCCGCGTGTAAACAATTACATTTTTTCATGGCACAATTTTATCAAGAATTGTGTGGCCAGTAAACACTCAACATAAATCAGGGCCCCGTGAGCGCTGGTATGTACATATTTTGAACTTCTTTCGCACCGTACGTAGCCAACCGTGCTAATCTGAGGTGCTGGTGGACATGGGGGACAATCCATGTATGGAAACTGCACCCGTTACGAATGACTCCTAACCCTGAACACAAGAACACGCGACTCAACTCCGTTTTACGAGAGAGAAAATGAAATGTGATGAAAACGAGCTGCCTTACGACGCAAGGGGGAACGACGCCGGGATGCCGTGCGCGAACGCGGTGGCCGTCACTCACCCACAGCCCCACGGCCAGCACGAACACGAAGTACAGCACCAGCACCGCGATGTCCACGCCCGTGAGGCCCCGGGACCCGAGGACCCCCACGGTGGCCTGTGCGCTGACGGTGGGGCCCGGCCGGGGAGATGTGGCCGCTTGGCCCGGCATCTCCGTGGCGACCCGCACCCCTTGAATCTCGGCAGCGGCGGTGGCCGCAGCGGAGGCGGCGGTGAAGGGAGTGGGATTGAGCTCCGGGGGGCTCAAGGTGCCTCCTCGCCTCGTTCACATCGGAGTTCGCTTGCGCTGCGCCTCACAGGCGACCGACGCATGGAGGGGCTGCGAAAGATGGAATGGCCGGAGCTACTGAAGGAGCTGGAGCAGCTGCAGTTGCTGGGAGCCAGCAGGGCGTGCGGTCTCCACTTTGGTCGCACGACATCGAGAGGCGGTGATGCAGTGCCCGGCGACCCGCTCGCGCTGGAACCAGGGTTAAAGAGTAAAGTGTAAATAAATCATTTATCCTGGCCTCCATCCCCCCCCCCCTCTCTCATGCATATGTATGATGTGAAATTATACCACAGCATTCTTTATTGGATCCTAGTTTATGCTTGCAGCACGCACTCGTGTACGACATTCAAAACGAGGGCAACCTTTAGTCGTGCTTGGAATGTTTGTGATTTGGGTCTTGATGAAGCTGATGGTCGTGGAATAAGGGAGGCAAGATTATAAACCTCGACCACAGGGCAATGGTCCTGACTGTGGGGAGGTGGGGGGGTGCGAGGTGTCAAAGGTCAATCGGCTCAACTCTCATCTCCGCTCATCTTCGATCATCTTCTCTCATCTCTAAATTTCTCTAACCTATGATAATGTTATTTAATCTCTCATCACGGTCACCGCATTCCGCTTTATCGGATGCACTTCTGCGGCCATCTGGAACGCTCTTCCTTCCGACATTAGGAAGCCACTGGCTTCCTAATGTCAGAGCTATGCACTTTTAAATTGAAAAATAATTATTTAGCTGCCTTTTGTGTTTAGTTTGTTGTCCTTTCCCTGCACTCACTGTCCATGACGGGTTGGTATCATCACCAACTCGTATTGACCAGCGTGGTGAAGTATGGTCACATTCTCCCCCCCCCCCTCCAAAACGATATTGTAGCCTCAAACACGGTCCTTCGAGTCTCTTGCAATTCGCGACTTTATCAAACATGTACGGCCTTTTTGTAAATCCACGCGCCAAGTTATTCTTTAGAACTGATTTTAGTGTTAAGTCTGCTGTCCTTACCCCGCACCTCTGACGAGCGCGGTTGGCTACGTACGGCACAAAAGAAGTTCAACGTACATAGGTACATCTCCGTCCCCTTATCTGCTCCTCTAATCTCATCGGTATGTTATCTCTCGGTCTTCACCGAAGCACAAAGTCCGACCCGGGCAGCCACACAGCCCGACGACCCAAGTTGGCTCTGGCCCCAGTGGTCGCAGACATCATCTCTCTTGATCACAATGTTCTCTGATTTTCGCACAAAAACAAAAAATTTCCGGTGGGGGGGGGGGGGGGTTTACAGTGAACAATAAAACGAAGAAATTAACAAATAAATGCGACAATTAAATAAAAGCACTGAAAACTAAAAAAAACAACGGCAATGATTAGCGTGTATTTATCAAAAAAAACGTTATGGATTCTTTTTTTACTGAACATGTAAGAGTTTGCAACCATTGACGCAGACCCGTAACTCAGTTCAGCTCATTCATGCCTGGAGGTCGAATTACCATGACCAGTATTGGATGATAAATCTGTGCCAGACGGCCTCTGGCACTGGACAATTAAAAAAGCAGTACACGGACCTTCAGATAAAGGCAGGTGAGAGCTCATTGAACTTTTCAAGAGACCTGGTCCATTGACAGTCTCATTATTGAGGGCCACCAGGTTAAGAAGTACTGTACAGCAAAGGAGGGGGCGATTGACGCCCTCAGCAGTATAAATGACCGTTATTAGCACCGACTGTGCAAGGTGGTCCAGATGTCTTGCGACCCCTCAAATAATTGACCCCTCAAATCGTTTTTCCCTTTGCTTATTCGTTTCTGTTATCACACCTCATTGGTATGCAAAAATATTAAGTGTTAGAGAATTTAATGAGAGTCACAAGACATCTGGACCACCGTGTACATGACTTTGTCATACCCACTCCGGATGAAGTCCTCCCCATGCCCTGTCAGTCATGGGTCGGGTTGTTTGACCATACTTCACCACGCTGGTCGTAAACATTTTTGAAGTGGGGAGATGGGTTATGTGGGGGGGGGGGGGGGGGGGGGGGGTCAGGACCGGTTCAGATTTCATCACTGATGTTAGCCGTGGCAGTTAATCGAGCTAAAGTCGTCGGGAGTTCATAGTGCAGCACGCTAACCATGGCGCCACCACTCCTTAAACAAATAAATATAATGAAACACCATTTAAAACAACGCAGGGCGGTTGTGGGTCCGTGTAGTGACGTGCAGCTTGTGCGCTGTCATATATGCTGTGACCAGACGTTCCCCTATGCAGCCACTGGCTCCCGCCATAGAAATGTGGAATTTCTACCACTGCCTACTAGTTTTAAACAGGCTTGGCGTGTGATTGAATAATCGATATAAATAAAGAGCCTCATCTGTTCGTCTCAAAAATCTCTACGGTACCTCCCGGCAAGCTGGAAATCTGCAATTTGGTACATAGAGAACTTTTAGGACGCGCACAACAGGAAATATATTGGAAATCCGATATTGTTCATTTGAAGGCCCCCAAATCCCGACTTTAAGCGCCCCATAAACATGTTTGTGTATAAATTTAGACTTAACTTTCGTGACTGCAGGAATTCATGTTCTTGGTTCTTTTGGTAGAGTCACGTAGATAGAAAACAAAAATTAAAAGCAAACTAACCCACGACGTTCCGATTGCAACGCAAAGCGGCCTTCTTCTTCAGAAGACCTCAACACAAGCGTGTTCTTCTTCTTCTTCAGAAGAAGAACACCGCAACACAAGCGGTGTTCTTCAGGCCGCAACACAAGCGGTCTTTTTCTGACCGCTTGTGTTGCGGTGTTCTTCTTCACCGCTTGTGTTGCGGTGTTCTTCAGAAGAAGACTTAACTTTCGTGACTGCAGGAATTCATATTATTGGTTCCTTCGGTAAAGTCACGTAGATGGAGGAAGACCGCAACCACAAGCAGTCAGAAGAAGGCCGCTTGCGTTGCGGCCTTCCCGTGTTACGATCGAAACGTCGCGGGGTTTTTTTGCTTTTAATTTTGATTTTTGTTTTCTGTATAAGTGACTTTACCGAAAGAACCGAGAATATGTTTGTGTATTTCATTCAGAAACCCTTCAAAATATAAGATTGCGTTTGTTTTCGTTTGATAGAGCGTTAAACAGCAAATAAAATGAAAGCGAGAACCATTGGTTCTATCTTTTATTGTGTTAGAGATATGTCGGATTCTAGCGGTTTTGAAATAACAAATTCGCATTTTATGATGTTCAAATTAGAATAATTCGAAAACGGTAAAAGATAGGAGCTTCCCTTCACATGGTATTTAGTTAATACATTTTTGTTCTCCTAATAATAAAAATTACGAAATCTTTAAATTAAGAGGTTTCCGATGGGTATGCCTTTAAATATAAGAAGTTAAATGAAGTCGTCAACAATGTTTTTTTAATCGTAGATAAAAAATTGTAAATAATCATATCAGTTCAATTATTATATTTATTGAAAACTTTTGCCTGGCGAAGACAGGCAAACGTTGCTTGAGTGACAAAATCTGAAAGCTTTATGATCTAGTATTAAAATAAATTACACCCCTTTGGGAATCCACTGCTGGATGATGATGGCCCCCCATGCCATGACTGAAAATGTGTTTCTGGCCACTGCCTTTTGACGTTAACACTTTGATGCTCCCGTAATCACACGAATGTTCGCAAGAGGCCTTTGCCGATTCGAAGAATGTCATTAACTGGTGGATCGCACGTAACCACGTCGTTTTCAGCTGACGATTTGCAGCTAAACCCATTATTATACTGTACTGCATTGCCTATGCTCCACCTATCTTCCACCAACCTGCACTGACCAGCGGGGTGAGGTATGGTCAAATAATCTCCACTTCCCACATGTAGGTTGAACTTCTTTCGCACCGTACGTAGCCAAGCGTGCTAATCGGAGGTGCGGGGTAAGGACAACAAACTTAACACAAAAATCAAAGAAAAACGTCTTCAATCTAGATTTAAAGTGCATGACCCCAGTGGGGTGGATTTACAAGAAGGCCGTTCATGTTTGATAAAGTCGCGAATTGCAAGAGGCTCGAAGGACCGTGTTTGAGGCTACATTATCATTTTTGGGGTGGGGGGGGGGAATGTGACCATACTTCACCACGCTGGTCAATAAGAGTTGGTGATGATACCCACCCGTCCTGGCCAGTGAGTGCCCTTCATCATACTCAGATGACAGCCCTCCCAAACTGAATCTAATAATGAATGAGGAACATATGCGCCTAAACAAACATAAAAATTCTGTAATCCGTGTATAAAACCTGCTATGACATAGGATTCAGAAACGTAAGACACCGACAAAAGAAAACTAAACAAAGCTGATGAGTGTGCCCGATGCTTTGAGAATCATCCCGTGGCGGGGCGGTGAAACGCCTCCACAGCAATCGCCGCGTGGATCGGACTTAATGAGTTATTGAATTTGTCAATGAATGGTGGATGAGGGCAATCAGTGACAGCACGTGTGGGATAATGAGTAGGCCAATCGAGATCATGGTTGGATTGGCGAATGAGTGGCGAGTGAATGAATGACTCTGGTGAGTTGGTGAATAATTTAGACAGATTATAAAAGACTAGGGAAATGAACAAATGTGCCGGGTGAATTCAAAGGTGAGTGAATGAAATCGGCCAGGTTGGGGCTGATCGAATGGATGTATTAATTAATTGGTTAGGGAGTGGATACATGAACGAGTGATTTTAGTGTGTGCATAAGTGAAATTGTCACTAAGGGCGATGCATGGAATTGAGTGGGCGAGTTAACCTTCGGGTAACTTGTGATTCTATTTCGAACGGCCACTGTTAAGCAGATGTATATCATACCTTATAAATCTCAACGTTCATCCTACACAGTCCCATCAGAAGAAATACAAATAGACAAAAACATTTTGCCCGTATTGCAACAGCAGTACACCGTATGGACATGAAAACTCAATTTCCCTGTACAAGAATACGGGTACACCGTATAGATTGACAGGTATGATGTATGGTCAATACACCCGCAATATTAATCAGGGCGGCCTGCCGCATTCGAAACGTGAATCTCCGTGCAAGCAGCGAACGCGCTACGGCTGGCACGGGTAACCACCCCACAGAACGAGAGAGTTGCATGCAGTGAGTGGGTGAAGTCAATGGGAAGGACATACATTCCGTGACCCCATTGACTGTGCGTGAATGAGCGTGTAGGTGGGTGAATGAATGCACGGCGGAATGAGTGGCTGAATGAATGGGTGACTGAATGTGTGCGTGAATGAATGGGTGAGTAAATGAGTGGGTGAATGCATGCGTGGCTGAGTGAATGAATGGGTGAGCGAATGATTGGGTGATTAAATGAATAGGTGACTCAATACATGGGTGAATGAGTGGATAAGTGAATGAGTGTGTGACTGAATCAATGGGTGACTGAATGAATGGGTGAGTTAATGCGTGGGTGACTGAATGAGTTGGTGAACGCATAAATGGGTGAGTTAATGAGTGGGTGACTGAATAAATGGGTACGTGAATGACTGGGTGAGTGAATGACTGGGTGACTGAATAAATGGGTGAGTGAATGAGTGGGTGACTAAATGAATGGGTGAGTGAGGAGAGAGGAGGGGGGGCACGCACGGTCCGCGTCGCGACACGTGGCTTTGCCTTGCAGGGGGGCATCCGGTTTCTGGCGCGCGCCCGCGGGGGGGGGGGGGGTTAGGGGTCAGCACTTCCGTTCAGAGGCGGGGGGTGGGGAGGATACGCGCGACACGTGACGGCGGAGTCACAACACAGAGGCGAGTTTACACAACAACAACAATCAACAACATCCACAGCGTTATGTATTATTAATATTAACAAGACGGTAGCTACGGTGGCGATAGCACAATCTCAGGAGGAAGACGCGCGCGAAGAAAGATGTGCAGTTGACAATTGGCGGGCGTGACGAGGAGAGGGGAAGAATTGGACGTTGACTGGACCATCTGTGAAGGGGTGGGGGGGAGAAGAGCTTCATAGCTCATCGGATTCCTCCACGATACATTATCTGAATTGAGAGGAGGGGAACGGCTGAGGGAAACGAGAGTGGGGTGGGGGCGGCGTACAAGAAGAGAGACGAGAGTGGTTAGACGAGGAAGGGGGGGGGCATGACAAGATCACTTAAGGGAGGGTCGACGCGGTGAGGAAGAGACGACGAGGGATACCCGAGGAGGTACACAGAGACCAGACGGAGACCAGACGGAGACCACACGGAGACCAGACAGAGACCAGACGGAGACCACACAGAGACCACACAGAGACCAGACGGAGACCAGACGGAGACCACACGGAGACCAGACAGAGACCAGACGGAGACCACACAGAGACCAGACGGAGACCCGAGGAGGTACACAGAGACCAGACGGAGACCACACGGAGACCAGACGGAGACCAGACGGACCGGCCTGGCCGTGAGAAGAGGCAACCGCGGGGAGGCGGGGTAGCACCGCGGCGTGCGCAGGGAGCGAGGGAGGGAGTCGGGAACTCTCCCTGCCGGCCGGGGTCGACCCCTCCGGTTCGACCCGGGGTCGAGTCCCATGGACGCGCTGACCCTGCTGGGAGTCTACTCCGGGGGCTGCGTCCTGCTCGTGCTGCTCGTGCTGAGCGGACGAGGCCCGGGCGCCCTGGACGCGGTGAGCGGGGACCACGGGGAGGCATCACACCCCCCCTCACCCCCCCCCACCCTCACCCCACCGCTCCCTTCAATGTCCCGGCAGATGCCTTGGGGTTGGCGATAGCTGCCTCGACTCTCCAAGCAGCTATTTGGAAAGGGGACCAGCTGTGTCTGCCCACCAACGCGACCTGTGACCGCCACGATGCCCCCCTTCGGATTTCAAAGTCGTTCCCATTCAATCGAAACACAGCGTCGAAAAGCCATTGACCATGTCAATCGCTGTCAACAACAACCACGACCAGAGATCGATACAACCCACCTCCGCTGGCCACCACTGTCACACCACCCCAACTGCGACCTCCGCTACTAATTCAGTAGTTTCAAAGCCTGCGAGTTACTCACAATTGGCTTGACATTGGGCCCCCCGTGTTGAGTGTCCAGCAATAGCTACCTGACGTCCCGACCCCACGATCCCACACGTGTTCATCGTCTGTGCGTGGCGAGTGAACGCACAGACGATGAACACGTGCCGCATGTAGAACCTCTTTCGCACCGTACGTAGCCTTGCCGCGCTAATCGGAGGCGCGGGGTTGAAAGACAACAACCTGAGCACAAGGAGCAGTTCGAACGAAACCGAGTTTTTTTTTCAATCTCGACGACTTAAAAGTGCATAACAGCGCTCCGGTGGCTTTTTCCTGTATCAGACGGAAGAGCGTTCCAGACGGCCGCAGAAGCGCACCCGAAAAGCGCGCGAGGTGGTGGGCGGCGAGCGATGAGAAGCCGCGCTGAGCCACCTTGCTGATTTGCAGTTCCATTCTCGCGCCTGGCGATGTGTTCAATCGGCATGTCCTCGGTGAGATCTTCACGCGTGCTGTTTTGCAGGCGTCTCGATGCGTCCCCGCGCCTCTGCACTCCGCCGTGACGAAGGTCATCGACCACCTCTTCAACCGCAGGTAACCGCGATAACCATCGCAGGGGTCGGTGAAAGGAGAGGGCAGTTGTGGTGTGTGGAGATGAGTAGTGCCAATCACCCACCAGAGACAAAGATCCCCCCGTGCAGCCTTAGCAGATTTTTGGGGCAAGGTGCTGCTGTTAGCGAGCACCTATGAAGGTCGGGACGGCGCACGAGGCGGGGGAGGTGGGTGGCCAACACCACGCCCGGCCGCCTTTGTTTCCCTGGCGATAATGTTTACACACTGCACCAGGTACTCATTTGAGGCTGAGTAGACCTAGGGGAGGCCCAGGACCGGTTCAGATAACCGTCACTGGTGTTGACTGTAAGCGGGAATCGAACCCGTGTCGCAAGTGACGTAGCGCAGCGTAGCGCCAACCGCTGCTGCTCCCCACAAATCATCCACCACTATCTGTACCACCAACACTGGCGCAATCCTCACGCAGGTAACCATTTGACTTTTCCTCCTGCGTCATTTGGCAATATGAGGCATTGACAAGAATAAAAGTGGACGTCCTTTATTTGGACAGCCTCCGTGATCAAATCACCCGGGATGCTGCCGATCTCGTCATGTCTCAGAAGCTCGCAGAGTTGTGCCTGGATGGTGAGTGCTTGGCCGGGCGACCATCACGCACAGGTGGTGTCACTGGACAGTGGGTACACGTGTTGGGCAGGAGAGGGCAGTGCAGCAAAAGCCAATGTTCTTGTACGGTACTTGGAATTTTTCGCAAAGCTTCACTAACTGACACGGGCCGGCGTGTTGGACCGTTACCATGCAGCCCCTACGGTGGCGTGGGGAGGCCCTTATGCAGCAGTGGAGTGACATAAGGGCTGTACGAGGTACGTGAACCGCTGCATGCCTGTGAAACCGTGGCGGAACTGGCCGTGTGCTTGAGCTGCTGCCCATGCGGATGGGGGCGAGCGCAGGTCGTGGTTCTTCGTGTGGCTGCACGCGGCCCTGGAGGTGGCCGTGGGGCTCGAGTACTGGCTGGAGGTGGCAGGGCTGTGCCACCAGCTGGCGCTGCCCTCCGGTGCCATCGCTGCCCCCTACGCACTTCTCTGCCTCCACGTCTGCTTCTTCTACCTGTGCTGCACGCGCGACCCGGGTCCGTGTGCGCGTCCGTGTGCCACGTTCTTCCGTTTTGCTGACGAGGGGGTTCTTTAATTGGTTGCGATGACCTTTAACAATACTGAGCTTCGACGGCCCTGGCCCTCTCGTATCAAGCACAGTAGCGTTGATCGCATCACTCGGTTATTGACAGGCTCATGGGAAACTGGGCAGTTATACATAGAGCAAGGCTGTTCATCTGGTGTCCCACAGGCCACATCTGGCCAATGAAAGGCTCTTGGAGTGGCCCACTGAGGGATACAGATTAGTGGTAGTATGTGTGTATGTTAAACTTATTTCGCACTATACGTAGCCAACCGTGCTTATCGGAGGTGTGGGGGAACGACAAACTAAACACCAAAAGGAGTTCTAAAAAAATTGTTTTAAATCTAGATTTAAAAGTGCATAGCTCCAGCGGCCTCCTAATATATGCACATGTTCACCCCTTTTGTCCACTGCTGGATGAGGGCCTCCCCAGGCCATGCAGGTCACGAGGGTTTTTTGACCGTAATTCGCCACGCTTGTTAGTGCAGGTTGGGGAAGGCAGGGAGTATAGTACAGCCCACCAATGGCTTTTGCTGCAATGCCCTCTGTGAGGTTTGAGATGAGAGAGAGCTGTGGACAAGAAATACAGATTAGTGAGATGAAGGTGAGATTAAACGGGAGGTGAGAAACCTGGAGACAAGGTACACATTAGTGTTCACGTGTACGGACGTCATGACGCCACGACGCCGTGTGACGTCATAGCATCTGTGCAAGTGGCATATGATATAAATTGATCCACCAGCGCGCGCCGGTTTTATTATGCAGCCTACCGGAAAATGTGGTTGAGGAACCCTGCCCTGATGCATCAGTCACTGTGTACTCCAGTGTGACATGTAACGATTAGATGTGCATGCCGGTTCACAGTTTGTTGCTTTGTGTGTGTAATTGGCGTCATTGCTTCTCCAGGCACAATCACTCAACACAACCACGCCAAGCTGAGAGCCGTTTACCCGTACGATGGAAGGCTCTTTTTTCACGGCCACGTCTGCCGCACTTGTCTTTTTGAAAAGCCGGCGCGTTCCAAGCACTGCCGTGAGTAGGCGACCGCATCTCACCAGCCTCCTGTCAATCCACTGCTGGATGAAGACCTTCCCGCGGGGGTTGTGAGAGCATAACATCACCAGGCAGTTCAGCGTGGGCCAGTGAAGAAGTGGGGGGCTCATGACCAGCTCGGTTATCGCTCACCACAAATGTCAGTGGTGACTGGGAATCGACCTCAGATTTTTAGGTTTATAGCCCAATGATCTAACCACTGCACCACCACTTCCACTGTAGTGCTAATAAGTGAACACGCAAATTAGTTTTTGCAACCTAGACCATTTGTTTTTTGTAACTATTCATTTCGAATTTACGTTGAAAATCGTCCTTATTTTTGTACTGCTCTGTAGTGGATAGCGCACTGTGCTGTGCAACCAACTCCTCGAGTTCAATTCTCGTCCACTTTTAACATCAGTGGTGAGTAATGTCTAAACTGTTTGGTGCGCTCTCTCCCCTTCACCAACACTCACTGACCACATTAGCGAAGTGTGGTCAGATAACCCCCACGACCCGTGCCGCATGTAGAGGCACTCGTCCAGCGGTAAGAGCGACACAATACCCTCCGCTGCCCTTGCGGACATCTCCGCTGTCCTTCCCCCACCTCCCCCGCAGGTGTCTGTGACCGCTGCGTGCATCGCTTTGACCACCACTGCGTGTGGGTGAATGGCTGCGTGGGCGCGGGGAACCTGCCCCTCTTCCTCGGCTACCTCCTGTCGCTGACGGCGGCGGCCTCCTGCATGGCGGCGGTGATGGTGGTCGCGCTGCACCGGGCCGCCGTGCTCTCCGGCCTTGTCCAGGAAGGCTCCCTCAGGGGCCTGCACGGCGAGATGCCGTCGCTGCCCATCACCGACATCGTTCAGGTGCGCTCGCAGCATCCCCATAGTTCTTAATTTTTCGTTGTTTGTCCTTGTGCCCAATGTAATCCCCATTGTGCTATCGGTGTCATGTCATGGGATGAAGAACCCATTAGAATCGCTTGAGAAGCAGTGCTACCTCTGTTCTAAAAAAATGGCACCACGTAATTGTATTCTAGAGAACTACCTTTGAGAACCTTTGTGGTCCACACAGTTGAGGGCAGCACTTTCCCACCTGCCCTGCTACTGAAAGTATGCTTGGGCAGCTGTGAGGCTCTCTGGACTCGAACCCAGCATTTTAATGGTACCAGCTCAGCACCCTGAGCCAATATTAAGTGGGCCTCTTTACTCACACTAGAGGCACGTGGTTTATATGCTCTGCAAAGAGCTCTTGTCACATGGCAATCCACATGTATTATTTGGGAACCCTGTTTCTGTACAGTTGCTGTTCCTCAGCTTTCCAAGGCTGGTCTTCACCCTCGGCTTCCTGATCATCATCTCCGTGCTACTTGGGGGGTTCACGGCATTTCACCTTTACCTGCTGCTCGTCAACCGCACCGCCAATGAGTGGCACCTGGCGCGAGGCTGCCCCTCTCCAGCACGGCCGCCCCCCTCCTCCGCCGCTGGAGACGTCCGCGGTGGTGGAGCTGCGACAACAAAATCCCAGCCTGGCGGAGCACCGACTCGAGATGCGGACGAGCTGGCAGATCGTTCACGGGCGGAATGTTCACGGTCGGACTCTGAACCAGGGCGTGACTCTAAAGCTAAACGACGGATAGTTCGACGGCAACGCAGGGCTCAGCTGGCGGGGCAGCAGCAGGAGTGGGATGTGGTGCACGAACACGGTCCTGCAGGAGTTCCCGCAGGAGGTTATGAGGATCTGCTCCTGGACGATCGAACGAACTTCTACTCCAAGGGGTGGATGCGCAACATTTCAGAGGCGCTGTGGTCTCACGTATGAGCTGCTAATAGCGTGATGCCTCTGCCTGTTGCACAGCGAGTGTTTTGAAACGGTTGCTACGTCCAACCGTGTTTCTTATTTTGCTCACGAACAGTTGTGAGTCATCCGGGAGAGCGGCAATGTTGATGAGCGCAAGGTCATTTAAAATATCGCATATGAAAACGTTGCCACTTTGCAAAAAATGCACCTCGAAAATAAAAACGAATTTAACAGTGTTATTTGTCACGTGGCTTTTGCACAAACAAGTATACCATGCTGCTTGGTGTCTGGGATAGTTGTGCTGCCGCTACTATCTAGTGTGGTGCGCAGTAGCGCCTCTAGTGCCTACAGGATTCATGTGACCCCATTGCATATCACGTATATTATTTCAAACGTTAATTCTTAAACGCAATTTGATTGATGTATCGTGAGCTTGAGAATCAATTGATTCATCGTTACACCCTGAACCAGCGGTGTCCAACCGGCGTTTCCCAAGCTGCATGCGGCTCTTTAATCCACCACACGCTGCTCTATCAAAGGGGCATAACGTGAGAGCATACTTTCACAGTATCAAAGAATGAATTTCTTCCATGCTGTGTTGGCCACCCCTGCCCTAAACGGTCTGTGTTGCCGTCTTGACGATTGCTGTTTATCGTAAGATTTCCCTTCAAATCCTGGCGCCCTCACCATTGCTGGTAAATGTCGTAGACGTCACGATTGTTATATTTTAACAAAAATCACGTAATGAAGATGAGCAGCCGTGAAGATTGGAACGGTTACTGTGAGCTTAAAAAATCGATAGATTCATCGATAAATCTTTGCATCATACGACCCATCACCAACCCCACCGTTTGTCTTCCTGGATTTGACCTGCCATGTCGGTCACGGGCCCTGGTCCGCAGGTTCCCTTCCGACCAGGGTCCGTGATGCAGCCAACCACCGCACCTGGAGCCAACGTGGCCACAGCCTACTCGGTGGATGTGTCCAGCGACAGGCCGTGAATTCGCGCATTGTCGACGAGTGGCCCCCTCCCTTTACACCGCTGATTTAGCGGCTGTCACCCGGTTACGCAAGAAGGGCGCACGGTAGTCATCAATAACTGAGGCCTCTTATAATAAGTACATTTGGTATTCGCATACTTCTTGCAACGCAGAGGCTATTGTATGGCCGCTGTGCTTGTGGCTTTGTGATCTTTACAGAACGCCTCGAGTACCGCAGAACTGTCTTGATGGTAATGTGACGAATCCCAGACTGAGCGTCGGGCGAGTTCCACGTACAATGTGTGCAATGGAGTTATTTAATGACGAGGATCGCGTGTTGGGTTTACTCGATCCATGGACTGCTGGAACGGGCACTCGGGTCACGCGAGCGAGCGAATCTGCACGTTGCAAGTGGAGCGGCTACAGTGCGCGCGTCTCTTCTCGGTCGGAAACCGGACTCGGGCGAACGGGCCTCCCATTGCCGCGGTGGAATTCAAACCCGGGAGCGCCCTTTTAGCGGCGCGGGAGTGGGGGGAGAGGCATGAAATCACCTGGCTCGCCAACACAAAAAAAATAATGCACAAATGAGTGTCATTGTGACGGGCGGAGAGGACTCCGCTGGTCGCCCTGCGCCCGTCTCGCACAATGGGGGGCCCTGTGTCGCTAGCGGGTACGCAGGGGCCACGGCGCTGACAGACGGTAATTGCAGACTGCCGGTGCTGCCGAGTTGGGGGGGGGGGTAATGGTTCCCGGGATGATCCGTGGACAACACCGGTTGTTGAAATGGATGTCACCTAAGCCGTAAACGGCACGCGCAGCCGCTGCGGTCGCCATGGCGCTGCGTCGTTACCTTCGGACGAATCGCCATGGAACGCGTCCGATTTTTTGTCAGAACTGGGAAGCTAAAAGCGGCATGTTGAGCCTGGTTTGGTGCTTAGCATGGTCTGGCCACCGTGCACAGAATGCGTTGTAGGCTGGTGCAGGCTGTGTTCCCAGCAGAGGGTAGTGCAGGCGTGCAGCAGCAGCACACATTGCGATGCACGATGCTTCGAGGTCTCTATGCTCCCTGTGTTCAACCCGCACCGAGCAGCGTGGTGAAATATGGGTAAAATAACCCCTGCTACCTGATTGGCGCGGGATGGCCCTCGTCCTTGCGGAGTTGCATGCTTGGAACGGCAGCGAGAGACAGTGGGACACATTGATCAGATGCTTGGAACGGCAGCGAGAGACAGTGGGACACATTGATCGGATAACTAAGTCGGGGCAGGACACGGTGGCTGGAAGGGATGATGCTCGCTGGTCGTGACAAACGACAGAATAAACAGGGCAATGAAATAATCTCGTCTACAGGTGCTAGATGGATGGTTTCATCTTGCGATCACGAGAGGAGATGGCACTGGGCTGGGAAGAGAGCTCGTTCAGCAGTGGCTAGATCGTGGGTGATCATGATGACTCCAGTCCACACTTTTTTTTTAGTTCAAGTTAAGGAAAGTGGCTCCGACTTGTCGAGGTGAAATTCGTGATGGGGCAGAGGGGCTCGAGTATCGTAAGCCCCCCACCGCACCCCGATTTGCAAATTGTTGTTGGGGACAATAGCCACGTCTGCCCCCCCCCCCTCTCTCTCCCTTGTGTGTGATCACCCTGGGCTAACCGCCAGCTACACCTCAATGTGCCTGGCTATAGGCAGTCAGCAGGAGTGCGATGGTGTGGGGGGGCGCGGACGTCGTGGGGGGTTAAAGGGAGGGGGGGATGGGGACCTCCCACGGGGAGATGGAACAGCGATCGCCCCACGGACGGTAGAAGGCGCTGCTTGAGGGGGGGGGGGGGGGGGGGGGGTCGTGTCCACGTGTGCGCAATGTTTCCCGCAGTCCCGTGCCCAGAGCTGGGACTGCGAACGAGGCGCGGTGACACCACGTGACGCAGGGATCGCTGCGCGCCCGACCCGAGCTCAGTCCGTGCCGATCCAAGACTGCGAGACGCTCCGTGGGCAGCAGGAGGGCAGCAGCGGAGGGCAGCGACTGTCCCCCACCCAGCCCCCCCCCCCCCCCGCGGGGCATGGGAGCATGAAGAGCGCTGAGCGGTCCGGATTCATCCCAGGAGCGATGTTGGACGCGCGGCCAGAGCTGCGGAGAGAGCCCGCGGTGCCCGTGAGAGATCTTCATCGTCTTTACCAAACTTATTGTAGTCCTGCAAATTGTCTCCGCTTGCAAATCTTCTAGGTCCTGAAAAATGTTAAACATTTGTCTGCGATACTGCGTTGGCAATGGCGCACATGTGCAAATGCACATGGTCAATTTTTAGTAGATTATAATCCGAAAATGAAGAAGGGCAATTGCCGGAAACGTCGCCTGTTATATATTTGTTTACCCAAAAGGCGGTCTTCTTGACAAATACGTTCAGCTGTTGTTATTTGTTCTCGTGTCGCGCGCTCTCGTGTTTACCAAACTACTACTCACGCTGAGCGCCAATTAACGTGCGCTCATTGTCGCGGGGCGAGAGGGAGGATGTAACTGCATCCGCAGTTGTCTTTGATGATGATGAGGATTCTCACGATAATATAGATTATGCTGCTGCTGATAACAATGACTGATGACAACGTGACAGTCATCGTGCTTATGATGTCGCCACATTACCTTGCTGATCTAGTCAAGGAGGATGAACCATCACGTAACTCCGGTCATCATCGCAGCAGCAGCAGCGGCTTGTGGCTGACCATCGAACAAAGACGGCGGTCACCTAATCGCGAACTTTCAGATGCGTTTCTGCGGCCGTCTGGAACGCTCTTCCTTGCGATGTTAGGAAGCCACTGGAGCTATGCACTTTTAAAAAATCTAGATTGCAAACTCATTTCTTTAGAACTGATTTTTGTGTTTAGTTTGTTCTCCTTCCCCCGCATCTCCGATTATTCCGGTTGGCTACGTACGGTGCGAAAGAAGTTCAACACACATACTTACAATGCTGCACGTGATGTAGTTGATAATAACGATGAACATTGACAGTGATTGTTATTGCTGATGATTCCGCTGCTGGTGCTCCTGTTGAGCGTGACGCTGATTTTGATCATGTTGCCGCTGGTGATGGTGAAGATGATGAACGAGACTGATCGTTTCTGATGATGCCGCTGCTACCGCTGCTAATGATGATGACAAATTATCGCTGATAATGGTAATGATTGGTGCTGCCACTGCTGATGATGATGATGGTGATGACAAATTATCACTGATTATGATGATGGGTGCTACCGCTGCTAATGATGATGGTGATGACAAATTATCACTGATAATGATGATGGGTGCTGCCGCTGCTGCTGATTATGATGATGACAAATTATCACTGATAATGATAATGATGGATGCTGCTGCTGCTGCCGCTGCTACTGATGATGATGACAAATTATTACTGATAATGATGATGGGTGCTGCCGCCGCTGCTGCTGATGACGATGCTGCTGCTGAGATTGCTCGGCGCACTTCCCCCGGGTAGGGCGCAGACCTCGACCCCCTTTGCTCGCGCTGCTGTGGAGTGGGGGCGGCCGCCTCCCTGGGGGGGCTTCCTGCTCGCTGCGGGGGTTCCCGGTGTCGCCTCCACGCGCTAGGGGGGGCGGCTGCCCTTGGCCTCCTCCTCCTCGCGGCGTGTCTCGGACTCCTGGCACTACTCGGGCCGCGACGCGGGGAGCCCGTGGAGGTCAGTGCGCGTGGGATATTACCCCCCCCCCCCACCTTAGACTTGGAGTGAAACATGAGATGTTAGCCCAGTGTTCTTCACTAATTTTCAGAGGTGGGGGAGGGGGAGCCAATTTCGCCGATAAGACATCATCAATGTGAGGGCAGTCAAACATTTGCAACCATTGGGGGTTTGACAGCAGCACGATGATGATGATGGTGGTGGGGTGTTTTCACATTTGTGTCTTATCGGGGACTGGACGTCAGGTGCCGTTCTAAAGGCCACCAGGGGCTGCCAGTGGCCTGCGGCTCTTGCAATGAAGAACGCTGCCTTTCGCCTTTTGCTCATAATTTCTGTCCACGAGGGGCTGGTGGTCGGAGCCAATTGGAGGGATAATGTAAACAGTAAACATTCAACCCCGAAACTATGTTATTATTTTACCGGGTAAGGCCCACTGAGCTATATAGCTGCTTTAAAAAAAAAAAAGCTACCTGTCTATTACAAATTATAGTTATTGTGTAGACATTTATGTCAGCCAAATACTCTAAACGCATGTTGATTCTAAATGTAGGGGGGGGGGGAAACGGAGGACCCGGAGAAAAATCCACGCGACCATGGGGAGAGAGAGATATGCAAACTCCAAATACACATGCGTGTAAACAATTGCATTGTTTTAATGCACCACTGTTTTTTGTGTGTGTGCTATGAAGGTCCATTGCCCGAAACGTCGCCTATTACATATATTATTTTTCCCTTTTAAGGCCAGCTTTATTGACGAACGTGTGGAGTTGTGCTTTTTTAATTGTGCTCGTGAACCACTGCACCACAGCAGCATCGCCAGACAATGGGCTAACTTAGCAGGAAGGCGACGCCCAACGTGAGGACGATTGAGAGGCCGCCCACTCCCAGCTGCGTGCGCGGGGCTAGTGGCCAGGTGGGCGTGGTTATGTAAAAGTAGGCGGAGCAAACGGGGGGGGGGGGGGGGGGGGGTGCTGCCAGCTCACCACGTGTTCTGGCTAAGTCTGCGAGAAATGTGGTACAAGTGATAGCCTGAGCAAGAAGTCGGGGGTGGGAGGTGGGGGTCTGTCCCAATTGGCAGGTAATTATTGGTGCTCAACGCATATTTGTTCGTTACGTGGAATGTTTACTTTGTGCCGGAGCTGGTCGCCCTTCAAGAGTGGGCAATGAATGCCAAGGTGGTGAGATGTTATCTCTTGTATTCATTAAATGAAGCATCTCTTGTCACTGTCCAGCAATAGTCTGCAAGCATTGTTGGGCTCCATTTGCCCTGATAGCGTTTCTCCATTGTTACAATGTCCTGGTGAAATCCCTCGCCATGCTCGTCGCTCACTGCTCTGCAGGTCGGTGGGAAAAAAAAATCTAGACGAGAGTGCAAAAAATGTATCTTTAGTGACATATTGCAACCAAGGCTTTTTTTATGCCTTGAGGTTTTCCACCAACTCCCTGTAGTTGTTTGCCTTGTTGTTTCCGAGAAAATTTGTTGCCACTAACTGGAAGGCGTTCCATGCCGTCTTTTCCTTGCCACGCAGTGCATTGTCAAATGCATCATCTCGAAAAAGTTCACGAATCTGATGACCAACAAAGACACCTTCCTTTATCTTAGCTTCACTTAACCTTGGAAATTTTCCATGGAGGTACTTGAAAGCTGCGTGTGTTTTGTCCATGGCTTTGACAACGTTCTTCATCAGACCCAGCTTGATGTGTAAGGGTGGTAACAAAATCTGGCTAAACAGAAATGTGTCCCTTTGCAAAATCAAACACTGACAAATAAGAGAGCACGACACTGTATGATTTCTAGAGCTGATATAGGACAATTTGTTCAGCAGAGGGATGTACTTAAGCCTAGTTATGATTGCATCATCCATGACTTCTAAGAATAACATGATGCAATTCATACCATATATGATGCAATACCAGGTTCAGATTGCATCATTCATTGTGTTGCTCAAAAAGCAAGTACTGTCCAAACAGTCATAGATTTATTAATAGATTCAGTCAAAGATGTATTGTAGTCATTTCTGGTTTAAATTGAGATCCCTTCCCTTTATAACTCACTTATCCTCCGCCATTCCCAAGTCAAGGGTCGTATAAACTGACCCAGTAGCATATCTTTAAAACTAGAGCCAATCAACAATTGTAAGCATAATTTTCATTCTGAGTGACCCAGAATTAGTCAAATTGGACTACATTTATTTTGGAAGCAATTTTGCTGTAGACCAGTATAATTGATACTTTCATAGTATGCTGGATGTAATTACCAGCGAAACGTCGTATTCAAACTGTAAATGTTGCAGATTCATTCTTCAACACACCGGTGGGCTAAAGCAGTGAACTAATTGTTTTTTGTCAACGTGACACTTTTTTTGCTGATTGGCCGTGTCGGGTGGTGGAGGGTTACGACACATTTATAAATAACGCGATCTAACCCAAAAACCTTTATTATCAATGATATTGGTCGCGAAAGCCTACGTGTTAAACTGACTTACATAGTAGCCTCGAAATAGAAAATATTGAGCGAGAAAATGAAGCCATGAATGTGTGTACCCAGTGCCTGTATCATATGTTATAAACGGGCCCTACTTTAAAAAAACACAAATGTTAAAACACACATTTTTAACTTGCATAGTAATGTAATTGTATTTTTTCATTTGCTATACAGCCAGATAATACGACAAATCGCTAACCTTAAACACCTAGTCGTTCATAAAAGTTGAAGGCAGTATAGTACTCTAGTAATAGAGCAAGTGCAGAATCACTGAACCGGAATTGATAGTTTGAAAGCATTTAGCGCGGGGCCCATGAAAGTGCGGGGCCCGTAGCATATGTAGCTACTTTTGCTACGAGGATAATCCGGCACTGTGTGTACCGTCTTCATCCCACTTGTGGAGTTTAACCGAGGGTGTGGATAGCATGGATTCCCGCCCACTGGGTGCTCCCGTCCACCACCCCTCACTGCTCGCGTGTCTCGGAATCTTTCAAAATGAGAATCTTTATTTATACTGGAGGAATCCGATGAGCTATGAAGCTCTCTTTCACAGATGTCCAGTAGATGTCACAGAACTCCAGTAGATGTCACAGATCTCCAGTAGATGTCACAGATCTCCAGTAGATGTCACAGTTCTCCAGTAGATGTCACAGATCTCCAGTAGATGTCACAGATCTCAAGTAGATGTCACGGATCTCCAGTAGATGTCACAGATCTCCAGTAGATGTCACAGATCTCCAGTCGATGTCACAGATCTCCAGCAGATGTCACAGATCTCCAGTAGATGTCACAGATCTCCAGTAGATGTCACAGATCTCCAAGTAGATGTCACAGATCTCCAGTAGATGTTACATATCTCATAGATGTCACAGATCTCCAGTAGATGTCACAGATATCCAGTAGATGTCACAGATCTCCAGTCGATGTCACAGATCTCCAGTCGATGTCACAGATCTCCAGTAGATGTCACAGATCTCCAGTAGATGTCACAGATCTCTAGTAGATGTCACAGATCTCCAGTAGATGTCATAGATCCCAAGTAGATGTCACGGATCTTCAGTAGCTGTCACAGATCTCCAGTAGATGTCACGGATCTCCAGTAGCTGTCACAGATCTCCAGGCGATGTCAGAGATCTCCAGTAGATGTCACAGATCTCCAGCAGATGTCACAGATCTCCAGTAGATGTCACAGTTCTCCAGTAGATGTCACAGATCTCCAGTAGATATCATAGATCTCCAGTAGCTGTCACAGATCTCCAGTCGATGTCAGAGATCTCCAGTCGATGTCAGAGATCTCCAGTAGATGTTACAGATCTCCAGTAGATGTTACAGATCTCCAATAGATGTCACAGATCTCCAGCAGGTGTCACAGATCTCCAGCAGATATCACATAACTCCAGTCGATGTCACAGATCTCCAGTCGATGTCACAGATCTCCAGCAGATGTCACATATCTCCAGTAGATGTCACAGATCTCCAGTAGATGTCACAGATCTCCAAGTAGATGTCACAGATCTCCAGTAGATGTCACAGATCTCCAGTAGATGTCACAGATCTCCAGTAGATGTCACGGATCTCCAGTAGCTGTCACAGATCTCCAGTAGATGTCACAGATCTCCAGCAGATGTCACAGATCTCCAGTCGATGTCAGAGATCTCCAGTAGATGTTACAGATCTCCAGCAGATGTCACAGATCTCCAGTAGATGTCACAGATCTCCAGTAGCTGTCACAGATCTCCAGTAGATGTCACAGATCTCCAGTAGATGTCACGGATCTCCAACAGATGTTACAGATCTCCAGTAGATGTCATAGATCCCAAGTAGATGTCACAGATCTCCAGTCGATGTCACAGATCTCCAGTAGATGTCACAGATCTCCAGTAGATGTCACAGATCTCCAGTAGATGTCATAGATCCCAAGTAGATGTCACAGATCTCCAGTAGATGTCACAGATCTCTAGTCGATGTCAGAGATCTCCAGTAGATGTCATAGATCCCAAGTAGATGTCACGGATCTCCAGTAGCTGTCACAGATCTCCAGTCGATGTAAGAGATCTCCAGTAGATGCCACAGATCTCCAGTAGCTGTCACAGATCTCCAGTAGATGTCACGGATCTCCAGTAGCTGTCACAGATCTCCAGTCGATGTCAGAGATATCCAGTAGATGTCACATATCTCCAGCAGATGTCACTGATCTCCAGTAGATGTCACAGAACTCCAGCAGATGTCACAGATCTCCAGTAGCTGTCACAGATCTCCAGTCGATGTCAGAGATCTCCAGTCGATGTCAGAGATCTCCAGTAGATGTCACAGATCTCCAGTAGATGTCACAGATCTCCAGCAGATGTCACAGATCTCCAGCAGATATCACAGATCTCCAGTCGATGTCACAGATCTCCAGTCGATGTCACAGATCTCCAGCAAATGTCACAGATCTCCAGCAGATGTCACAGATCTCCAGTAGATGTCACAGATCTCTAGTAGATGTCACAGATCTCCAAGTAGATGTCACAGATCTCCAGTAGATGTCACAGATCTCCAGTAGATGTCACAGATCTCCAGTAGATGTCACAGATCTCCAGCAGATGTCACAGATCTCCAGTCGATGTCAGAGATCTCCAGTAGATGTTACAGATCTCCAGCAGATGTCACAGATCTCCAGTAGATGTCACAGATCTCCAGTAGATGTCACAGATCTCCAGTCGATGTCAGAGATCTCCAGTAGATGTTACAGATCTCCAGTAGATGTTACAGATCTCCAGTAGATGTCACAGATCTCCAGTGGATGTCACAGATCTCCAGCAGATGTCACAGATCTTCAGCAGATGTCACAGATCTCCAGTAGATGTCATAGATCTCCAGTAGATGTCACAGATCTCCAGTCGTCTCCCCCGCAGGTGGCGCTCTTCCTGGTGTTTGAGGACACGCGGGGCCGGGACGTGAACGAGACGATCGTGGTCAGGAGGGACGAGGAAGTCGTGACCTTCCACACGCTCGGGTCCGCCGAGCAGTCTCACTGTGCGCTGTACGACCACCACAACGTGAGCTCACGCCTCGCAACGGGGCAAGTGGGGGGCTCAGCCCCCCCCCCACACCGCACTCCCCCCAATTAATGAATTTAGGGCAGCCTTCATGAAGATATTTAATCTACGAATCATGAATATATGTGGAATCCGCACTCGGTTTTTTTGCGCGAAGGCTATCACGAAGGCGCTGTGTTTCACATTTTTGCAGTAGGGGCGGGGGGTCGATGATCGCCACGTGTTCTCCAAATCAATAAAGCAAGGAAGTTGAGGATGATCCACTTGTGAAGAATTTAGACCACAAAACCCCTTTGGCTCCTGGAATTCTGACCGGGACCTTTTACGTCCACTGGGAAAGCAGACGACGCGAAGCAGTCACAACTCACACACTCTCGCACGATTAACCAGGGCGGCCGTGGCTCTCACACCACGAACATCTGTGCCACGCGGCAAATGCGCTAACGGCTCGGTCATATCCCATCCAGCAGTGGATTGATCATGACCTATAATAATTATAATAACGACAGATCAAACAAAAAACACTCATGAACATGTCCCGACTCACCAAACATCCCAATGCAGACCGAAACCTCGTGGAAAAAGGCCTGAACGCTGCGAGGCCTTTCTTGGTAAGCAAATGTCATGATCCTATGACAACGCAATTATTCATGAGATGTGGAGTGGGGGGCTGGATGAGATGATAGCCCCTCCCCCCGCACCTCCCCTGAGTGGGGGGGTTTAGACCCGGCCGGGTGTCTGTGCTCGTCCGCGCGTGTCGCGCGCTGAGTGAGGCTGAATATTCCCTTTCCCCTAAGTGACAGCCGCACAAATAGCGCCGCGCATTCGCTGCGAGGCGACGCCACTGTCACCATCTCGCGTTCCGGCAGCGGGGAGCGTGGGGGTAGGGTTACCCTCCACCACCCACCGGCCCCCAACCTCCTGCTTCCCCGTAGCAACGCGAAACTCGAGCCGGGCCGAGCCACTGTGGGAACGGCTCGCACCGACCCGCACCACGAGTCCCGGTCCCGCGCCTTCCTCCTCCCGTTCCACGCGCTCCGACAAATTGGTTACATCGACTCCACCACGCACGGCGGCGCTGGGGAGTTCAGTTCAGTTCAGTGCCATTTATTTGGTATAGCCCTGTGAGCCATTCGGCTCTTGAATTGGGTGCAACCACAACAAACAAAAAACAAAAACATGAACAATAAAACACCTGTGTAAACAGAAAGTCCAGGAAAAAAACATCAAAATATTCCTGAAAAAGCACTGTACACCAACGCTGTGTGCAAAAATCCCAGTGGGATGCAAGTCAAACAACAACAACCACAAGACAACTTAGCTTAAGGCCATCAGTCTAACTCCGTACTACAACAAACAAAAACATGGCCAAACCAAAAAACGTTTTCGAAATCACCAAAACAAAGCCATAAATGCAATGTAACAGTGATCATAGGGACTGTGACCGAATTTTTTTTAACAATAAACTACATAAATAACATGTAACACCAAACCCTAGAGCCATAGCTGGCTGCATGAGTCACTCCACAACAACAGAAGCATCAGTCGGAGTATCACATTTTTCAATGCACATTTAAGATCACCACACTAAATCAAAATACAGATAATACTTTGCAGCGGTCATCCGGAGCGAAACATTTTATTTTATTTTAGGCCACTGAATAGCAGTGGCAGCTTGGGGTGTACAACTCCTCTAGAACAGTTTTGAGTGAATATCTCATAGGTAGTGATTCAAGTAGCAGTTTATTGGCAATAGCATTCCAGACCCTGAGGGCATCAATAGCAAAGGCCCTTCCTCCAGTTTTTGTACGGCAATAGGGAATGTGAAGCTGGTAGATGAGCGAAGACCTGAGGTCAAATTTGTTCTTTGAAACAGAGAGGAGATCTAGCAGGTAGTCTGCGGATTTTTTTGTAAGTATATCGTGAATAAATAAGATCTGGTGCACAAGCCGTCGAACATTAAGAGATGTTAAGTTTGACCCAATGTAGAGATCACAGTGGTGAGTCCTATATGGGCAGTTCAATGTAAATCTTAAGGCCGAGTGATAGATGGAATCAAGCTTCTTCAGTAGTGCTTGGGGCTGATTTATACACGATGTCACAGTAGTCAAGTAGAGGCAGTATGGTAGCTTTTATCAATTCCAAACGAAACATAGGGGGGAAGCAGTGCTTGTGTCGATACAGAAAACCAATTTTTATTTTTGGCTTTTTACCAATATAATCAATGTGATCTTCAAAATTCAGTTTTGAATCCAGGATGACCCCAAGATACTTATATAGGGGAGTCTCGGAACACTGGAGACTCCCCCCCCCCCTCCCCCCGGGGAGGAGGATCTGGCCCTGCTCGCTGCGCGCAGGGGGGCGGGGGGGGGGGCTTGCGAAGCGCGGTGCGAAGTCCCCGGGAGCTCAGCAAGGTCTCTGGGACGGTGACCCCCCCCCCCCTTCCTTCCGCTCGTCTCCTGAGATCTCCGAGACAAACGCCGAGCGGCTCAGCTCCATCGCGAGCCCCGCGCGCGGCTGTGCTGCCCCCAGGTGCATGTCCGTTCGTGTCTTTAAGCGGTGTGGAGCGGTAGTGTAGCGGTCAGCGCGCTGCGCTACGAACCTGGCGACCCGAGTTCGATTCTCGTTCATGGCCAACACCAGTGACGATTACCTGCACAGGTCCTGGGCCTCCACCAGGTCGACTGAGCCTCAAATGAGTACCTGGTGCGGTGTGTAAACATCGCCACTGGGGAGACAAAAGCGATCGGGCGTGGTGCTGACCACCCATCCCCTCGTGTGCCGTGTCCGGCCTGCTTTCTAACAGCACTTACCGCAACAGTCTGTCAAGGCTATACGAGGGGGGGGATCTTTGTCTTTGATTCTGAGCGGCTGGTCTCACGTGTCTCTCTCCGTGTTCCCCGTGGGACAGGGTCTCGTGTGGGTACGCCCGGCCTCGCGTCGCGTCTGTCTGCTGAGGCGCATGAGCCGCCCCGAGAAACGCCACGTGGCGTCCGTGCTGCGCGGGGCCGGCCGCGGTGGTCAGGTGCGGCGCCGCGCTGACCCCCAACCGCGACCCCTGACCCCCGAACCCCCAAACCTGACCCCTGAGCCGGGAGGGAAAGGGATTTTATTTTGATGCCACGCTAAACGGACAGCATCGTGACCACACGGCCGCGTGCCGACTCACGGGTCATAGGTTAATCAGTGGAGTTGATGCACCGGGGTTACTGGGCCGGGTTACTGCATATAACCAACGTAATATCAGCATCATAATCTTTATTTGTACTGGATGAATCCGATGAGCTATGAAGCTCTTTTTCGACAGATGTCCAACAAGGTAAAACATTTTTTTTTTATCGAAGGGTCACGGTGAACGTGTCGCGGCCCCGTGTCCCCCAGGTGAGGATCTCCCGGAACGCCACGCGCTTCCCCCGCGAGATTCTTCTCATCCGCGCCTCGCGCCCTACACCCCTCCCGGGGCACGCCACCGTGCCCGCGCTCTGCCACTCCACGCCCGTGCTGTGGGCGGCGAGATCCGCAGGTCAACAATCAGCATCATCAGCAGCATCAGCAGCAGCATGGTCATCATCAGCAGCATCACCATGAACGACGCAATGTGAAACAAACATTATTTTCATCATCAACACCGGGGGTAAATCAATATCACAGGTCAATCGCTATTATCCTCACAATGGGTTAAACGTCATCAGCAGCATCATCAGAATTATCGGCCTCATTAGCATCAGCAGCAGCATCATTATCACGGATCAATCGTCATCACCATTGTGAACATCATCATAGTTTAGACATGGCATCATCACTCGCTAAACGTGATAACATTAAAGTCTGTATATGCGCTATGAAAAGGGGCGATTGTCCGAAACGTCGCTTATTATACACACGCATTTATTCCATTTTAGGGTCGTTTTGTTTGACGAATGCGTGTATGGTTGAGCACCCTGTGTCGGATGGGCGAAAAATCCCTATCCCCCAGCATTCACACCTACCACTGGTGGCGCAGCAGGTGATGATGGGTACAGGGACTTCCCGCTCACCCTGCATGGCCGTGCGACACGTGCTCTCTGTTCCCCATTTAGAGATGGCCACGTGGCGCACCATGTACTTCTGCCTGGACCTGTGCTTCCTCAACAGCCTCTGCGCCTCATTCTGCTTCTACTACCTCCCCGACTGAAGATCCACCCCGCGTCCCCCCCCCCCCCTCCTCCACAGCAACGTCCCGGCACTACGAAGGGTTGCCACCTCCGAGGTACAAGGAAACGGGACATGTCGTGGGCAGAAGGATATCGCGCAAGACCGGACCGGCAGAGGAGAGAACTACACGTGGATGCACTGTCTTGAGTGGTCCATCAGGGGTGCGATTTCATTGGACGGGTGGCAGGGGGGAGGGGGAAGATTTTTCCTGTCTGCTTTTTTTGTTATCCCAGGGACAGCACTTTGGGTTGTCATCTCCCCCCCCGGGAAGGGGGAGGGGAAGGGGGGATACATTTGATTTGATCATTAACAATGCCAGGGATGAGCCTGATTCGTACTTGAATGTGAAACTGCTTGACAACACCACGTGTTGTAAGCTTGGGCTACGATGTGGCCAGGAGATGGAAGTCCAGCAATGGATTCTTGAATCTATCCGTGCGGAGCTTTGCGTGTGTGTGTCCCACCCCCCCTCCATCTCCACCCCAAACTCGCCAATGTGGTGGTTTTTCTCCGGTATCCTTCCAGAAGCCAAACACTTATCAATGTGGAATTGATGTGGAATTGTCCAAACCATTGTATCCCCCCCACACACACACACACACTGGAAACTTGGCAACACAAGGAGTTTGAATGTCGCGAGAAAACTTGTGTGTGTGCTGCCAGGTAGAAGCCTCCTCCTCAACAAGAGGCAAATCCTGGGAGAAATTAAAAAACCCAGGGCAGGTGGCAACCAGGGGGCGTGCGTCCAGGGCTGGAGAGTATGTGGCTTTGTCAACTTGGAAATCACCGCGCGTGAGAACGAGAGTGCTCGCCTATATACAAAAAAAATCGTGTTATTGGGTAATGGTTTTGCGTTGGCAGTGGCGCAAGAAGCACAAATAACAATAAACTCAACGCATGCGTCAGTCACAGCCTTACTTTTTTTTTACAATAGGTGACGTTTCGGGCAATGGCCGTTCTTCATAACACAGGCCGCAGAGACAACAGTAGTAGATAAGGTATGAATATAAGAATAGGTTTACCCTTTCTGGCAATGAAACTGGTGTTAAGACCACCAAATATAAACCTTTTGCAAGGAATCGAGTCTGCATTAGTCAAGCGTACTTGTGGTGAACATGCAAACAAAACGTGCTCTGATGATACGTCACATTCCTTTTGAAGCTGATTGGCCTACACCAAAGGAGCCGTCCATAAATGACGTCACGCACCTAGGGGGGAGGGGGGTCAGACATTTGTGACGATGTGTGACGAGGGGGGGGGGGTTGAGAAATGTGACGTCACATCAAAATGCGCAACTTTTAATAAATACAGACAACACGTTCTAGTTAATTAAATAAACGTTTTAATACATGTTTTCTCCTACATCAGAGTGCAGCGCCACATTAAATACGCACTACAATGACAATAGTTTAAAGCGATTTGAAGCATGTGTCTTTTTGGGAGGGGGGGGCAGAGCTTTGTGACGTCATATTTGAGGGGGGGATCTGACTTTTTGTGACGCCGTGTGACGAAGGGGGGGGGGGTCAAAAATCGTCCAAAATCGCGTGACGTCATTTATGGACGTCCCCAAAGACAGCCTTCTTTGTGACCGAGTCTCACTACCAGTGTCAGACCAGAGAACGCCAGAAGGCGACCAGCACAAAGACAATGCACGTAACAGAGCATGTATAGCTCGGATCCCGTTATATAGTGGATAAGGGTTGGAAACTGCACTTTATACCACGTGGCCAGATGATAATTAAATGCTAACAATATTTTCTGAAGAGCAGTTTCAAATCCCTATATGAAGTTACCGAATGCTGGTGATTGATTAATATGGTGTACAGTGCAGTCTCCAACTCTTACTATCTCTCTGGCATGTGCTGTGAGGGACTGTTGCCCGAACCGTCTCCACTGTGACGAGATGTTAACTACCTCGCCTGGTATACGGGAGATCGTGGCTTCAATTCCGACCCTGACGATGCGTGTATATTTTGAGTTTGCATGTTCTTACAGCGATAGCGTCGATTTTTCTCCAAGTTCTCCGGTTTTTCCCCTCCGCATTTTAGAATCCACATGCGCTTAGAGTATTCATCTGCTATGAATGTCCACGTGATAAGCCACTTCGTTGAGCTATCAGTTGGTACCAGGTCGCTTCTGATAAAGAGCTCTGTCTCGCAGAGGGCCTTTCCTGTTAAAATACAAAAAACTAGTTTAACAGTTTAGTTAAATATATGTTGTTTTAAGGCAGCGCTATGGACGGATGTGCTGGAGGTTTTTGTTTTTTTTCCTGCTCACATATTGTGAGTGGAGAACCCGTCTACTTACCGGAGGGCCTAAGAGAACTCGAGGGGGAAACCTTTAACGGACCACACACTCAGCGCACACCCCGGCGATCTCGAACAATCGTGCGAGAACGAGCGCGCATGTCCACGGAGCGTACAAGAGGCCCTGGCAGCAGCCGCAGGCACGGACCGAGCAGCGTTGCGCGAATAAAAATAAAACATAAATAAAAAAATAAAATTCTCACGCCAGCAGCGTTGTGGCCGAAACGTCGTGAGAATTTGATGAAATTGTTATTATTTAATTATTTCACTTCTACGTGACTTTACCGAAAGAACCGAAAATGTGAATCCCTGTAGTCACGAAAGCTTTAAATCGAAAATGAAGCACGCCGTTATATAAGAAGAGGTGTTAACCTTTCACGCAATAGGACAGGTGTTAGGATGTTAAAACACCAAACAAAGACCTCTTGCAAGGAATCCTGTCTGCAAAGGTTTCTGTTTGGTGTTTTAACATCTGAACAGCTGTCTTATTGCCAGAAAGGGTAAAACCATATTCTTATCTTGATTTGAAGCTTTCGTGACTGCAGGAATCCATCCATACTCTTTGGTTCTTTCGGTAAAGTCACGTAGGTAGAAAAAATAATAGATTACGACGTTTCGATCGCAACGCGAGCAATCGTTATCAGGCGTTGCGATCGAAACGTCGTGATTTATTATTATTTTTATCTACCTACGTGACTTTACCGAAAGAACCAATTAGACCAATTCTTATATTTTGATACTGGCAAGAATTGTCCCATGGTGGAGCTGCTCACCCCGAGCTATAAGTGCCCTGATAGTGGCGTTGTCTTTGTGCTGTTCGCCTTTTAGCCTCCTCTGGTCTGACACTTTGAGACGAGGCTCTCAAGAAAGCTGTCTCTGGTGTGGACGAATCAGTTTCAAAGACAATGCACGTATATTATCAGAGCATGTTTCTTTTGTTTGCATGTTCACCACAAGTACCCTGTGCGGTTAATGCAGACAGGATTACTTGCAAAATGTTTCTGTTTGGTGGTTGAACATCTTAAACACCTCCTGCTTTTATTGCCAGAAAGGGTTAGACACATTGCTGCCGGATGGCACGATGGTCATCTCTCGTTCACGATTGGTGCAGCGAAAACGCGGGCAGTCGCCGACGATTGTTTGGGAGCTATTTGGAAGTAGTGGCCGTGGGTAGTGCCGGATTAAGCTAGTGTGGGGCCTGTAGCATTGGTTACAAAGAGGCCTTAAATATTAAAAAACACATAAATATTAAAACACAAATTCTTTACTTGCATAGTAAAGTCATTGTATTTTTGCATTTGCTATACAGACAGATACGACAAATCGCTAACCTTAAACACCCAGCCGTGCATAAAAGTGTAAGGCGGTATAGTACTATAGTAATAGAGCAAGTGCAGAATCACTGATAGCCTGAAATTATTTAGCGCGGGGCCCTTGAAAATCCTGAGCCCGTAGCTACTACACATGTACACATGTAGTAGCTACTACATGTGTAGTAGCTACTACACGTGTAGTAGCTACTACACGTGTAGTAGCTACTACACGTGTAGTAGCTACTACATGTGTAGCTACTTTTGCTACAGGGATAATCCGGCACTGGCCGTGGGTGGTATGAAGAAATGAAGTGGTGTGCAGTATCCCCCCCACCCCCCATCCCTGGCCCTATAAGGGGCCGTCCATAAATGACGTCACGCGATTTTGAACGATTTTTGACCCCCGCGTCACACGGCGTCACAAAAAGTCAGACCCCCCCTCAAATGACGTCACAAAAAGTCAGACCCCCCCCTTAAATATGACGTCACGAAAAAAACATGCTTCAAATCGCTTTAAACTATTGTCATTGTAGTGCGTATTTAATGTGCCGCTGCACTCTGATGTTGTAGGAGAAAGCATTTATCAAAAAGCCTATTTAACTAAGTAGAACGTGTTGTCTATATTTATTTAAAGTTGCGCATTTTGATGTGACGTCACATTTCTCACCCCCTCGTCACACATCGTCACAAATGTCTGACCCCCCCCCCCCCACCTAGGTGCGTGACGTCATTTATAGACGGCCCCGAACGTTCACGGTGGTGTGCACGTGTAGATATTGTATCGAGTGGTTGTATTGATAATGAAGAACATCGCTATGGTTATATGTTGTGTGTCTGCGTCTTGTAGTATCTCTAAATGAGATTTAATTCCCTCTGTTAATGCCTCAAATACAACGCAAACGCGCGCACGTGATGGTGATGATGGATTGGGCGACGATAATGGTTTGGATGAGGATGTATCTGATTCGGATGGATTTGACTGGTGGCAATATTTATTTGGACGATTATCTCGATGGAAACAATGGGTGAAGATGACCGTCTGCTCGTCCTGTGTCACGTGACCTAGCGACGAGTTAGGCGAGGGCCTGGAAACCACGTGCCGGACCAAAACCAGACGCACGCGGTCCAGCCCCTCAATTAGGGCCTCAACAATGCCGCGCGTTGGCTGTGAATCATACGACTGACGATAAGTCACGAGGGACCACGTGCGTTATTTATGACACGTGCAGGTGAGTGCGCACGTGTCCGTAAGGCGATGTTGACGGAGGCTGGAAGCTCCGTGCAAACCAAGTCGAGACGCCGAGGCTCTGCCGAGCACCAACTGAGCTTCACTGCTCCGCCCGACCTCCGACCTGCTGCCGATGGATCCTGTGCTGGCAAGCTTTGGCTAATTACAGACTGAAAACTAATATCTTTACAACTGCTTTTTTTTGCGTGTGTAGCTTGTTGTCCTTCCCCCGCGCGCCTCCGATTAGCACGGTTGGCTACGTACGGTGCGAAAGTTACGTACACAGCTCTATTTAGCAGGCGCTTGGCTCTTTGTGTGGGAAGAAACACAAGCCGTACCCGGAGAAGGCCCACTTACACATAAGTAAGGGTTTTAAACCCCCTTTACTGCCCTGCTATCTCCAGACCGCCTCGAAGGCCAGCGAGGCTTGAGAGTTTCACAAACTTCCACGTGACCCAGCGGCCCTTGCCTCCAAGGCGCTGGGTCACAGGGCGTGCAGAGCCACTTGCGCCCGACATGAAGGCGCTCCCCCGATCATACGCACCGCCGCCACCCACACGTTCAGACAAACGCGCTTCACTTCTGACGGGCATAATGGTTTAATTACCACGAGTGTACGCTTGAGACCCCCCCCCCCACCCCGTGACCGCGCGAGTACAAATGACGAGCACGTGGCATCTTATTCCCTTTGTATCGACCCCCCCCCCCCCAGCGAGCAGGAGCCTCTCTCCAGCGCCAGTCCTCAAGGCCCACCACAGCTCGCCCTGGGCATTCGCAAAGCTCCTTCTGGCCAAATGCACATTCGGTTGTTACACGTTGCACGCGCCTGATGATGATTCGGTACCCGCTTCCACGTTACGCGACATCTCCCTCCCCCCACCCAACATCCATTTGAAACGGCGTCACGTAGCGTGGGGGACGTTTATTCAACAACTAGCCTTTTGCCCGTCCAAGGACGGGTGTATTGCAGTAAATCTGAAACTTGCAAGCGAAAAGCAGACCGCGACGTGATATGTTCATTGCATGCATTCGCGTGCAATTTGTACGGCCGCGGTGAGACACAGACTTATTTCATTTTAAGTTTATAATCCCTTGTTCATCACGACGTTCTTTTTACTTCAATGTCTCAATAGCGTAACGGAGATCGCATGACGTGAGCGTTCTGCCTTTGTAGTGAAGTTGACGCCGAGTTGGGGGGGGGAGGCGCCTCGCCCCCCCATGTGGAGTGACGTCACCCGTCAATTTACCGACTATAATCACCCAGAAATGTCTGTCCGTCCCGCGCGCGACGTCACTCCACATGAGGCCCACCCCCCCCCGCGTGACGTCACTCCACATGAGGCCCACCCCCCCTCATTAATATTCATGAGTGGGTGTATTTTTGCACTAACGCAGGTCGAGCTGAATTCAATAATTACGCAAAGTCGCTTCAAACATGACGTTTCTTTAAAGAAAGTGACGGTAAAAAATAAATCTACGCAGCACAGTGCTACATCCGTGCGTGACGTCACTGCAAAAGAGGCCCCCACTTCATTAATATTCATGTACGCGTGGGAATTTACACGAACACACATATGCCGCACCCTCCCCTCATTAATAATCATGAGCGGGTGACGTCACTCCACATGCCGCACCCCTCCACAATAACCATGAAGGGGTGATGTGACTCCACATGCCACACCACTCCCCAACAACCATTAGCGGGTGACGTCACTCCACATGGGGCACCCCCCCCCCCCTCATTAATTATCATGAGCTGAACAATTTTTCTATCGAACATTTCATATTTACTGCAATATCCACCCGTACTTGGACGGGCAAAAAAAGCTCGTTATTATTAAGCCGTCTCTGGTTGTGGACCAATCAGTTTCCAGTAAGGTGGAAAACCTATTATTATAATAAACTATTAAAGCTTTCGTGACTGCATAAAATTACTCATTGTTTTTTTCGGTAAAGTCACGTATGTAGAAATACAATAAAATTATATTAAAACAAAAAACAATCACGACGTTTCGATCACAACACAAGCGATCTTCATCAGGTGTCAAGAACAAATCACGGAGGTAAATACAACAAAAAGATGAGAAACGAGAATTCAACAAACCTGTTCTTATATTTTGATACTGGCAAAGGAGGTCCCATGATGGGGGGGGGGGGGGTGTCCATTTGGAAGGCGTCACCTGCTCATGAGTATTAATGAGGGGGGCTGGCTCACGTGGAGTGACGTCACGTGCAGGACACGCAAGACATTCTTGGCTCATTATCGTAGTAAATCATCGGGCAAATGCAGCGTGGACATTTTGATAGAACAAACGTGCGAAGGCGCGCAGTTGGCGTCGCGGCTTGTGCCGTGGAAAGACACTGCCCTTGGTGAAATCCTTGGCTCGAGTGATGTGCCCACGTAACCTACGGAAACTATTAAAAAAACTACCATTTACGGAAAGATAACGCCAAGCATCACGGTGGGACCAGCGGGGTCAACTTGAGGTGACCCGAGCCCCCCGCCCCCCTTCATAGCGGCCGTGCGGTCCCGCAGCAGCTTGGCGCCGTCTGGCGAGTCCAGCACGGTAGAATAAGGGAGGCGATGTTGGGGGGCCCGGGGGGGGGGTGAAGACAAACGTGTGGACATTTTCCTCGAGCCTTCTTAGTCTGTGGATTCCATTTAGTCCTCTTAGGTCGGGTCGACGAAAGCGGTCAACACGTTTCGGCCACCTTTGGTTAGCACGGCTGGCTATGTACGGTGAACAATAAGTTAAAGATACACATGTTACCTGACGGAAACATTTTTTCTCCAACAAATATCACCCCAGATCAGCCAACCGGTGAAATTGGTACTGTAAATATTATATACTACCAATGACCAGTTCTGATCTTCCTCCGTCTCACCGCAGTATAATCAGTTTAGTTTTATAGACAGCATCGTCAGTTTAACACGTAGGCTTTCGCGACCAGTATTATTCATAATAAAGGTTTTTTGTGTTAGATCGTGTAAGTATAAGTGTGTCGCAACCCTCCACCACCCGACACGGCCAATCATTAAAAAGTGTCACGTTAACAAAACGCCAATTAGTTACTTCTTCAGCCCACCGTTGTGTTTGAAGAGTGAATCTACAACATTTCGAATTTGAATGTTTCGCTGGTAATTACATCCAGCATCTTCGGGGCGATTTGCCACAAGTGAAGCCATCCCCGCTGCTTCCGGTCTTAAAGTGCAGGATGACGTCATCATTGTTGAACCCCCATAAGTTTTCGAGATCAGAGGCGGAGGTGGGGTATTGCAATTATGTAATAGATCAATAATCAGCCACTTAGCATGTGACTCCTCTATATGGAATTGCAATTACTTAATACGCTGCCAGTCTGCAACTATCACAGCGGTTGAAATTATTTGTATTTTTTCTCAATTCCCAATAATTCTCCAATTAGTCTTGGCCAGTAATAATTCATTTTGCATAACACTTCGTTATCAAAATCAATTGAATGTCCTTGTTGGCTAGCATGCTCCGCCACTGCTGACAACTGTTTGAGATAATTTAATGTTCCTTTGGTGTTATTTTAGCCTTATGCTGTTACGTCCCGTTTGTCCAATATAGCATTTACCGTATAAGCAATTGATCCGATATACACCTTCTGTTGATAGCTTCGGTAATTCATTTTAGTACAAGACACTAGTTTTGTAATTGTGTAACGTACCAAACTTCGCTTTAATGTTTTGCTTTTGCAAAATATGGGATGATTTGTCAGTAACTCCCGAGATATATGGTATTTTAATTGTTTTGATAATTTGATCACTTTCAGCAGTATTGTTGTTCGGTCTTGGTTTGGCATTCAGTCGTAGTGCTTCTTGAACATGTTTAATCTGTCCTTAGACTTTCACCATCTGACACTGTTGTTGCCGAATGTATGAGCGTCTTGATGAGAGGATTTCTGTGGTGGGTGATGAGAATCTGCATTCAGATATGCATCAGTGTGCATCCCATTTCGGTAGATGCTGTTATTTTACCATATTGACCGCGTCCAAGAAAAATATCCAGAATGGGGGGTGTTGTTCACCTCCATTTCCATGGTGATGGTGAACTGGATGGCCGAGTTTTGTGCATAGAGATGATTTTAAAATTAAGTGTATCTTTACCATGGGGCCAGACAACCAAAGTGTCATCGACATATCTAAACCAAAAATATGGTCTCTACGGGGAGGGTTTCCACACTGCTGTTAGAGATTTTAACAGACTGCGAGACAAGGCTCATCTGAACGTGTCACTATACCTACGTGACTTTACCGAAAGAACCAAAAAGTATTGATTCCTGCAGTCACGAAAGCTTAAAATCAAGATAAAAAAAGATGGTTTTAATGTACTTGAGGCAAGTGCTCTTGTTTCCAAATTTCCATGTACAGATTTGCTATAGCAGGAGACAAAGGAGAGTGCATTGCTGCTCGTTCCTTTTGTTTAAAGAAGTTACCTCTCCATAAGAAGTGTTATTTAGACAATGGTCAGTTAGTTTTGAAATATCTTCTGGTAAACCCGTCTTCTTTACCAGTGTATCAAGTAATTTAAGTGACTCGTTAACCGGAACCTTAGTGAATAGAGAAATTACATCAAAACTCACCAGAATATCATGAGGGTTAAGTTTAATATCTGTAATCACATTCACAAAATGTTCTGAATTTATTATAAATGAAGATGTCCTACCGATGTAGGGCTGTATTTATATAGCTACATATTTTGCTAATTTATGTGGCAGAGGCTATTGTAATGGGATACCGATTTTACGAATCTTTGGTAGCCCATACAATCTTGGTAGTTTCGAGGTCGTGGTTTAATTTGGTAATACTCAGTCTTGGGGATTACTGAATTTGCAATAATTGCAGAAGTCTTGCGTTGTAAAGTATCAGTTGGATCTCGTTTAATATAGGTATCTTCCTCGTCGTTTGCGCAAATTGCATCTTGCAATTGCTGAAAAGCCACATACGAGCGGAAAGGCAGCAGCCAGGTGGTGAACTAGCACCAACAGTTTCCAAAGCTCTGCAGTTCTCTATTTATTCAGATGTTTTCAGTCAATTAATGATACTTGTACATGTTCCTAAATAATCTTACATCTGCGTCTTCATTCGCTCATTAATTTGGTCCCGTCGCAGTCTTTGGCGAGTAGTCGTAGTCATTGTCACATGCTTGGTGATTTTCATCCACCCAAGTCATCGTTGGCTAAAATAAAACAAAAAAACTCGCAAATATTTCTACCAACCAGCAGCTGCTGTCACCACCTGTCCATGTGTGTGTGTGTGCTGGCTCCGGAGATAAAAATAGTGCATGGCTCAGCTCATCGGCACGTGCCGTGTCCACCCAAAATTTTACTATTTTACTACTTATCACCGTAGTAGTACTAAAAATACAACAAAATGTACAACATAAATCGCGCCGCCATGCCATACCGCACCATGGTAACGGCTCGCGCAGTGGAGCGACGGCATTGAGTAAACGTGGCCCATACGGGCCGCAGGGCTCTCGCGGTTGCGCCACCCCAGACGGGCCCCCCTCACTTTGCGCCAGCAGATTCCTTCCTTCTAAGACACAAACTTTATAAAGCACGGGGAATTACACAGTGGGTGGGGGGTTAAATATCTCACCGAATATTTTCCGGGTCTCCGCCAGACTGGAGTGGCATGCGACTCGTAGTAGCCATAGTGGGGGGGGGGGGGGGGAGGTTACACTGGATGTAGTGTGCCTTATAATGAATTATCCAGTTTGCAGAAGGCCTGGGTTCAGTGGCAATACAGCCTTAGCCTCCAACCCTGACACCTGCCCCAACTGCACGAGACTCTTTAATGCGGAGTGCTTTGGCTTAATATTCTGGAGTGAATCTGGCTCTGACCTCTGCCTTGTAGCGGTGCAAGGTTTTCTCGCCGGGTTGAGGAAAATGTTTGGTGTGCAACGAAATGTCCAGGAGAGCCCTGCAGTGCGAGGCGAGTGACGTGGGGGAAGACTATTATCTGCTCAATGTGCACCCCCGAACCAGGCATCAGTGGCGCAACCCAGTTAAATGTTTTGCAGAAGGCAATATTTCTTCTTCCCAAGAATAAAGGTTCAAGGTGCAGGCCTGCAAAAAAATTCACACACCACGGATGGCAGAAGGGCTTAAACCATTGGGAGCTCTGGAGAGCCCCTGTAGAATTCTACACTGAAAAACATTTCCTCATTCTATTTATACTTTAGATAAAATGCCCGTTCACTGAATACTCTTATGCACTGTAGCCACAGCCAGTCGGGTTCCGATTATGGGAGACTTGTCCACCACGCAGACAATACTGTCTCCCTATTCAGGATTCGCTCGCTGCCATCGCAGCCTGGCCTGGAAACACTTGGGGGGGGGGGGTGGGGATTGGCATAAAATCGCAAAACGTGGAGCATGGTTGTGGGTGTCCTGCACCGCGTCTCACCGGAACCGCCGCCGGAGGGGGGAGCTCTCTATCGAGGCCAAGGTGACCTGCGGGAAACCTTCCTTGCCTGATATCCACTCTCGTTCCAGTGGGCCTCGTGCGAGGTGCCCAATAGCTCCAGGGGTGCGAAGCGACAGCAGTGTACAATTCCCGAATTCAACCGGGATCACGCGGATGGGACAAGAGGCAACTCTGCCTTCCCTCCCAGTCATGGCTCTACCTCAGAGGTGATAACCGCGCGCTATACACAGCAAGGCTACATCAGCAGTGCAACAGTCACGATTTTTTAAAGATAAAAGTCATCTTTAACTAGATAACAACAACATAATTAAAATGGACAAACAAATTAAAGATATAATTCCCTTATGTAAAAAAAAGGCTTCTTTTGGGAACTGGTGTTCAGATTTTTTAAAGTGGTGTTTGAAACCAAATCACTTTGCCACAGTTTTCATTAACTTCACCCTGAAACAACAAAAGGCATGCCCAATCGGCTTTTTCGACCTTCCCAAGTACCCTCGATGATCACGAAAACGCGTGTTGTGAAAAGTCCTCCCCCGACGTTTACAAAGCTTGGAATTGAAAATCGCGACTTCCAAGGTGCGGCCCATCGGGTTACTCTCGTGTCGGCGTCCGTGAGCCCGCGGCGGGATCATATGCGCCCGTATCCCACGTGCGACGGCACGCTCGCCTGCCACTCCGCCACCATGAACGAGCCGGTGCCCAGCAGCGTGGTCACCACCAGCACCAGCAGCTGCCACGTCAGGTGCAGGTAGTTGCTGTAGAAGAAGGCGATCGCGGCCGTGATAGACTGGGCGGGGAGGAAGAGGAGAGGTGGGGCGGGGGGGGGCAGCGTCAGTGTACGACGGTCCGTGATGTTGAGGATTGGGAAAAAGAAAGCATTGTGTGCAAGGTTAGGGTGGCAGAATACACTGGGGGCACAACCATAGCTCTTTTTTTATCTTTTTAAAGTTTTTACGAATTAAATTTCTACACCCTGCACATAAAATGCAGAGCAAAGGTTCGCAACTCTCGTCGGGTGTACGTTGAATCAGAAATCTCCTGGCTCCCCGTGGGCCGAGGGTCACGTCGAAACTTGTCAAAACGTGATGTTAACAACAACGACGACACGTTTTCGAGAGGCTTAAAGTTGTTGACAAAGAAAGTGGGCATGATGGCCCGTTTGTGGTCAACAGTTCTGCCAAGGTGCTTGCAAAGCACTTGCGTTTTCCTGGTGTTCACGGGGCGGAAAAAAAACACACATCTAGGTCCGGGTACAGCCCGCAGACTGGAAGCATTCTCGTGTCTTGCTGCAGCGCGTTAAGCACGGGATGTGGGTCGCGTGCAGTGAGAGCGCCACCTGGACGAATTTGAAGACCGCGAACGCGGGCGCGCTGTCGTCGGCATACATGTAGCCTAGCACGCTGTACAGTTGCGTGTTGAAGCAGCTGTCTCCGAAGCCCAGCAGGAAGCTGCACAGCATCGCCACCTCGACACTACGGCAGGGGGACGGAGAACGAAGGGGAGGAAGCCCACCAGGGTGAGCACGGCCAAAATCTCAAGTTTGTGATTGATGACAAAACACGCCGACGAGTAAAAACACGTGAACTGGTTAAATCGGCCGTGACGGCGTGTTATCCACTACGGACAAGCGGGGGCCTGCACCTGGGATTCATGAAGCCGATTTTGTTGGAGCCGGCCTCTCCGACGACGGGAGCATCATCCGGAATGTTGAGGAAGATGAGGAAGAAGGCGATGATGTGAGCCACCATGCCCAACAGCACCACAGGGTTTCTCCCAAAGCGGTTATTCCTGTTGAGCAGCCCGAATAAACCTCCGCCTACGTGTGACGGTGAGTGGACACAATACAATACAGCATCCAGGTTAAACACACAATACTTTGTATATAAACAGTACCTAAGTACAACTGTATGTCATGTCACGGTATTACATTTTACATCCGGATTATGTTAATAACATTTACAGCAGAGGCAGTCCCCGAAATACGAACGTCCAAAATTACAAACACCCGCACTTACGAATGAACCCCCAAAAGATGTTATTTTTATCCATCCGACTTGCGAACGTTCGGTCGTGCTTACAAACCGAACCATAGAACTATTTTGTTTGGCGGAGCAATCCTCCGCAAGACGTAATGTGGCCCAGCATCCCGCTGGGACTCATTAGGCTCCTTCCGGCAAGCAAGCCGGCATCAGAACTCAAGATAAGTGAAAATAAAACTGATTTTTCTTCTTTTCATGTTACTTTATTTTGTTGGATTTACTGTGCAGTATTTATTACAGTATTTATTATTTATGAGTTGGACAATGCATCAACGCATGGTCACGTACAGTCACATGTATAACAAAGACAAAGATGCCACGTGTAACCTTAACAGACTGTAAGGACAAGTGCTGTTCGCTTTGAACAGGAGTAGGGAGGTAGGGAGTCAATAGCATGGATGGCTGCGGGGCGTTAAATATTGCAGGGGTAGTATTCTCTAGCCCCGATCTCATAATGTAGGGGGGCTATGTACTCATTTGTATTTGTAGTGATAAAGATGTCTGAGCCATGAGGTCTGATCGATCGGACCTGTGATCTCGCCAACACCAATGAAGATGCCGGAGAGGCCGATGAGGCCCTTGGCGTCCGTCACGAAGCGGTTGGTGGCACCGATGCAGGTGCCGTACACACCACTGAAGAAGGTCAGCTCCAGCCCTGGCATCAGATGCATGGTCACGTACGGTTACATGTATAACAAAGACAAAGGTCCCACGTATAGCCTGAACAGACCGTAGGGACAAGTGCTGTTCGCGAGCACCGATGAAGGCAGGTATGGCACACGAGAGGGTGGATGGCCAGCACCACGCCCGGCTGCCTTTGTCTCCACAGTGACATACTTACACACTGCACCAGGTACTCATTTGAGGCTGAGTCGACCTAAAGGAGGCCCAGGACTGGTTCATATAATCGTCACTGGTGTTGGTCTCGAGCGGGAATCGAACTCTGGTTGCCGGGTTCGCAGCACAGCTCGCTAACCACTACACTACCGCTCCTCACACAGGTATAACGGACACTGCTGTTCGGCTTTTTGACAATTAATTCTCTCAAGCTTTCACCAACCATGCGTGGTACTTTGGGCATCTTCAATGCTCAACATGGTGCCAAACCCGGGAGGCCACACTTGAACATCCACTGCATGACAAATGCTTTCCGTACTTTGTATTAGATTTCGACCGCGTTGGTAGGGAGTTCTTTCAGTAGCTGCCACTCGTGCCTGGGGTCGTGTGCCGTGTGGCCTCACTCACCCGTGTAGGCCATGCACACGCTCAGCAGCAGCATGTTCCTGGTGAAGAAAAGCTTCACAGAATTCTCTGCAAGATGAGGACAAGACAAGGGATTACATTCGTTGCATTTGCGTCTCAATTCAAATAGCCTAAACTAAACTAGTTTTATTTTACCAGGTAAGGCCCACTGAGCTTTAAAGCTCTTTTTCAGAAGCGACCTGGCCACAAATGAAAGCTCAACGAAGTAGCTTATCATGTGGAAATTTATAGCAGCCAAATACTCTAAATGCATGTTGATTCTAAATATGGAGGGAAAAACCAGAGGACCCAGAGAAAAATCTACGTGACCACTGGGAGAACATGCAAACTCCAAATATACAGGTGTAAGGATCGGGATTGAACCCACGACCTCCTGCATACCAGGTGAGGAAGTTAACATATCGCCAACATGTGTGAAATGTATGCGGTTAAATCGAATAAACTTGTGAGTGTTAATGTTTCTTACTTAGAGCTTGTAATGGGCCATGTGGAGTTTCTCTTTGCCTAAACACACACACAAACACCATTTAACAGCAACAAAAATCATCGTTGTAAAGGAAACCGTGCTTACGTTAATGACTACAAAGAAAATGTCTGATTCACTTAAACGAATAACTTCTGTACGGCAGCCTTGGTGGTGTGCGGATGTGCCAACACATAGTTACGATGTCTGTAGGTGATTTCACAGTATGGGCTGAACGGGTGATGAATTAAACTCGTCATGTGTAGCTGTATGCCTTTCTAACGTGGCCAAAAGCAGATTACTATTATTGTTTTTATTGATCTCCACCTTGAACGCGTTACTCCTTAGCGTCCATCGATCCATAGCAGGGGACGGAGGAGGTACTATCACTCTCGTATGTTTCACACGAGAGAGTGTTTGTCTCATTTAATTTGCAGCGTGTTAGTGGTCGGGGGAAAATAATTAATTTGCATATTGCCAATTGGCTTGTGTCTCCGAGTTTCGGGCAAACCTTTTATCAAGATGGCCAGTTTTCAATCGGAAATGTCCTTAAGAGCAACACAACGTTACAGTGAAGGAAAAAAGTATTTGATCCCCTGCTGATTTTGTACGTTTGCCCACTGACAAAGAAATGATCAGTCTTTAATTTTAACGGTAGGTTTATTTGAACAGTGAGAGACAGAATAACAACAAAAAATCCAGAAAAACGCATGTCAAAAATGTTATAAATTGATTTGCATTTTAATGAGGGAAATAAGTATTTGACCCCCTCTCAATCAGAAAGATTTCTGGCTCCCAGGTGTCTTTATACAGGGATTAGGAGCACTCTTAAAGGGAGTGCTCCTAATCTCAGCTTGTTACCTGTATAAAAGACACCTGTCCACAGAAGCAATCAATCAATCAGATTCCAAACTCTCCACCATGGCCAAGACCAAAGAGCTCTCCAAGGATGTCAGGGACAAGATTGTAGACCTACACAAGTCTGGAATGGGCTACAAGGCCATTGCCAAGCAGCTTGGTGAGAAGGTGACAACAGTTGGTGCGATTATTCGCAAATGGAAGAAACACAAAAGAACTGTCAATCTCCCTCGGCCTGGGGCTCCATGCAAGATCTCACCTCGTGGAGTTGCAATGATCATGAGAACGGTGAGGAATCAGCCCAGAACTACACGGGAGGATCTTGCAAATGATCTCAAGGCAGCTGGGACCATAGTCACCAAGAAAACAATTGGTAACACACTACGCCGTGAAGGACTGAAATCCTGCAGCGCCCGCAAGGTCCCCCTGCTCAAGAAAGCACATATACATGCCCGTCTGAAGTTTGCCAATGAAGATCTGAATGATTCAGAGGACAACTGGGTGAAAGTGTTGTGGTCAGATGAGATCAAAGTGGAGCTGTTTGGCATCAACTCAACTCGCCGTGTATGGAGGAGGAGGAATGCTGCCTATGACCCCAAGAACACCATCCCCACCGTCAAACATGGAGGTGGAAACATTATGCTTTGGGGGTGTTTTTCTGCTAAGGCGACAGGACAACTTCACCGCATCAAAGGGGCGATGGACGGGGCCATGTACCGTCAAATCTTGGGTGAGAACCTCCTTCCCTCAGCCAGGGCATTGAAAATGGGTCGTGGATGGGTATTCCAGCATGACAATGACCCAAAACACACGGCCAAGGCAACAAAGGAGTGGCTCAAGAAGAAGCACATTAAGGTCTCCAGACCTTAATCCCATAGAAAATCTGTGGAGGGAGCTGAAGGTTCGAGTTGCCAAACGTCAGCCTCGAAACCTGAATGACTTGGAGAAGGTCTGCAAAGAGGAGTGGGACAAAATCCCTCCTGAGATGTGTGCAAACCTGGTGGCCAACTACAAGAAACGTCTGACCTCTGATTGCCAACGAGGGTTTTGCCACCAAGTACTAAGTCATGTTTTGCAGAGGGGTCAAATACTTATTTCTCTCATTAAAATGCAAATCAATTTATAACATTTTTGACATGCGTTTTTCTGGATTTTTTGTTGTTATTCTGTCTCTCACTGTTCAAATAAACCTACCATTAAAATTATAGACTGATCATTTCTTTGTCAGTGGGCAAACGTACAAAACCAGCAGGAGATCAAATACTTTTTTCCCTCACTGTATACTCACAAGTTGGCTAATGTTGGATCATCTTTACGAGAACTATAGTTAAATCTGTAAATGAGGAAAAAACTCACGGAATAGGAGCGCAGGCTCCTATTCCGAAACCACCACAACATAATCATGGGAATGCACGAATTTTCATAACTCGTAAAAAAAATGGCAATACATTTCAGCAACAGTCCAGTGAACAGTAAACTGTCCAAGTAAATAACGAAAAAAACTCAATGCGTTCGTTAATAACGCTACCTTATTAACACTGCCTTCTTATTGCTGAACATGTTTAGATCTTTGTTATTTGTGCTGGTGCACCGCTGCTATTGTGGTGTCACCAAATAGTCTTCTTCACATAAATGAGCCCCGAGTGGACGCTGGGGTAAATACATTGACGCTTCCGAGGCTAGGAGATCCGAGGCTGGGTGCGGGGATCTGGAATCGTGGCCGAGCAAGCAATCACTTACGGGGTCGTCTCGTTTTGGTCACAGGGCTCGTCTGTATCGCCCGCGTCGCTAAGTGCCGAGTCCTGGGTGCCAGATTTCCGCACCAGCACGAGCACCAGTGTCCCCACCAGGCTGATGACGGTGAGGGCCGTGAACAGCACGCGACGATCCTTATCTGCGGAGAACACGGCAAAGAGTTCGCTTCTCCACAGCTATGGGCATACATGTACATCCCTATTTACAAATGACTGCTGAATGGGGGCCTCAAGTAATTTCCGGTTGTGGGGGTTATTTGACCAAACATCACCACGCTGGTCAGTGTGGGTTAGTGAAGGCTATGAGCATGGAGTATAGAATTACAGCACTTGTGTGCCACTGTTCTTTACTATCCACCGTGCTGCCCTTTCACCTCCTATTAGCTACGTACGGTACCAAAGAAGTTCAACGTACAGCCCTGCATTCTATAGCCTCTAACACCACGCTTAGCTTTCAATATTTTTGCGGGTGCATTCCGGGTGATTTTGTAATTAGTAAAGAGTATGCTATGCCGGAAAAAATGTTCACACTGGCAACATAAGCTACTCATGCCACAGAAACACTCAGTATTAGGGTCTCACCGGAGATGTGTTTCTTTCCTTTCCAACTCACGTAAATATACAGGTTCCCAAACACCATGCTGAAACGACAGAACATTATAATATTGCGACAACATTAACCTTTGTGGTTGCTTTAAATCTGCACACAATTGTGTGTTGCTTTGACAGGGATTCACTATGACCGGCGCAAATGCACCAACTGTATGACAGCGAGAAGGGGGGGGGGGGACTGACCTGAACTGCAGCAGAGCCCAGAAGATGCCGCTATTCCTGGCCATGGTGGTGGCGTCAGAGTTGACCGTGAGACAGGTGCCCTGGGCCGTCCACAGCACTGCACGCCGCACGCCATCAACCAATCGCACGTGTGCACCATCGACGCAACGGTGAGAGCATGTCAGTTTAATTTACACCTTTTTTTTCTCGAACAAGTTTGGGAACAACAAAAAAACCCATGCACATATCTGGTTTCTGTATCACTTGTCAACATATTTTTCTTTGAAAGCATTTCATGAGCAGTATGCACAAGCCCATGAGCAACTTCCAAAGGCAAAACCAATTTTATGATTTGGAATTCGTAATTTTCTGCTCTGCTTTTTATCTCCAGGTTTTTGGAAGTCCTCCGATCAATTTGGCCCTCTTTCAATGGTGTGAATCAGATTATCTTTCATTGGATGATAATTTCCACAGATTTAATCCTCTCACGTTATTAGATGAACTAACGGACAGCGCTAATGTGGAAACCACTTCAACCTTGGTTGGAACTTGTAAAAATATTGGGCAAAAATGGCAACGTTTATAAGCAGAAGCCTTCACCTGCAGCGGCAATCCCTATGAGCACCGATGCAGTGTAGAACGACCACGCCATCGGCTTGATGAACGTGGCAATGTAGGCACTGCAAGCACAGACAGAGGACACGACACTCTTGAGTTGGTAGCCTAACTCCAGTCTGCGTTCATTTACACGTGCGGTATGGTGACGTCATGCGACACTTGAGGCAGGATTGGAGGACCGTTCTTAAATGGTCACAACCGTGCCTCTTTTGACATCTAGAAATCCCCTCCTGCATGTGTTACTATTTGTTTCGAGCCTGCATGCAGTTTTCTGTGCAATGGGGTTCCTAACCACTGACATAAAGTGTCACGGATTGCTTGACATTGCGTACAAATGTTGCTTTAGAATTTAACTTTCTCAGAACATACAGTATTTCCCAGGTAAAGATTAACTGGTGTTTTGTGAAAACAAGCATTCAGCCTGCATCTTCACGAGTAGCCTGCAAGTCACTCACGTGAGGGTATCAAGGTTCAAACACAAAGTCAAGGACTTGAGAGGTTTTTCTTGCAAACAAATGCATCACGTGACTCAACATACACTTTTGGTTAAAGTCACCGATGGCAATTTTTTTGTGGCTAGCACACTGTGCTATTAACTTGGTTTCCTGAGTTCAGTTTCTGACAAGTGATATCTGAACAGGTCCTGGTACCTACTTTCACCAACCCACACTGGCCTGTGCGAAGTACGATCAAACAATCCCCACAATCGAGACGGCACGGGGAGGCCCTCATCCAGAAGTGGATTGACAAATGCTGTAAATAGGGACCATACGGTCTGTGGTATTCTCTGCAGCTGGCCAGTGTCACCTGGATAATCGTTTGCAGTAACATGGCAAGTCTATTTCAATTATATATCAGCTGGTATGAGAATGGCAGTTAGCAGAAGCTGCCAGGTGAGTGCCCACGACCCAATTCCCGTGAACTCCTGACCTGTAGACGATGCCTCCCAGCACCATGGACCAGCGAGGCCCCAGCACGGCCACAACGGACGGGGCGAGGATGTTGGAAGCTGAGAACACGCCATATATGATGGCAAGGCTGCAAGGGAGAACACAAACCACAGAGTGTGTCAAAAGGATAAGCCAATAAAAAGAGCACGTTACAAGTCATGCGCAAGGGTTCAAGAGATTGATTAGCGAATGCGTGTAATTCCTAACCTTGGAAAGAGCAACGCCAGTCATCGCCTTAATTAGGTATTCGTGATTTACATCGAGACCAATCACTCTAATTGTGCTTGGGTTCAGAGAACTCACCTCGTGTAGCCACTCCCACTGAAGTTTGTGCTTAGGTTATTGATGACCGTTTGCTGCAAAAGAAGTCCACATCAGAGCCCGCATGAAACGCTGCACAGTAAAATCATCCATCATAAAACACGAATGCAGTTTAACACACCACCACCGTCATCATCAGCCATCATCAATGCACTGCTGGAATGAAGGCCTCCCCAAGCCATCACCATTTCCCATGGCCCTGTGATGTACCACTCAATCGAAGTAACTGCACACAAGTCGATTTCATTGCTCCATCTGTGCAGTGGAAGTCCTCTCGGGCATATTCCCTCCTCTGGCTGCTAACCCCCGCCGTTAGTCTCGACTATCAGTAGCTTTGCCACGACATACGCTGTGGCTATATCGACACGAGTAGTTACATGCGCCGTATACTTGCAGTGTGGTCCCCTGTACCCAGACCACCAGTGGTCCGCGACGGTCCTCCAAGTGGTAGGTGGGCTGCGTTCCAAATGCAGGTTGGTCCGAAAATAATGACGATGTTGTTTTGTTTCGGACATTAATATCTTAATTGTGTTTAATTTGAAAATGACGGTAAACTACTCTGATTAAACCACTTTAACCGTAAGATCTAAATGCCACCCGAAAAAAAACTTACAGCTGCATTAAAAACTATGTTTTTATGTAATATTAATAATTTTGTATGACTGGTAATTAGAGAGACAAGCGAATGCATTTTGTCACCAGGGGTGGAGGTTCTGGGTGGTCCGCGGAAATGTTTCCATCGGCTGAGTGGCTCCGCGAGCCAAAAAAGTTTGAGAAACACTGCCCTGTAGGATTCTAAACCAAGGTCGATCTGCCTTTACGTTTCATAAATGACAGCACAACGTGACCAAAGCCTTTTGACCGTTAATTCTGTCCCCATTTCCACCCTCTGCCACTTTTGACAGTTTTACGGAGCTCGGTATTGATTGACTCGCGTAACAATAAACGCTCACAATGATTCTTCCGCATCTGAAGTGCCCTTCGCTAACGCGACGCAAGGTTGTGTTGGCAGTAATGAGGTAAACAGATGCCCAGACTGCACACCACCCACACAGGATTGTGTACATACCCCGGTGTGTGCATCTGTGTGTGTTGCGTGCGTGTGTCTATCTTGCACAATTTCCTTAGCCCTGATATGGATACCGCCATCATGGCCACAACCTAACAGCACCGCTTTGCCCCAGGTTCAATGCCGTGACCTGGCACCCAGCCTCCTACACACACACAGCTTTTGTGAACACACACACAGCTTTTGTGAACACACACACATAACATCTAATTTGTACTCTTATAAGTGTCCAGCCCAAGCCCCCATCAGATAAATTACATCTTTCATTTGCATATGTTCTACATTCCACATGTTCCTCTTTCTGTCTAAATTTAACTCCATGCGTGTCACAGTGGTGAGATGTTAACTACCTCGCCTGATATACAGGAGGTCGTGGGTTCAATCGCGAACCTGACACCTGCACATTTGGAGTTTGCATGATCTCCCCGTGGTCGCGTGGATTTTTCTCCGGGTCGTCCTGTTTTTCCCTCCGCATTTAGAATAAACATCACGCGTTTAGAGTATTTGGCTGCTATACATACATTTCCACACGATAATAATCCACTTCGTTGAGTCATCATTTGTAGCCACGTCGCTTCTGAGAAAAAAGCTACATAGCTCCGTGGGTCTTAGCTGTTGAAATAAAAACAAGCTTTAGTTTCACCGGTTGTATCGATAGAGCTTCTGCTACATCTCTGCCTGTAATCACCCTCGGTCGTGAACGATTCCCGCTCACGGCCAACACCAGCGACGATTATCTGAACCGGTCCTGGGCCTCCCCTAGGTTGTCTCAGCCTCAAAATTCGTACCTTATGGGGTGTGTAAACATCGCCACTTGGGAGACAAAGGCGGCCCGGGCGCGTGATTCTAACCACCCCTCCCCCTCGTGTGCCACATCGCCGGCCTTCATAGTTGCTCGCTAACAGCGCTTGCCTCGACAGTCTGCCAAACCTTACACGGGGGGGGGGATCTTTTGTCTGTGTTTGTGTCATACTCTTTGGTTCTATTGGGTAAAGTCACGTAGGTAAAAAATAAAATAACAAAAATCACGACGTTTCGGCCACAACACAAGCGGCCTTCATCAGGTGAAGGGACGAGACTGTCTGGAGGACAGCGCTGGAGTGAAAAAAAAGCCACGCTCAGATCACCTTTAAGCGCTGTCCTCCAGACAGTCTCGTCCCTTCACCTGATGAAGGCCGCTTGTGTTGTGGCCGAAACGTCGTGATTTTTGTTATTTTATACCTACGTGACTTTACCCAATAGAACCAAAGAGTATGGATCCTTGCAGTCACGAAAGCTTTAAATCCAGAATTGTGTTTGTGTCACCCCGACTGCCCACCTCCACGTTGCCGCACGTCTGGAAGGCGGTGAACACGAACATGAAGGCGAAGCCCAGGATGAGGACATTGATCAGCTTCTTCTTGTCCTCCGTCATGACGCCTCGAGACCGCCTCAACAATGGCACGGCGGCGAACAAAGCCCCCCCCCCACCCCCCGAACGCAGTCGCTGTTCGCCGACGTTTAGTGCCGGGTGTGCAACAGCCGTCCGTCTCTTCTTCACTCTTCTCCCGGCGAGAGTTGACGCTGCAGCTTCCTCGTTAACGCTACGAGTGGCGTTTACCAACAAAATCGCATCCCGAGGGGCGACTGGTGATAAAAAAAAAGTAACGCAGTTCCGACACTGCTTAACGCAAGATACGCACGGTTTTTGTTTTAACTGCTGGCACGGTGGCGAGGTTAACGTAACGCGGTTGGCTCTGTTGGCACGGTAACGTAAATGTAACGTAAATGTAACGCTCTGGGTGAGTGTAACGCTGTTAAATGGAAGGCGGTGCGCGTGAGCGCAACGCGGTCAGTGTGAACGTAACGCCGTGAAAAGTAACGCGGTGGATGATTGTAAGTGTAACGCGGTGAAAGTAACGCGTTGAGGGCGAATGTAACCCTGTACAAGTAACGCGTTGAGGGTGAATGTAACGCTGTAAAAGTAACGCGGAGCGCTGCGGCTCGCCCGTCGTTTCCCAGCTCCCGCCTTTGTCCTCTCCTCACGGACCGCGCGAGGACCCCGGCACTACGCATGCGCGAAAGCGCCCCCCCGCCGCACGCGATTGGCCGAGAGCGCTGCCTCGCTCGCGCACGGAAAAACTCGCCTCGCGATTGGGCCAAGCCGAGTCACGTGCGCGAGTTGGGCCGTGCATAACAGCTTCTGTTTAAAACACGGGCACTCCCCACCCACCCCACTGCCGCGCGGCCACAACACTGGGCGTGGCCTCGCGAAAAACAGAGGCTTCTGTATCCGGATCAGCTGATTTTCCGAGTGTCAGCTGACTCGGGGACAGAAGCCGATGTTTTTTCCGAGTCAGCTGACTCGAGCGGGGATGGCTGTGCACCACAGCTTCTGTCGGCGTGGGCTGACGGAACGGTGTTGTTGTACCTGAACACAACGGCTTCTGCCTGCGCGGCTTTTGTCAGTCAGCGATAATATGGTCAGCTGAGCTTGCAATGTTATGGGTTTCACCCCGGGTCATGGAGCTCTGGGTGGCAAACCCCGAGAGGCCTGGCACATCAAGTCTCTCGGGTGGCGAGATGTTAACTACCTCGCCGGGTATGCAGGAGTGCGTGGCTTCGATCCAGACCCTGACGCCTGCTGTATATTCGGAGTTTGCATCTTCTCCCTGGTTTTCCCCTCCACATTTAGAATCAACGTTACGTTTAGAGTATTTGGCTGCTCACAATAAAGATTTTTTGGGTTAGATCGCGTTATTTATAAATGTGTCGTAACCCTCCACCACCCGACACGGCCAATCAGCAAAAAAAGTGTCACGTTGACAAAAGACAAATAGTTCACTACTTTATCCCACCGGTGTGTTGAAGAGTGAATCCACAACATTTACAGTTTGAATACGACGTTTCGCTGGTAATTACATCCAGCATCATCGGGCAATTCGCCAGAATGGTAAAGCCCTCGCTTGCTCCCGGTCTTAAATAGAGCAGCAGGGTGACGTCATCATTTAACTCATTCAGGTGCAGTAATTATATAATCGATTGGTAATCAAACAATGGTTATGATTAGTAATGAGTTGTAGATTAGTAATTAGTTGTAATGTGTGTTATTGTGATTATATGCTACGTTAGTAATCCGTTAATTAGTATGTGTTTCCTCTATAAGGAATTGTAATATGTATTATTTAATAATACGCTTCCAAGCCGCACTAAGCCTGTAGCTGTCAGAGCGATTAAAGTTATTTCTATTTCTCTCAATTTCAATGGATTCTCTAATTAGTTTTGGCCATTAATAATTAGTTTTACACAACACTTCAACGTTATCAAAATCAATTGAGTGTCCTTGTTGACAAGCATGTTCTGCCACTGTCGATAGTTGTGTTTGAGATAATTTAATATTTCTTTGGTGTTCTTTTAGTCTTATGCTGATGTTACGTCCCGTCTGTCCAATATAGCATCTGCCACATAAACAATTAATCCGATATACACCTACTGTTGATAATTTAGGTAATTAATCTTTAGTGCAATATACTAGTTTTTGAATTTTGTGTACTGTACCAATTCTTACTGTAATGTTTTGCTTTTGCAAAACACGGACTAATTTGTCAGTTACTCCTGAGATATATGGAATTTTAATTGTTTTAACAATCTGATCGCTTTCAGCAGTGTTGCTTTGCGATCATGATTTGGCATTCAGTGCTCTGTTAATTTGAGTATTATTGTAGCCATTCTGTCGTAATGCTTCTTTAACGTGTTGATCTCTCTCACTAGACTACCATCTGACACTGTTTTAGCCCGATGTATGAGCGTCTTGATAAGAGAGGATTTCTGAGCTGGATGATGATGCGAATCTGCATTCAGATAGGCATCTGTGTGCGTTTGCTTTCTGTAAACGCTGTGTGTTATTTTACCGTTTAGGCCATGTCCAAGCAAAATATCTAGGAACGGGAGTGTGTTATTCACCTCCATTTCCATGGTGAACTGGATGGCCGGGTTTTGTGCATTGAGATGATTTAGACAACCAAAGTGTCATCCACATATCTAAACCAAAAAGATGGTTTTAATGTGTTCAAGGCAAGTGCTCTTATTTCAGAGTTTTCCATGTACAGATTTGCTATAGCAGGAGATAAAGGAGAGCCCATTGCTGCTCCTTCCTTTTGTTTAAAGAAATCTCCTCTCCATAAGAAGTAAGTGTTATTTAAACAATGGCCAGCAAGCTTCAAATCGCTTTAAACTATTGTCATTGTAGTGCGTATTCAATGTGCCGCTGCACTCTGATGTTGTAGGAGAAAACATTTATTAAAAAGTATATTTAATTAAGTAGAATGCGTTGTCTATATTTGTTTAAAGTTGTGCATTTTGATGTGACGTCACATTTCTCAAACCCCCCCCCCCCCTCGTCACACATCGTCACAAATGTCTGACCCCCCCCCAGGTGCGTGACGTCATTTATGGACGGCCCTTAATTTGCCTACCTGCCCATGAGCTCGCGTATCCAATAACTCACCTCTCTACCTGTCCACTGGCTCACCTTGAGGTGGAATTGCAGGTCATATTAAGACTATCAAGCGTTTCCTGATAAAAGACCCATCTTGATTTAAAGCTTTCGTGACTGCAGGGATTCATATTCTTGGTTCTTTCGGTAAAGTCACGTAGAAGGGAAACAATAAAATAAAAAATAAAAAAAATATATAAAACAATAAAATTATCACGATGTTTCGACTGCAACACAAGCAATCATCATCAGGTGTGAAAACCACAGCAAGAAAATTGTTTTATATATTTTTTTATTGTTTCCCTTCTACGTGACTTTACTGAAAGAACCAAGAATATAAAAAGACCCATCGTCTAGAGCAGCCTAAGCTGGGTGGTTAACCTCACACCTTACATTTAGACGGCGATTTTGTAACTGCACTCCGTGCGGGTCATAGAGATCGTTTGACCATACTTCGTCACGTTGGTCAGATCCCAGTAAACATGCAAAGTTGACCCAAAGTTTTCATGTTGTTGGACCAACATTGGTCCAACGTTCCATTATTTCTGGAATGCGGGTTGGTGAATGTGCGGATCATAGCCTTTGGAGCACGGTTCATTACAATGTATCTTGCTTCATTGTCCTCTGCTGACGATGTAGACCGGCAGCAGCCGATAGCACCTGTCATGAATGGTGATCACCCATCCACGCGCAATCCAGGCTCAACCCCGCTTAGCTTCCGAGATCTGACGAGATCGGGCGCGCTCCGCCATGATTGCGTTCATCGGCGTGAACCCTCAAAGCAATTCGCGTGAACGCCCGGGACTGCGGGAAAGAGCGTGGTCGGCGGCGTGGTCGGCGGCGTGGTCGGCGGCGTGGTCGGCGGCGTGGTCGGCGGCGTGGTCGGCGGCGTGGTCGGCGGCGTGGGCACGACCCGATGGGGAAGCGGCCACAGCCCCGAGCTTACGACCCCGAGGCTAAGCCGTGACACGGCGCCTAATCCCACACGGGCTCCTTAATGCGACAAGCGGTGGGGGGGGGGTCATCCAGACTCTTCCAGGAGACCCCGCGAGAAGCCTGCAACGAGGCTCCTGCCGCCTCCCGATCTCGATGAAGGCAAACTGAACGCAGGGTCACCGCTTTCGGTCAGTTGAGCCGGTGGAGTTTGGCGGACAGCTACCACCGACGTCCCTGGATCAATCGAAGGAATCAATCGATCAACTAACCCCACGCTCTAGGTGAGAAGTTGATCCGCGCGGAGTTGATGCGATCCATGGGGAGACGTCCCCTCAACATCCCTGTCTAGAGGAGGCACACGCAGGTCGAAGGATTGGATGTGAGTAGGTGGTGGCGGAGGGGCGCGCGCTGCGAGTGCCGAGAGCCCGGTACCATGCCGGCCTGGGTGAGCGGTCTCCGGCTGTGGGCGAGTGAGGTGGAGTCGGGGTGAGGGGGTCGGGTGAGTGGTGGTGGTGTCCATCCTGAAGGTGTGCGCAGCTGCCGTTGCGCAGTCTCCTGGTCATGAGGCTGCGTGAAGACGCCGCGCATTTCCACGCATCGAGACGCCCTGCCGCGGCCCTGAGTGGAAGCAATTCCAGTGAAGGATAAGAATTCGTGGATATAAAAAAAGAGACGAGTGATTGATTATTTCACTCCCATGGCTAGGGAAGAATACGCATCGGGCTGACGGCATGGTCTCCTAAAGAGGATTTCATGAACATTAGTGAGCGGATTACCCTGTCCCTTTCCGCGAGAGGGCCATTGCGCATCGGATTGTTTTTTTTTTAAAGCAAAAATCGTCTCTTCCACAGAGAGTTTTGTTGTTGTTTGAGTTTGGTTTTCATCGCGCGCTAAGCCGTTAGAAACGGACCCCCTAGCGGGAGACGCCGCCGGGCCTCGCCGCGTGCTGCCCGCGTCCCGCAGATCTGGATCGCCCGATCTCGCGTGGCCGCCTGGAGCCGGGGACTCCAGCCTCCATGGAGCCGGAGCACAGAGAACCGGGATATGGGGGCTCGGAGCCCACGGGGTCCCAGGAAGATCCGTCCCTCCACCTGCAGCGCAGCTCGAGCGATGGGTCCGATCTGCTCCTGATGGACACACAGGATCTGGACGAGAGCAACCTTTGCTTCGACGAAGCCGTCTTTTACGAGGACCCTCCGCCGTGCATCCGCCTGGAGCACCCCTACTCGTCTCTGCCCTCGCTGCCCCAGGCACAGGGCTTAGAGCAGGGTGTCCCCCTGGGCTCCACCTGGTCCCAGCTGCCCTGCTCCCCGACTCCTCTCCATGGCTCCATGCGCTTCCCCGAGCTGGGCTTGCGCGATGACAGGGCGCGCCCCGTCTCCCCGCCGTGCACGTTGCCGCTCGGCTCCCTCAGTCGGTTTCCGGCGGCCGAGTCGAGTCTCGTCGATGGCGAGCTCCCCAGCGGGAGGTGTCCGGGCAAGGTGAGGAAGGCCGCCGCCACCACGGCTCTGGGGTCGCCGGTGCGCCAAAATGCGGGAGACGCGCCCCGGGGCTCGTCGTACCTGCGTGTTCCCGAGGAGGTGGAGATGCGCGTGGAGGGCGCGCGGCGCCGCCTCTCAGTGGCGCTCAGCAAATTCGTGGCTGGGGAGGAGAGCGGGCGCGGCGCGAGGAAGCTGTCCGTCAGCCTCACGGAGCTCACGAAGATCATGAGCGGCAACAACAGTGACGAAGGGGAGAGTGAAGTGGAGGAGGCGATGGTGGAGGTGATGGGCGGCGGCGGTGGTGGCGCGGTGAGGAATCGCGCCACGGAGGACGCGGCCAAGAGCGACTCTCTCGACTGGATCTTCAAGGCGTCCACGGGGAGGAGAGACATGAGACAGGGTCTCCATCTGGAGCTTCAGGACCTCCCAGGAGGAGGACCTCTCCTAAAAAAGTCCTCGACCTTCGAGCACGAACGCGCCCTGCAGCGCGGACCCTTCACACCGCCACCTCGTCATCATCATCATCATCCACGCGGGGTCGACACTGACCCCGGGCCCTCCGAAAAGGAGGAAGAGGACCCCACCACCACCCCAGGCCCCGGGACCAAGCGTGGAGACCGAGTCCCCTTGGAGACCCTGTGCCTCCTGTCCCTGCTGGCCTACACGTGGCTCATCTTCCCTCTTCCCCCACTCCCTTCGGGTCTCCTCCTTGGGGCTGCCTGGGGCTTCGCAGCAGCGATGGGCTCCATGTGGCTCCAAGCAGGGACAGCGGGGGGCCCCAGGGCTCCTGGTAGAGCCTCCATCCGCATGGGGCACGGGCTTCGAGGACGGGGGAATCTAAAGACCCCGGCAGGACCTTCCGTGCACCAGGTGCGTCACCCAGCAGCATTGGCCCCTTGGCTGGTTTAGAGGGTCATGGGTAGAATGTGTGGGCCACATGAAATGAGGCCAACCATGTAGACGGTTAACCAGAGGTACCACTGTGGCCTCGCTCAACAGAACACTACATGGGCCCACCAGGCGTCCAGGTATAGCTGTAGAAACCGTGATGTTTGGGTCTCAAGGTCTTGGATCTCAACCCCTTCATTGATGCCTCTTCAATTCTGGAATATCACAGGTGCCAGTGTCCTCTCTTGGGCAATATCTATTAAGTACTGGGGTCCACTCAGTACGTCGAGTACCAGCGTCTCCTCATGATAGGCATCTCTGTCAGTACCATTCTGGTAATTCTTAGGTACGAGTGCTTCTTCATGAACGCGTAACTCATGTTAATAATTAGCGTCGTTATGGAGAATATAAACAACTAATAAATCAGCAGGCAATTAATATTCACATATCTGTCTCTCCACAACCCAGCAGCCGCAACGCCTTCTGGGAGTGTATAATTGCAGCAGCATTGATTCAGAACAAGTAAAACTCTGGTGTCTCATCAGCAGCAGAGTCAGGCTGGCTTGAAGCATTGCTGGTGAACTGACAATCTTACAGGCAAGGACCAGCGTTGATTCAAGCCAAGCCTGACTCTGCTGATGATGAGACACTGTGTGTCGAAACCGGCCCAGAGTTTTTTTGCTCATCTTGAATCGATGCTGCTGAAATTATGCACTCCCAGAAGGTCGTGGCGGCTGACGGGATGTGTAAAAGAAACTTGTGTTATTGTATGTGGACAGACGGATATGTGAAGGAGACGTTGCTTATTTATGTTGTCCTTCATCAATCGTATTTCTTTAAGTGCAGCTGTTGCCTGTACATACATATTTATACTCTAGATTGAAAACTAATTTCTATATAACTGCTTTTCGTGTTTAGTTTATTGTCCTTCCCCGCACCTCGGATTAGCACGCTTGGCTACTTGCGGTGCGAAATAAGTTCAACATACACACACGCATGCCTCCGTACAGGTCCCCCCTCCGAGTACCAGTACTATTGTCCCCATCAGTACCGGCATGTCCTGAGTGCCGGTACCTGGCGAGTGCCACTGCACTCTTCGCGGGTTGGCAGTGACCCGGGGTGGCAGGCGTGACACACAAAACCTACAGCCTTCACTCAGACGGGATAAGCCTTGCCTAGGATTAACACGATCCCATTACGGATGCTACGCTTACAAAGCGTTGACCTTGTGGAGCCCACGGTGGGAGGTCAAATCTGCCTACACGTGTGAGTGGATGCCATGATGCTGATGATCATGGTGGTGATGGTGAGGATGATTGGCAAGAATAATTATGGAATATTTACGCTATAGTGGATGGTTTGATGGTTACAGTGATGATGATGATGTTGAAAATCATGCCGTTATATATTGGCAAGGATGATGGTATAAATTATGGTAAAGCAGATGGTCATGGTAAGAATGGTGCAAGTAAGTATTGTAATGATGGTAAGAACAATAATGATGTGGTTATTGGTATGAATGTTGATGATAATGATGGTGGTAAGATTTATGATATAGGCTATGGTAAGAAAAAATATATAGTAGATGACACGATGGTGATCACAGTGATGAAGACGGTGGTAATATTGATGGTGATGGGAAGAATGTTGATAAAATTGATACTGTGATGATGGTCATAAGGATGGTCACGATGATGGATTTTTTTTAAAATAAAGTCAGTGACGATGACAAAGTTGATGGAAGAATGATATGCTGATGGCCATGACGATGATGGTAAGAATGTCGATACAGCCATGGTGATGACGATCCCACGTGCGCGGTGCCAGGGCTGGATGAACGAGGTGGACGCTTACGACCCGGAGACGTTCCACAGCTCGGCGCTGCGCGGGGTGCGCGTGGAGCTGCGCGGAGCCACACTGTCCCTGTCGCGCACCGCGCCTGGCACCAAGGACCCAGAGCCCTGTGGCTCCGGTGGCTCGAGCAGCAGAACGAGGATGCTCGACATCGCCGGGTGTACAGTGCGTTACGTTCGTAAATATTGCCGCCTCGTACGCTCGACAGTGGCGTCATCTGGGTTGGCGTGGGGTCCCCTCTGGTGCAAGCAATGAAATGGGGCCCCCTGTGCGCTGACCCTTCGCTTCGTGGCCCAGTGGCTGCGCCATCTGCACACTGGAGAGCTTACGCCTCTGAGGTTGATTGCAATTCGCCACTCTACGGGACGTCTGCCAAAAAACGTTACCGAGCTGCAGCGTGTACGTAATTATTTGGCACGTGTCGAGCCGGGTACTGCACGATCCGGCCGTGCCCGTTCGGTGCTCGCTCAGCTGCGTTGGCTTCTGGTCGCCGAACGAATTCGTTATAAGGTCGCACTCATTAACACACAAAGTGCTTTCCACAAATGAACCACAATACCTTGCCGATCTCATCAAGGAGCATACACCATCACGCGAACTCCGGTCATCCTCACTTCTGCAGCCGTCTGGAACGCTCTTCCTTCCGATATTAGGAAGCCACTGCAGCTATGCACTTTAAAATCTAGATTGAAAACTTCTTTCTTGAGAACTGCTTTTTTGTGTTTAGTTTGCTGTCCTTCCCCCCCCCCCACACCTCGGATTAGCACGGTTGGCTCCGTAAGGTGCGAAAGAAGTTCAACGCACATATGTAGAGAGCGCACGCCGCAGGTGTGGTTTTGAACGGAAACGTGATTGCGTTGTGTTTCCTTTTCTTCCGAGCAGCGATTATTTCGGATGCTCGTTTCTCCGCAGCTGTCGTTGGCGCCCGCCCGCCTGGCTGAGAAACGAACGTGGAGCAAGAAGTACCCCATCGTGCTGGCGCTGAGAGGTGCAGCGAGCGCCGGCGCTGAGGGCGTGCGGAGCGGCGCGGCACGGGTCGCGGGGTCGGAGGGAGGCGCGGCACTCTTTCTGTTTGGACGTACCGGGCGCGAGAAGGAGGAGTGGTTCCAGAGGTTCCTCCACGCGTCACAAGGAGCGGATGGGGACCACGCGGAGTCACACGGTCAGAAGAGCTTCGGCCTCTAAATTCCTTAGGGTGGGGGGGGAACAAATAGTTATCTTAGGTGTCACTTCTGCAGAGAGGAGCAAAGAGCACGGTTGGCTACCTATTAGCACGGTTGGCTACGAAGTTCAACATACATACAAAGTGATTGGGAGATCACGGGGTTGACCATTTCATGCTGCATTCGGAGAAGAAAATCAAGTTAACATTTTCGCCCGTTGGCAGTGATCACCGCAAATTGAAATCCTTCCCCGTCCCCGCCGCTTACAATGGTGTTATCAAAGTGGGTCGGCAATGCGTGGTGCACTTTACCACAGATTAGATGATGAGATAATGAGATGATGGGATGAGACGACATAAGGTCGCTCGTTATCCTTTGCTGTAGTATGGAATTATATTCTCCCAGCCTCCCTGCCCCTGTTCAAGTCCAGGATCCCCAGTAAACATGCTAACGTTGGGGCAACGTTGGGACGTGGTTGGAACCGTTGGACCAATGTTGACCCAACGTTGGTCCAACGTTTACTGGGTCGAGACCTCCCTGTTTTCCTGTGCTAATGACATAATATGCATCTTTTCATTGTATTCTCTTTGCGACCAATATTATCCACAATAAAGGTTTAGATCTATCCAGCCGACCGGCGTGCTGAAGTAGTAACAAATCGTTCACGTTTTGTTTACGTAACAAACCTTGCTAATTGGCTGTGTTGGGTGGTGGCGGGTTTAACGACACATTTGCACTCATGCGATCTAACCCCCCCCCCCCCAAAACCCCCCTTTATTATGAGTATACATACAGTAACTGTATTGTATGTAAGACTGACAATTATACACGGGTGTAAATAATGACGTGGCAGTGGCGTTGGCAGGGCCTTGTTGGAGCAACGACCACGGGAAAGACGCCGCTGGGCCACGGGCCCCGCTCAGCTACGAGCGATACATGAAGAGCTTCATCCACGTGGACGGCCCCAGTCTCCCCCACGGAGCGTGCGGCAGCCCGGCCTGCGCGAGCCAGGTGCGATCACACGCGTCATCGTCACCGTCATACCTGTTAAAATATAGTAAAATAAAAGTTTAGTTTAGCATAACGCGAGCTTTGCTCCCGGTCGCCTTGTTCATCTTTACCTGCTGTCGTTCCCGCCCCCCCCCCCCACCACCACCAGGTGGGCGGCGAGGTGGCATGTATCAACGCACTCATCGGGAGGGTCCTGTGGGATGCGCTGACCAGCGAGCAATGGGCACAGCTCATCTCCTCCAAGATCCAGCAGAAACTCGGCAAAATCCGGGTGCGGAGAGAGCAGCTACACCCCCCAACCACCACGTGGTGGCACGTGTTGCCCAAGGCTTACGATGAAAATGCAACAATAAGAGAGAGAAAGGGGGGCTTTGCTCAACTGCCACTGCTGGGATTGGGAACCAAATGATATCTAAACCATTTCTGGTTCCACCTTCACTAACCTGCATTAACTAGAATGGTGAAGTATGGTTAAACAACCCCACCCCCTCCCCATGACCCTCATGGCATGGGCAGGCCTTCAATGGCTTCTTGGGTAACTGAGCTGAGACCACCAACTCATTACACTGGAGAACGCGGTTTAATCGCTAGCAGCCTAAACTTGGACTCAAACCTAGGCTTTCAGGGTTGCCAGCTCAGCGCTTTGACCTGTGAAACTCGTGGCCACCTCGTCACGCACGAGGTCACAAACCCTGTGAAGAGCGAAGGACTCTGCGCCGAGGCACAGATAGTTCAATGCTAATGTGCCATCCTATTAGGGGACTACTGCTGTGTGGTGCTATCTTGGTGTGGTCTGGGACTGTTTCGTTGTTCGTTTTGCTGTCTTGCCCAAGCTTGATAAGTTGGACTTATTGAATAAATGTATTTGTTATATATTAATATTTAGTGACTCCTATCGTGTGTTTTTGTATTGTTTTCCTGTTGTAACTCGCTGACCCACCCCGTGCTGGATATCTGTAAAAAAAGAGCTTCATAGCTCACCGGATTCCTCCTGCAGTTGAAATGAAGATTGTGATTCTGGACGTGCGTGCGTCTGCAGCTGCCGCCGCTTCTGGACGCGCTGGAGCTCACGGAGCTGGACATGGGCAAGGACGCGCTGCGGATCCTGCGCGCCTTCCCGCCCACACTCGACGCGCAAGGTGGCAACAGCGGCAACAGCAGCAACAACACCAGCTGGTGGCTACGTATGCCTGTAGTCCAGCACTGTGGAGGCAGTGAGGGCCGGTGGATCGCTCCCTTGCCTTCCCATGGAAGGGAGCGAACTCCCATCACAATGGACGTCAGCGTGCCATACCCTGGCTTTCCAGGAGAATGGGGTACAGCAAATGTGCAACTCCACCGCGTTCATCTGCAAGGGATACAGTGTTGCCCCCTTGCACATGTGGGTTTTATTTTGGTGATCCGGTTTTCTCTCACGTGCAAACGCTCATATATTTCCCAATAACACCTTAATATATAGAGAATCGCAGAGCTTTGCGGTGGGAGTTTGGTGCTAGTTCACCGCGTGGCTGCTGCCTCCCCCAGTACCTCGTGCCTCCAAGTCGTTCTCTCTCTCCACGAGTGAGCGAACGCTCTGCGGCACGTGACCGGTCGAAATTATTATCATGGTGAACAGCCACGATCAGAGCCTCATTTCTCACTGAATATGCCTTGGTTTGCTGGCAGCACACTGGAGTGCGTGCGGCACGCGACTGGTATCCCACAGCCGTAGCGAGCGGCCCGCGTCGGATGTGCGACGCCCCAACCCTCTCCTCCAAAAAGGCACACGGCTGTGCCCTATTTTTCTTTCTCCGTCGCCCAGGACTGTGGGTGGAGCTGGACGTGAGCTACAGTGGCTCCTTCGAGATGACTCTGGAGACAAAGCTGAACTTGTCGAAGCTCGGCAAGGAGGAGGCCGAGGGCGGGAGAGCAGCGCAGGATTTGGGTCGCCGGTACGTCGCCACTATGAGCACCATTGTCCTCCTGCCCCTCGGTCGTGTGACGTGTGACGCGCGTCGTCCACGTGCTGCGTGTGGCCGGGTGTTTGTCTGCTGGCGAGCTGCGGCATAGGGGCGAGGGCACTGCACTGCGAAGCCGACCACCGCCAGAAGTGGTCCCGAGGGCTCCCCCAGGTCGACTCAGCCTTAAATGGGCACCTGGTGCGGTGTGTACGCATCAGCGGCGGGGGCGGACGGCTGCGTGCTGGCCATGGTTGTGGCCACACCATCCCCTCGTGTGCCGTGCTGGCCCTCGTAGGAGCTGACGGACAGCAAGATGGTCATAAGGGGGATACTTTGCGTGTGCTGAGTACACTGCACGTGTGCGTGTGTACTGTTTGCGTGTGTGATTTGTGTTTGCTGTTCGCAGCCTGGGTGTTTGCATGCATGCACGGATGGCTACGTGCGGTGCGAAAGAGGTGGTACATTTGTGTGTGTGTTGTCCTGTGTGCGCGCACGTTCAGCACACGTGCCTCTGCGCTTCGATCGCTGCGCACGGTGTCCTCCCCACCCGTGTCATCCCGCACGATCCGATCGCGCCCTTTCGTGCAGCCGCAGGTCGCGCGTGAAGACCATCGAGGACAGCGAGGACGAGTCGTCGGCCGAGAGCTCCCTGGACGGCGATGACGGCGGCGGCGGCGGCGACGGGACGGAGGCCGTGCCCGGTGGCCAGGCCGAGAGGCGAGAAGCCACACAGATAAAGATTCGCGCCGCGTGCACTCGGCACCGCGGCGGCGCGGCGCCTCTTCTGGCGAACGCTTCAGGGGGAGCGCAGACGCCTGCCGAGTCGGGATGACTCGAATTAAACGCTGTGTTTTTTTTTACTGCCTCGGCAGTGCCCCCCCCCCCCCCTCCCAAAACAATGATTTAAGCTCAACACAATTGTTGATGACTTTTTAGTTTTGTTACCAGGTAAGGCCCGCTGAGCTCTGTAGCTTTTTTTCATTAGCGACCTGACCACAAATGGTAGCTCAACGAAGTGGCTTAAACGCGTGGAAACGTACAGCAGACAAATACTCTAAACGCGTGACGTTGATCCTAAATGTGGAGGGAAAAACTGTAGGACCCGGAGAAAAATCCACGCGACCACGGGGAGAGAGAGGGAGGGACAGGATACATCACAGCTGAGAAGCTAAATTTGAATCCTCGTAGTCAATCGCGATTAATCCATTAAGTGTAGCAAGGCGGTGGTCTCAGCTGGTGACTAATGACTGCACGCAATATATGTGTCTCATCAAGTTTTTTTTACTTAATTTGGTTAAATTCCAGCTCTGAATATCTAAAAAATATTGCCAGCGCTGTGACACTGTCCCTCGACTGGCATTGTGATCGGGATCCACTCTGATAGCAGGGCATGGTGGAAAGTGCACCCTCTAGTGTTTGGATAGAAGAAGTCTAAACTTAAAGAAAATGTTTCTTTTATTTTACCAGATAAGACCCACTGAGCTATATAGCTATGTTTCAGAAGTGACCTGGCCACAAATGATAGCTCAACGAAGTGCTTCATCATCATGTGGAAATTTATAGCAGCCAAATACTCCGAACGCCATGTTTCCAAATGTGGAGGGAAAAACCGGAGTGCCCGGAGAAAAATCCATGCGACCACAGGGAGAACATGCAAACTCCAAATATAGAGGCGTCAGGGTAGGGATCGAACCCACGACCTCCTGTATACCAGGCGAGGGAGTTAACATCTCCTAGCTACCGCGGCGCCCAGGTCGCTTAGAGAGATCTCTGGCTGTTCTCTCTTTTTATTTTATTTTGTATTGGGAATCAGCACGAGCCCAGTGCAAAAACGCCGTCCGGCACGCCAAGGCTCACCGAAGGGGGACATTGGGGCTCTGTGCCCCACCCAGGTGGGGACCTCGTGCGAGAACAAGAAAGCTTATTTGGGGAGGGAAGAATGGGAGGAAAGATAACTCACCTAACCTAATGGGGTAAAGGGGGGCTGGGAAAGAGAGGGGGGGAAGGAGGTGGCGGTGGGGGGGGTCCTCTGGCTGTTCTCGTAACACGCAGCGCGCACACTGCTCTGCAACATTTCCGAATGGATTCATCTCTTGGCTTCACGCTCGCAGGATAATGGGACTAACATTGGGTGGGAGGGGGGCGGTGACGGAGTAGGAAACGTGTACTTATGAGCAGTGCATGTTCTCGCCGCCGCTGACCAAACTCCGCGCACTCCGCCGCGACCGGCGCTGCCTCTGTGGGTCGAGTGACGCTGACGCAGCCTCCGCGGTTTCCATCGTCGGTACCGCTTCCCCTTCCCACAGCGCGGACGCGGCGGCGGCGGCGGCGGTGGGTACGGCTCGCCGGAGCAGCCCCGGCCTGCTCGGTCTCCTGGGGCGGCTGGCCCGCTCCGACTGCCTGCGGCGCGCGGCCGAGAACCCGCTGGTGCGTCGCACGGTGGCCGGCGTCTCCAACACGCCGCTGGCGCTCACCGTGGCCGTGCACCGCTGCTGGGGCACGCTGGCGCTCAACGTCCCGCCGCCGCCTTCCGACAGAATCTGGTCGGCACACCGCGCGCCTGCCTGCGCACACGTCGTTGGCAAACACGTGGCTCGCACGTCTATCCCGGTGAACGTGCGACGTTGGGACAACCAACGTTGGCCCGACGTTTGCATGTTTACGGGGGATACCCGCCGCCTTCACTAACCCGTACTGACCAGCGTGGTGAAGCAGGGTCATATGACCACTTTGCACGTCGTGGGGAGCACCCCCCCCCCACTCCAGCAGTGCACAGCTGCGTCGTGTCTCTGTGAGCGTGCGCTGCGGCTGTCAGCCATCTCAGTCAGTCAACCCATGGCACCTGGGTCTGTCCCGTGACCTCCCGCCAGCGAGCCTTCGACAGTTCACGTAGCCTCAAAGTGCACATCTAGCCTGGCACAACTCAATGAAACTATAAACTATTTTATTTTTACCAGGTAAGGCCCACTGAGCTATGCAGCTCTTTTTGCAGGAGCGAACCTGGCCACAAATAAGAGCTGAACGAAGTGGCTCATCAATGCGGCAATGTATAGCAACCAAATACTCTCAACGCGTGTTTCTAAATGTCGAGGGAAAACCCGGAGGGCCCGTGATAAAAATCAACGCGACCACGCGGGTAGAGACACGCAAACTACAAACATACAGCAGGCGCCGGGGTCGGGATTGAACCGACATCCTCCTGTATAGCAGGGGAGGTAGTTAACGTCTAGCCCCCTCCCCTCCCCTTACCCATCTCGCCACACCGCGGCACAAGCGCTGTGGTGAGGTCGCCGCCACTCAGTGGCGAACTGCGGCAGCTGATGGCAATCGCGGCTGTCGAATGATCGACTCTGCGTGCGCCGTGGGCAGGTACGGGTTCCGCGAGCCTCCCCACCTGGGGCTCAGAGTTCATCCCAAACTGGGGGAGCGGCACGTGACGCTGGCTCACATCACGGACTGGATCGAGAAAAAGCTGGAAGTGGAGTTTGAGGTACCGTGTGGAATCCGGCGGCGATTTTTGGGGGAGGTGGGGGGTGGGAGCAGGGGGCCTGGAGATGAGCGCCACGTAAGTGGGGCTACGCGGTGAGCAGTAGCGGAATCCGTTGTTGTACTGTACTTCTATGCTCCCCGCATCTACTAACCCGCACCAAAAGGTGTGGTGTAGTATGGTCACATAACCCTCATGACCTGTAAGAGATGGGGTGGCCCTCATCCATTAGTAGACTGAAAAAAGGATTGTGAATATACAAGGACATCATATTGAAATCTAAAATTGAATTATTCACATTATCTCTTGCGTGTTCATTTTAACCATGTTTTTGTGTTTTTGTTTTTCAGAACAATTTTGTAATTCCCAACATGGATGACCTTCAAATTCCCATGATGCACCCTGCTACAGATGCGCTGCACTCGCTGGAGTCGTCTTCACTTCCCAGGCCGCCCTGGGGGACCCCGTCAGAATTCCCATAAACCCCCGTGGAGCTTCCCGTGAACTCCTCTCACACAACAACAACAATGCTTACGCAAGGGTAGCCGCCTCCTAGGTACAAAAAAACCGGGACATTACGGAAAGAAGAAGATGATCTCACAATGCCGGACGAAGGGAGAACTACATGTTAAAACGTCGTCTCGAGTCGTGGATTATTTATACAACTGACAAAAATTGGGACCTTTAATGTCCAGGAAAAATTGGCAGATTTTCAGATTTCTCAGGACGGCTCGTGTAAAAAGAAGACGACGATCCTGGGTCAACCAAGACGGGTGGCAGCCGAGGCTCCCGTAGTACTCAAGACCACGTTGCATTGTGATGCCTCCTCCTCCTCCTCTAATGGACTGCTTCCTGGGCCTGAGCGGTGGCACTGAGGCATCAGCTGCCACTGGACACTTCCTTTTCAGTGCAATGTGCATCCATCCTGCCCAGGAGAGGGGGGGGGGGTCGTTTTGATGACTGCAGGACGGCATGCGCGGGTTTATTCTTTTTATATTTACAAGCCGCTGTGCGCTGGCCGTAAGAGTCGACGGAGAGCCTCGGGTTGCTGGGATGGGAAAGTGCGTGGATGGAAGCAGAGTGCGGCGAGAGGGCGAGAGGTAGGCAGGGGCTGAGTCCGCGAAGTATCTTGGAGACGCCGAGTGAGACCTCAAACAGAGAGAGCTCTTTGCGGCTCATTTCCCAAACAACAAAAAAACCCGTGCTACCTCCGAGAGAGACCGTGGGCTGTATCAGCCTCCGAGAAGGCCGCGGACGAACAAGAAGCAGGGAGACTCATCGGACAAGGGGGGTTGGAGAGGCGGGTGGGAGGGTGCGGAAATTCCCGGCCCTCTCCCGTTAAAGACTCACGCGCTAAACATAGCCGTTGGGTTGACGGCAGACGTTTATTTAGTTCCCAGGAGCGGGTTTACATGGCCTGATCGCAGACCAAGTTCACAGTTTAGATTCGGCCGCGCTCTCTTCTTGCTTGATCAGGTCCTTTTTCAGCGGGCCCTAATAAAATGACAAAACGAAGAATATTGTTATTTCATTGTTTTCTTGCTGACAGTCAAATTATGTCGTACACAGGCATGGGCGGGGGGGGGGGCACACCCAAAAACCCAAGTCTTATTTTGCCACCTTAATGCTAGGAGGCACTCTCACTTGTGTAACAGGTGCAGTTACGTTCATGATAATTCGTGGACATAATTGCGTTTCCACCTGGGAACAATGTGCAGGGGGGCGCATTTCTCCTGCCAGCCCCACATTGGCATGCAACTATGAATGCGTTATGATCAATATTTATGCTTTTGGGTTAAGGCCTCCACCACCCGTCAAAGGGTTAAGCCCTGCACGCGTGTCTGAGGCCCTCCCGTGTGCCTCACCATGAAGGCCTTCTTCTCCTCGGCCGTCTGGAATCTGCCGTAGCCGAACTTGGAGGTAGTGTCGATGAATTTGAGGTCGATCTTCTCCATGGCGCGACGATGCGTCGGGTGGAGCAGCGACTGCAGCGGTGGAAAAAAATCAACACAGGACGATCGAAATTGACAATGAGATCCTACGGATATGTCGCTGCACGGTGCATTGGTAACCTTTACCCCGCAGCTGCACGTGTTTCTCTTCACGATGGTGTCCATATTCACGAAGGAAAATAACGAGCAGCACATGCGATGTGCCGTGCAGGGTTGCCGTCCATGCAGCATTACCATGGACGAGTAAAACATTTCAGACGGGTCTCCTCCAAAGTTGAAAGCGTTAATGCGTTGTCAGCGTGTACATCTGTCTACAACAGGGGTCCATGATGACGCTCCAAGTGGCGATCGATTTATGCACAAAGCTTGAGTAAAAAAGTTGCGTCGCTAGACCGGCCCAATTCATCCACGGGTTATTGCCCCAAAACGTGGCGATTCAAAAGCAGTGCTTTAGGATAATCCTTGTGGGCCAATGAGATGGCATCACCTCCCGTCACGCGTCGTGTGACGTCATCTCAGGTAGCTCAGACGCTATCCTTGTTATTGCTAACAATACTGTATTGTTTAGTTTTAAATACAGCGTTGTCGTCATTCATGCGAATCGCATCTCACAGTCGCTGAGGAACCACAGACGATCGGGAAGACAGCAGCCAGGCGGTGAGCCGGCACAAACAATTGCCCAAGCTCAGCAGTCCTCGATATATTAAGATCTTTTTCAGTCAATTTATGATCATTTATAGACGCCGGAGGAAACCAGAGCAAACAGAGAACCCCCCACGGCAGGTAATTAGCCAGTAAACATTGAGCCGACGTGTATCAGCGTTGGGCCGACGTTGGCATGTGGTTGCTACCGTTGGTCCAACGTTGAGCCAACAACGTTGGACCAACGATTACAACTGCACGCCAACGTTGACCCAACGTTGCCATGATTACTGGGCAAATAGATTCGAGGGGAAGAAAAAAAAACCCCACTTCGGAAAATGTTGCAGAATCCATTAACGCGTCTGGTCTCTCATCCTCGTTTAAATATTCGAACAGCTTGCGCTCGATTTGACGCCGCCGTTGTCAAGAGCGCTCGACGACACCGAGCGAGGACCGTGAGGTTGCCGCCCTGGGCGGTCGCGGCGCCGCGTACCTTGCGGAGCGTGAGGACGCGCTTCTTGGTGCCGACCACGCATCCCTTCACCATCACGAAGTCGTTCTTCACCTCCCCGTAGTGCGGGAAGCCCCCCTGCACGGCGGTCACGGACACCAGAGTCGCGCGATGGCATCGGGCAGCACCAAGGCGACCAACCATCGCACGTGTGATAATGAGAAAAAGTCTTCTTTTTGGGTATGCTCCCTGTGCCATAAAACTATTACCAAATCAAATAGTTTTTTATTTTACTAAGTAAGGCCTACTGACCTATGTGGCTCTTTGTCAGAAGCGACCTGGCGATCACAAATCGTAGCTCAATGAAGTGGCTTATCACGTGCAAATTTACAGCGGGCAAATACTCTAAATGTGGAGGGGAAAATCGGAGTGCCCGGACAAAAATCCACGTGACCACAGGGAGAGAGATACGCAAACTCCAAATATGCAGCAGGCGTCAGGGTCAGAATTGAACCCACGACCTCCTGTATACCAGGCGAGGCAATTAACATCTTGCCACCGTGTCTTCTACATGCACACGTGCAGCCCTTACATCAATCTGCTGCTGGATAAGCGACTCCGCACATCATACGGGTCGTGCGAGTTGCCTGCATATAATTCATGCACGCTGGGCGGTGTGGGTTGGTGAAAGCAGGGTGCGGAGACGAGCAAGTGTAATACAGTACAACAATGGATTTTGCCGCACTGCAGCGGCCCATAATACCTGTGCTATGCACGGTGGTCGCCTATCCAAGCACTATCCAAGCTTAAACTTGTGCTTAGCTTCCGAAATCTGACGAGATTGGTTATCATTTCCGATGATCCGGTTGCAGGCCAAATTTGTCATACACAATCAGCGTTTACAATAATTCGGGGACGTTCCAAGAACCTCGGGGTATTCCCACACAGCAATAAGGGGCTCAGGTAGAGGAGGTTAATCGAGTCCAGCGGTGGAGCCGGCAGCTTGCGCGAGCCGCCGCACGCACCATGGGGGTGATGCTCTTGTCCGTCATGTCGTAGTTGGTGGACGCGTTGTTCTTCACGATCTTGCCGTCCTGCATGTGGATGCCTCTCCCGATGCGGAACACCTGCGACGAGACACGGTGAGCGTGCGTGAGACTTGCCGCCTCTCTGAAATCCATTCTGACCGGGACAGCTGCATTGTGGCGGTGGTAGCAATTGTGTCCACATGTCTCTCAGTGTCCCCCAATGTCCTGGTCCATGTCCTGGCGTCCCCCAGGTGTCTCTGTACCTTCTTGTTCTTCTCGGTGCGGTGGTGGTAGCCCTTCTGCCCGGCGCGCGCGATGGAGAAGTTGACCCTTGCCGGGTGCCAAGCGCCGATACAGGCCACCTTGCGCAGCCCCTTGTGCGTCTTCCTCTGCAGTTTCTTGGTGTGCCAACGCGACGTCACACCTGCAGGCCGACACGCACCGGGCATCAGAAACGGGGTGTCGCTCTCAAACAAACAAGCACCACACATGCCACTCCACCGGTAAACTTGGCAATGTTGGGCGAACGTTCCATGTTCACTGGGACACCAGGCATCACGCACCAGCTAGCATACAATGAATACGTATATTTATCTGCACATCACGTCTCAGAGTGCTTTACATACAATGGCCTGGAACAATGAATACCCAACGCTTAGCGACCACCACGAACCATGCACCACACATCCAGCACCCACCACCACGCACAGCACACGCCAAGCACGCGGGCACTGCCAACCTGTCTGTTTCTCAGACCCGATTCCGGCCGTAGGAAGTTCCCCGTCATAAAATCCCCGCTCACCACGTCGGGACCCCGTCCACCCCACGTGTGCCTACGCCGAGCCTGGTGCGGGCTCGCGGTGACCACACCTTTGAAGCCACGGCCCTTGGTGACCCCGATGACGTCGATCATCTCGTCCTGTCCGAACACGGAGGTCACGGGCACGGCCTTCTCCAGCTTCTCGCGCGCCCAGTCCACCTTGTCGCTCACCGAGCCGCCGTTCACCTGCACCTCCATCAGGTGTGCCTTCTTCTGCCGCAGCGGCAGAAGTTTCATCTGTGTGGCGAGCAGGGCGGGTGACTCTGAGCGGTGCAGCCGAAGCGTGCGTGCGTGCGCGTGGACGCGTGTGCGCGCGTTTATTTCCCAGACGTTTCCGCACGGCATTGCGAGCGGGTGTTTCAGGCTGGGCGGTAATGGATTGTAAACGTCGTTGCATACGTCGCAACATGCCGTGCGAATGTGGTTGTGTGGCCTCCGCGCGGTGCCTGTGCGGCTTGCAGGAGGCAGCGCAGCAGGACTGGGAGCTGCTGTCGGCGCTGCATTCCCACGAGACTGCAGTGCCCTCGAGTCCCGACCGAGTGCGGTGCGGCGGGTTTCGTCAAGAGAGTGATGATGGACTAACGGCAAACGTTCGCGCATTGGGGAAGCTTGCGAAGGATGGGCTCGCGAGCAAAGCGACTCTGGAGTGCGCCCGATCGTGATGGACCTCGGATGCCACGCCAGGCTCAGATTGCACGGTGCTTGGATGGGTGACCGCAATGAAGAGCTGGTCATAGGCACCCTCGGGGCTTTGCTGCATTGTACGCAGCAGGAGACAGTGCGATTGACACTGTTGTTGTTGTACTGTGCTTCAAGCTGGGCGGAGAAGTACGGTCAAACAGGCCCGACGACCCACACAGCACGGGGAGCCTCTCATCCAGCAGTGGATCGGCAACAGCGCCGTACATCTCTACGCACACAATTGATGGAACTTGGGGAACGTTGCTCCCAACGTTGGTCCAACGGTTGGGAGCAACGTTGGTCCGACGGTTCTTTCAGTAAAGTCACGTAGGTATAAAATAAATCACGACGTTTCGGGGCGCAACACAAGCGTCCGTCAAAAAGAGTATGGATTCCTGCAGTCACGAAAGCTTCAAATCAAGATCGGTGCAAGTGTCCTGGGTGGGTGGACGCTCCACGCGCTCGGGCGCTACCTGCGTGTGAGCGATGACCCGGATGACGCAGCAGTGCTTCTTCATCGTGGCGAAGTCCTTGTCCAGCTGCTTGCGCCCAGCGTCGTCCGTCCACTTCTTACTCGCCTTGGTGAACGCCTTCTTCTTGCACTTGTACCTGTCATGGTATCATGGTCGTCAGCATCATCATCAGCCATGATTATAGTCGTCATCATCATCATCATCAGCCATGATCATGGTCGTCAGCATCATCATCATCAGCCATGATCATGGTCGTCAGCATCATCATCATCAGCCATGATCATGGTCGTCAGCATCATCATCATCAGCCATGATCATGGTCGTCAGCATCATAATCATCATAATTAGCCATGATTATGGTCGTCAGCATCATCATCAGCCATGATCACGGTCGTCAGCTCATAATCATCATAATTAGCCATGATTATGGTCGTCAGCATCATCATCATCATTAGCCATGATCATGGT